ATTAAAACACACAATACCTTGTTCCCATTCCAGCTAGGCGCTTATTAATTACTACAAATCGTTTATCTTGCAGAGCAACCCTGTAACCTGGTTTCCTTCCTTCATCACATGAACTCTCTGACCTTTCCGTGTGATGTCAAGTTACCTACTGTGCAATTCAAACTTCCTGCGTCAAAATAAAAGACCCATGACAACAAAAGACACTATCAAAATAAAAGCATGGAGAAAGTGGTTATTTTAACAGACCTTCATAAGAATCATTTACAGTGATGTCCTTAAAATCATTCCACCCCCACAGCCTGTGACAAAGCACCATGTAGAGATCTTGAATGAGGTGTGTGCCAGACTTTCAGGATAAATGCAAATAAGGAAGATGCACCTTGACAAGACAGGAGGAGAGGAGAGGAGAAGACAAAAGAGGAGTGGAAGGAGAACAAGGGGAGAGAAGAGGGAAGGAAACAAGGGAGAGGAGGCATGAGGAGGGTGATTAAGTCAAAGGATGGGTGACAAAAGGAAATTAAAGGAAAGTACAGAGGATGAAAGGTGATAAGAAGAAATGAATATTGAAATGAAGGCACACAAAGGAGGAGGAAGAAGGAAACAATGAGAGTAAAGGATGAGAAAAGAATAGAGGCAGGAAAGACAGGAGGACTGTCCCACCCATCGTTTACTGTTTGATATGTTTGGTCAGTTCACAAGGTTAAGTGCATGTGCACAGACACAAGGTGTGTTTTAGTAAACCTCTCTCTGAGGCCTTGTAACTTTTGTTAGGCCAGAGGCTTGTCTCTGCATGCAAACAGACAGACAGACAGACACACACACACACACACACACACACACACACACACACACACACACACACACACACACTGTTACTGTTATACTTTCCTGTAGTTTGGTTATTAAAATTCAAAACTTCAGTTACAATGTATATCTATTGTGAATTGTGTGAATGTGTATGGATGATTAGTTTCTGTTCGATGGACTTCACCATCGCTGAGTGAATGTGTGTGAAAGGGTGAATGTGCCATGTAGTGTAAAAGCGCTTTGAGTGGTCGGAAGACTAGAAAGGCACTGTTATATTGGGAGTTATATTTGTCCCTTCAACCCCATTACCCTCTTCAACCCTGTTACCCTACTACATCATTTTAATAAACTATTTTAAATATGTTTATGAAAAAGTAATTAAATATTTGTTGAAATCTGTATGAAGGAGGAAACATAAGAATATACATTTTAGTTCAAATTCTGAATTTACATCTTTGATCAAAATTGAGGATGTCACTGTCACAAAATGTGCCCATTTCAGTTTTCATGGAGAAAAAGTGTGAGATTTTATGTAATTTTTATATTTGCAATTATTGAATTAGTGTGAGGGACATCTGATTAATAGACAAATTATAATTTCATTACAAATACATTTTATAATCATATTCAGATACTTCCATTAGTGTCTGTAAAGGGGTTGAAGACTAATATTGCCCACACCATAAAATAAGGACCAATAACAGTAGAGATTTGATGCCTGAGATGGGAATTTATATTTTTCTGGAAGTTGAATATGTAGTAAGTTATGGGGTGTTCAGAAAGTCATACATTTTGGCCGCATGCCGTACCGCATTCGTGGAATGATCCAGTAACAACTGGGCAGTTCATTGATAACTCTATCTATCTTGGCTACGCAAGAACAGTAAACAAGTTACAAAAAAAAACCAGATAAACATGACAAGAACATTACTATGGCTAACATACATAACCAGTGTTTCTCAGTTACTCTGTGGTTAATGGATAAGGACATGTATATGACTGTATGTATACTGTATATAATGAATGTGTCCTAAGCTAGTGTTTGCATTAGTGATCTTATCAAAATACCACCAAGGAGTTGATCCAGGTGTATTTGCAAACAGTGTGTCAAATCCAAATTTGGTTTGTTTTTCAGCTAATAATAGGTTGTCTGACTATTACTGAGGGTAAGAATACTGTAATGAGTTTATTGTGGTTACTAACAATTTTATGTTTGCCTATAGAACTGCATGAAAAATTAAGCTACGCTGGGTTAGCTTACTGTCAGTACAGGGATGGACCACTGGCATAAATATCGACGTGCAACCGGTGCAGCTGCACCGGGGCCCAGACTGTGTCCGGACTGTGTCGTCACGACCGTCAGCAAGCTCTTTTGTTCTTATGCCTTAAGTTTTTTTTAATTTGTGGCACAGGGCTGTAACACTCCTGGTAGCCAGAGGCAGAGTCACATTCAGAGTCAATGTCTGACTGAATATGACCATGTTCTGAACTGCGATCAGAGATGTTGAGTCATAATCTGAAAAGTCCACTCTCTGATCATAATGTTTGGGGTTCACATCTGAGTATGGCTTTCAACAGCTTCTACTTTGAGAATGCCTATCTCGACACAATTGGTGGACCCGGTGGTTGCGCTGGGTGTCCTTATACTGCAGTTTGTCACCTCCCATCGAGCTGTTGTGAGGGTGATTGTAAGATTGCTCGAGCGGCGAAGGCAGGAAGGAAGGGACCCTGAAACTGTTCAGTCAGTCCAATACAGTGAGGATCAGCTCGGCCCAAACCAAAGAAAACAACAAACTAACTAAAAATGAAAACAACTTAGGAAAAAGGTATCTAGAGGTATCAAAAAGAAAACCTCAACTATGCTCTGGTCTATATCCCCTTTTAAGCTTGGGCCCCTGGCAGCCAACAAACTGTGTGGCCTGCTCACCGACATCCTCAAAAGTAGTCTCTCCTGGAGAACCCTCAACTTCTGCTTATATGTGCTATAGCTCCTACTACCACAGGAAGCAGCAATTAAGAAAACAATTAACCTTTAGCATTCATTAATCTAATACCCAATAGTTAAGTGGTATAGATCAACAATAGAAATAACTCACTACACATATCAGGAGAGTAAAATAGATCCCAACTGTTCAAAATAATCAATCTCCCAAACGCCTCCTAAATCTCCCCCTCATCTATAGGACACTTGGCACATTCCCCCAGGAACCTGACCATTAAAGGAGTCCACCTGGGCAGGGACTGGTTTTCCAGTTCCTGGGTCCAAATCAGAAGAAGGCCAAGTGCAATCTAGAGGAGAGGTGAGAAATACACAAATTAATCAAATGGAATATTTTCTTAGGCTTCCTTCTAGAGCTAATGTAACTCAAACATAAACATAATACAATTTCCCTTATCATGTTTCAACCCAATATCTGTACTAATTAGCAAACCCAGACACCTGCCAGCTAGATGGTATGTAAAAAGTGGCTGAGGTGGACAAGCACTCTATGTTGTGTCTCATTTAAGTTACAAGTCAAGTGGCATCCTCATGACAGTTATATTTTGGGGCATTAGGTTTGTGTGACGCTTTAACATTTAAGCTGGCTGGTTCATTTGTTGAGTTGCTTGTTTTCCAAGCGACAACAGTTTCCCAAACCACCTGTGTTATCTTCCTAATGTCTGGCATTGAGGGTTTATCATGCTGTGTCCTGAGTACGACGTGTGTGCGTACACATGGATGCATGTTCCGCAAAAACAAGGATTTAAAGAAGGTGTTGTCTTCTAAACCTGGTGCATTCTTACAGTCTTCTTATAATCTCTGGGATTTTCATGTCTGGAATGTTTAATTAGGGAGGCTGCAACTATTGCTGAGATCTCATCAGCAGGAGAAGAGAACTCTTCTGTCAGGGCTTGACAGAGCTCAGTGTAGTCATTTCTGACGCTAGGAGGTTGAGACTGTATAAACCTGTGCACCGCTTTTGAGCTGGTCTTTCTTTCTCCCTCTGGATTGCATGGGGCAAGGATCGAACCGACAACGTTCTGATTAGTGGACAACCCGCTCTGCCTCTGAGCCACAGCCACCCCTGTGCCATGTCAGGGGGATCTAAGCTAATATTGTACCACCACTGGAGCACTCAGTTTGTGTTCATCGTACAGATTATATCGGGCTGCTTATTCAGCACAATTTGGTATAAGCAAGCGATAACTTAATGCTAACAGCCCACAATCGAAGCACATTTTACGCTACTGAAATCTTACTTACTTTAGTTTACTCCTCAAAAGGAAAGCGGTCTCTCAAAGTTTTATCATAGCTATTGTCTTGGCCCCCAAATGTAAAGTTTTAGTTGTACAACTAGCTACAACAGTGGAGCAGAATACAGTATTGGTGGCTCACCAGGTGCCAGTATCGATCTCAAAACATAACATTAACAGAAAGTACCAAAACCTCATTTACTTACAATTTCAAGTTAAAAAGGATGGTCAAAAGCAAAGTCTGTAATTTTCATGACCAGGAGACTCTGGGTTCAGTCCGTGTGTGTACGGCGACAATAGGGTGATAGGGTGACGATAGGGTGAAGTGTCAGAGCCAGGTTCAGAGTTCAGAGTAAAAGGTTCAGCGTTAATGTTACTGTAATGACACTTACAGTTTTGATTTAGAGAGACTTGGTTTTGACACTCAGTTTTTGTCTATTTGTCAGCTGAGAGTTAAATATAAGGGATTTTACTCTATCCAGAGTATAAATAACTCTGCTTTTGCTCAAATTTCACGTTAAGTTTCATGTTATTTAACATCAAAGAAAGGTAGACTATAAATCTGTATTTACTCGTGCTGCTGGATCATAGCTGGGCTATTGCGATTATCTGTAATGGACAGTTGCTATTAATATTTGCAGGCACGATTGTCGGAGGTACTAGTAGTTATGTTAAGCGTGTGTAAATACATTACAATTACAAGAGTAAGACCGTACAACAACACCTTTTAGTATAATGCAATACAGTTCAACAACAGAATCAACATGTTACACTTACATGCACCTTATTTCATCCAAAAAAAACTTGTTGGGTGATTTGTTCACTTTATAGTCTACAAACAAACCTTGGAGGAGATTTGTTGTTGTTTTCTTTCTTAGAGGGAGTATCAGTCTCCTTTCTTTCCTTCTGGCTTTTCTTATTCAGCAAGTTCTCTTCAACAAAACGTTTACCGCACATGGTCCCATTTTATGTCTTTATTATTGAAAAGCAACAACAAACGCTATTACACAAGTTTATTTGACACTGATCTATAGACAGAAGACAAAACAATAAGAGAGATCATTTCTATAATAATAGAGATTTCATCTTTATAATCAGGAATACACAATGGAACATATGGATTTTGTAAAACTGTACAACAAAGTTGACAAACAAAGTATGGCAGCCCATCCATCACAAGACCCCAGATGTTACCGTGTTAACAACTGAATGGACTTTTAGAGCAGATGAAGCGATGGGAAGTGCTACACGGGGTGTTGACCCAGCCACCTGAAATTTGAAAGAAACCAAAACTTTAACTGAAACCAGGGTGAAGTTCACTGTGAATTGTAATATAGAAGAAAGGAGGAACCTGATATTAGGAAGTTGACTAAAAAATGACCTCTTTGTCAGATTAAAAGCTGGCCTACCCTGATATAGCAGTGAAGGTGAGCTAGTTAGCATAACAGCTTTCCTGGTTCTAGGCCATGAAATACTGAAATACTGTGTGATTTATTGTGTTAGGCTATATAAATAAAACTGACTTGACTTGATATTAATGTTCACCCACTTTTAAAACAACTGAGCAGCACCTTTATGAGCGACATTGCTCGTTTTTTTATTAATCTAACATGTTAGCTACAACTACAATGCTGTGCCAATCCCAACCCACTTGTGTTCCTCCCATAAAAAGTGAAGATGAATGTCTGTTCCTTTGGAGGGAACATCAGGACCTGAAGCAGCAGCTACAAAGTTAGCTGAAATAGCTAGCTAGTAAAAGTGAGCCTTTTAGCCTCCATCTGCTAAATGGAGAAACATTTATTCATCATTATATTCTTGAGTAATATTTTAATTGAAGTGGCTATAGCTAAATTGTTATGTCCTTCAGTGTGATTAACTTCACTATTTACATGCCTATGAATGTCCTGTTTTAGGACACCCAGCCCTAAAACTAGTCAAGGCAATAACACCATGTGCTATAACCAAGAAATGATTCCCTACACACACAATATGTATTGTCTTAGCTAAATTCCATTCATTGGTCTGCAAAATCAGTATTTGTTGAATCCAATGCAGCTCTGCCTCCAAAAACCGTGTGTAATCAATTTAGTAAAAGCATAAACATATAATACTGTGAGCTTTGACAAACAAACTACTTACCGGCTGTGCGTAAGTAGAGGCAGGAGTTGCTACTGGTGGAGTACAGGCAATACCAGTTGGTGTAATAGAAACCTTCACGGTCAATCCACATCCAGCGGCCCTGAGAGACAAAGAGTGTAAGGAAGAATTGTCTTAGTCTCTTTATTTGCTCTTATATGAATCTGGTCTAGACGCCTTTGGACCAGGTCCTGGGCTTGACTGAGGTGGTTTTACTTCATAAATTCAGACCTGCAGGTTGAAGCCTCCCAGCCATGCGATGCTCTGACCAGCTGTTTGTGTGAGCTGCTGCAGGAAGCTGTACTCTCTGGGGTTGGTGGCTGAGGCCAGGTGGGCACCCAGGCTGTTGCAGTGCTCCTGTTGGACAGAGAATGATTATTAAACTTTTTAAAATGTTCCTTATGTTCTATGTGAACATAAAGATCATGGACTGACCTACTAACAGATACCATCACCATCCAGAGGCTTTAGCCATCCATGTAGTAGAACATGTCACATTCATCATGTACCCATGGTAAGTTCTGAAGTATCTTAACTGAACGAATAAAGTCTATCAGATGTTCACAAGCTAACTGTGGCTGAATGTTCATAATAACAGGATACAGACGTTACAGTACCTCAGCACTGTACCAGGACATGGGACTATTGATGAACTTGAAGCAGCGAGAGCCCTGGCTGAACCATCCGTCAGGACAGAAGTTATAACGGGCTACAGAGAGACAGAAGAGAGACAGCATGGACTTCACTTCAACTGAACACTTGATAATCATGAATGAACAGAAATAGTGATGTGGCTCTTACATTCAGGTGCTGCTGCCTCCTCAAACACATGTGCTGCACAAACACAGAGAAACACAGTCAACACAATGTACAGGTATAGCAGCTATGTATTATAAGATACTGCAATATTGTTAAGAGTGACATGTGTCCTTTCTGATTACCGTTTCTGGGAACAAGGACAGAATCTTCTGGCACAAATATTTCCTCATCTTTCATCATCTTGTCCTCCATCTCTGAAACATAAATGGCTTCATCAGACCTCTTTTTAGTTGAGAGTGTTTGACTGTACAGTAAATCACAACTGCACGTCATATTTATCTTCAATTAGTTATTCATATGAATTAATCCAAACAACGTAAAACAAGGAACTGGCCATCCTAAACTTCCTTTATCAATTCATTGAAGCCAAAACCTGGTTCTGTTGTTCTAACACACTGTAAAGAGGACACTAACCAGGTGCAGCACCCATCTGTTCCTTCGGAGCTTCCACTGCTGCTTCTGTGGATGAATCACATTAGTGTTGGTGTCAGATAGATACAGCTCTGACTATCTGTCTGTGTGTGAATGAAAGCAAAGGGACTTCAGTACTGACCTTTAGTCTGTTCTTGCTCTTCAACTGGAGCTGCAGAGAGAAACACAGCACCGTCAGTAACAGCAGTGCAATAGTGTCTTTACAACAGAGTGCACAAGCACCACACCATGGTAGAGGCTTGCTGGCTGACTCATGAGCACATGGATGATAGTGTGTGTGTTCTGTCTAAATGTTCTATGTTGAATCTGACCTGCAAATGCAGCACAGAGGAGAACAGAGAGGACCAGGACAGTCTTCATGGTGATGATCAACAGATTGTTCTGTGTGGAGAAAGAAGAACCACCAATAAACATACAGAGAGAGAGAGAGCAGAACCAGGAGCTCCACTGAGAGAAGAGAACTGCAGCAGGGGTCTTACCTGTCAGGTAAATGTGAGGTGATGATGTTCAGGTCTCAGCTGAGTGATGCAGTGATGACGGTAGGCCGCCCTGCTCTTTAAATACACACCTGAATATGCTGATGGTTGTTTTCTGTTTATTGGGGTTTTGATCAGAAGCGAAGTACAGTGAAGATTTAACCTGTATTCTGATTTATGACCATGCAGCTTGTAAACACTTTTCACAAACAACTTCCGTGGTGTGCAGGATGATGCCAGGTTACTGATTAGAAAGATGCTGGCAGACTTTGGATCTGCAGGTACAATGCGTGGGTTAAATGTGGGTTGGGAATGTTGTTTGGCTGTCTTTCACTCATAGACTGAAGAACTTGGCTGTAAATGATATCATCAGAATACAGTTCCAGTAAAAGTTGATGAAGATGCTGTTAATAAGTAAACGGAAGGCTTGAAAAGGAAACTTAGCCGATATGGTGTTTCACTTCCCTATTATCCCTGTCACCTTCCAGTAAAATAACAAATCGATCAAAACAGGCCACTTATCACCGCCTCAGTCAAGGAAGCAAGATCCATTTTAAGTCAGATCATAAGGAAATATGCTTTATTGGATGGTTTGTTAATGGTACATCGGGGAGTGTGAGCTCCATTTATGAAGACACATGACCTTATGTCATTCAATTCAATTCAGTTTCATTTGTATAGTGCCAATTTATAACAAAAGTTATCTCAGGACACGCTTTAAATAGAGCAGTTCTAGACCATACACCTTATAAAATGATTTACAGAGACCCAACAGTTCCCACCATGAGCAAGCACTTGGCGACAGCGACAAGGAACAACTTCCTTTTAAGAAGCAGAAACCTCGGACAGACCCCGGCTCTAGGTGGATGGTTGTCTGTCTCGACCAGTTGGGGTGAGAGAGAGAGAGAGAAGAGAGAGAGAGAGACAGAGAGACAGAGAGACAGAAAGACAGACAGAGGCAAAGACAGAAGGACAGGGACAGAGGCAAAGACAGAGGTGCACAGCAACAACAGTAGCAACAACTACACTAATAGTAGTGACTGATGGTGATGATGATGATGATGAACATTAAGAAGAAGATGACGACGATGACAACAGCCACAACGATGGGGGACAATGAGCAATGATAATAGTAATAATAGTAACTGTAATAATAATAATAATAATAATAATAATAATAACAATAATATCAGTAATATTAGCAATGGGAGTCAATCAGGATCATGGCCTGATGATAAGGAATTGCAGTAATCGAGCCTAGAAGTAACAAATTACAAATAACACTGTTGATTCTTCATATTACACAGGTGTGATTATGCCTTCTTTCAACAGTCTGCCTATTTCTTTGTGTACTTTCATGCACATAGCATATCTGATAGAACAGATTCGATGGTAGCTTTAATACCTTTCAGGCTGCCCAACTCCTCTTTGAATACATTCTCATGTTTTCTTAAAAGCTATTGTAGTGTTTTTTGTCTGTCTTTATGTGACGCACTGCTCCTTTTAACCACAAGGGGCAGATCTAACTTTTATGCTTGTATTTAACCCTGAGAAGTCCTGCTCCTATCACATTAACAGGGTTGTCCATATAGGTCTCCAAGAGTATTTTTACTGGCTTCAAACAAGGGCCTTTTGTGTCTTTCCATTTCTTTTGTAATGTGTGTATACCGTAAAACTTCTAATAATAGCCCGGGCGTTTATTTGCTTAAATCCCTGAACTCCCCCTGCCTTTATTGGGGACAGGCCTCTATTTGGGACAGGCCTTAATTCCTTTAGCACAAAACTAAACTAAACTAACTGCTGCTTCTCTTGAGTTTTGTTCAGCAAATTTGACAACTAACATGATTATTATGATCGCTTCAGAGGTTTTTTTCCATCTCTCTTGTTTACCATGTTACCGGTAATTCAGAATGAATTAACGCTATACTTTGGTGTTGATAGTTTTCGTAAAATATAGTGAAAGATTGAATTGTGGAGAATCTAATTGATCTGCACAATGTGCATTATGTACATATTGACAGGAGTTTAAACATTTATATTTCTATAGGAGATCAAAACAACTTAAAACTTGCTCAAGCAGGTGACCTGGTGGGTTTTAAGAGGTTTTATACATCAAGATAATTTCTATAAAATCCAGACCACGCCTCTATTGGAGACCTACGTTTATTTGTCAAAATGTGTAGCCACGCCGGGCTTTATAAAGAGACCTGCGTCTATTAGGGACCCTGCTTTTGTTGGAAGTTTTACGGTATATATATTGCTTGGACTTCCACTTTGCCTCTATTGCACTTTTTGGGAACAGCAAGATGAACTCTGCCTCTGTTCTTTCTTGTTCGGCAAGACTGTGAGCTGCTGGTAGCTTTTTATTTAGTATTTGTACTGCTGGAGTGCCAACATGTTTTCCCTACTGATTGACTCTCTCCCATTCTCAGCTAAAGACAATCTTTTTCCACCTAGCCAGAGACTACTAGCAAGCAAAACCTGCAGCGCTGGCTTCCTTCTTGCCATCAAATCCGCAAAAGATACTTTTGCTGTATCTTCTTGCTAGTTTATAGAATCCATTTATTACATTTTCTTGGTAGTACTGACCACACAATTCTTTTGCATTGGTCAAGTGCATTATTTATTTGTATCTCTTGATATTCTCTTGGCAATGAATATACTGAAAGCAATTTTTATTGATAGCATGACTAATAACACTATTAGCTATATGTTTAGTTTGTTTTCAGAAACCATATCATGAACTCAACCTTAATCATTTGAACACAATACTCTGCTTCCGTGTCATCATTGTTTCTCATTGGAGCCCCCAGGGTGAAACAGGCATATGTTAGACCATCACCTCCTCTGAATAATTCCCTATAGGTTCCTTATTTACCTTACAGGGGAAGAACAGGTTGAAACGCTTCAGTCTCCTTTTCCACTTCTAACCTTCATACTTTATTTATTCTGCTGCAAGGCGTTTTTTTATTTTCTGTGATTTATCACACCATTTAAAGCACACAAACCATGCGTCAAAGCATTCTGACATTCATATGTGGGACAATATTTGAACTGCTTTGATACAAGCCAAAGACTCAGAAGAAGGTTTCTTCCCTCTGTAATGACTCAAGTTACTCTTCAGACTACAGCTGGACTTCCACAACCACTTTTCAACCAAGCTCTTAAAGGAAGATCACACACTGTTCCATTCTCACAAGTCTTTATTTTGGAAAGGAGCCAACTGACACAGTCACTAACAAAGGTACTGAACACTTCACACTCATGAAAGCCTTTTAAAAATACACAATGGAAAATACAATAATTCAGCAAGACACACAACGAAGTTTATGAGCTGCTTTTAAACAGAGAAACAATACCAGCTGATCCATCCAGATGTTTAGCATGTATGTTAACAGCTGAATGGGTTCTTGGAGCAGATGAAGCGATAAGCAGAGCCACACTGGGTGTTACCCCATCCATCTGAAATTGAAAAAGAGGAAGAAAAACATTAACACTAGATTCCACATATCCCATAGGGTTAACTGCTAAAACCCTTATTTGCTTTTTTCCACAGAGAATTGAGTGAATCAGCAAAGTACAAGTCAAGATTGACTGTGAACTGCGTCACTTATCAAACATATAAAAACTTGTCCATGACATGAATATAGTTTCACATTATATCCTCTGTGAGAAACTGACAGTAGAAAATAATAGTGAAGGTTTAGCTGACGTAGCTGTCCAGCCAAACTCAGACTTACTGGAGATGCGTAAGTATACGCAGGGGTAGCTGCTGGAGGAGGAGGGCGAGTACCAGTTGGTGTAATAGAAACCTTCACGGTCAATCCACATCCAGCGGCCCTGAGAGACAAAGAGTGTGAGCAAGTGTTGTCTTAGTCTCTTCATTTGCTCTCATTTCCATCTTTGTGTAAGACTAGACCTGGACTGACTGAGGTGGTTTTACTTCATAAATTCAGACCTGCAGGTTGAAGCCTCCCAGCCATGCGATGCTCTGACCAGCTGTTTGTGTGAGCTGCTGCAGGAAGTTGTACTCTCTGGGGTTGGTGGCTGAGGCCAGGTGGGCACCCAGGCTGTTGCAGTGCTCCTGTTGGACAGAGAATGATTATTAAACTTTTTAAAATGTTCCTTATGTTCTATGTGAACATAAAGATCATGGACTGACCTACTAACAGATACCATCACCATCCAGAGGCTTTAGCCATCCATGTAGTAGAACATGTCACATTCATCATGTACCGATGGTAAGTTCTGAAGTATCTTAACTAAACGAATAAAGTCTATCAGATGTTCACAAGCTAACTGTGGCTGAATGTTCATAATAACAGGATACAGACGTTACAGTACCTCAGCACTGTACCAGGACATGGGACTATTGATGAACTTGAAGCAGCGAGAGCCCTGGCTGAACCATCCGTCAGGACAGAAGTTATAACGGGCTACAGAGAGACAGAAGAGAGACAGCATGGACTTCACTTCAACTGAACACTTGATAATCATGAATGAACAGAAATAGTGATGTGGCTCTTACATTCAGGTGCTGCTGCCTCCTCAAACACATGTGCTGCACAAACACAGAGAAACACAGTCAACACAATGTACAGGTATAGCAGCTATGTATTATAAGATACTGCAATATTGTTAAGAGTGACATGTGTCCTTTCTGATTACCGTTTCTGGGAACAAGGACAGAATCTTCTGGCACAAATATTTCCTCATCTTTCATCATCTTGTCCTCCATCTCTGAAACATAAATGGCTTCATCAGACCTCTTTTTAGTTGAGAGTGTTTGACTGTACAGTAAATCACAACTGCACGTCATATTTATCTTCAATTAGTTTTTCATATGAATTAATCCAAACAACGTAAAACAAGGAACTGGCCATCCTAAACTTCCTTTATCAATTCATTGAAGCCAAAACCTGGTTCTGTTGTTCTAACACACTGTAAAGAGGACACTAACCAGGTGCAGCACCCATCTGTTCCTTCGGAGCTTCCACTGCTGCTTCTGTGGATGAATCACATTAGTGTTGGTGTCAGATAGATACAGCTCTGACTATCTGTCTGTGTGTGAATGAAAGCAAAGGGACTTCAGTACTGACCTTTAGTCTGTTCTTGCTCTTCAACTGGAGCTGCAGAGAGAAACACAGCACCGTCAGTAACAGCAGTGCAATAGTGTCTTTACAACAGAGTGCACAAGCACCACACCATGGTAGAGGCTTGCTGGCTGACTCATGAGCACATGGATGATAGTGTGTGTGTTCTGTCTAAATGTTCTATGTTGAATCTGACCTGCAAATGCAGCACAGAGGAGAACAGAGAGGACCAGGACAGTCTTCATGGTGATGATCAACAGATTGTTCTGTGTGGAGAAAGAAGAACCACCAATAAACATACAGAGAGAGAGAGAGCAGAACCAGGAGCTCCACTGAGAGAAGAGAACTGCAGCAGGGGTCTTACCTGTCAGGTAAATGTGAGGTGATGTTGTTCAGGTCTCAGCTGAGTGATGCAGTGATGACGGGAGGCCACCCTGCTCTTTAAATACACACCTGAACCACAGCGGGTCACATCTATGTGGGCGTGTGGCTGGCAGAAAGTGCCGATGATAATGACTCATCTGTGTGCGGAAAGGTGATTGCAGCATGCACATAAGGATCTGAACTCTGATCTGTTTCCTGACAGCCCGTAAACAGTGTGCAAAAACCACTCTCTTGTTGTTGTGGATTCAGATCAGGCTAATGGTTTAAAAAAGATACGTTATTATTCCGGCAGCTGGGGCGCCAAAAAATACTATAAAAATATGTAAGAAGATAACTAACTCATAAAAATATAGTAATTTCCTTTCATTAAAATACCGTTTACAGCTTTAATTTACATAAATTCTTCATAATTGTAATGTTTTTGACTTTTTACACAAAAATAATGAAATTTGCTATAAATTCAGACAAACACTGCTGTAATACAAATAATCTGGCTTAAATGTCATCATCACTTTTACAGTGTAGTCATATGGGAAGAATATGTCCCTGTCAGTCTTATATTACCATACATGATATTATGGGAGCAATCTTACTGATACATTAACATTTTAATCTTCTAATTGTGGTATCTATCACTGTGTACATGCTGTAGTTGCTGTCACTGTTCCACTAGCTTCTGTAAATCAGTGTAATCTATTCCTGAAATGACTTTGGACAGAAGTGCCTTCCAAATGAATGCATTGCAGAGATGTTTGACATGTGAGTTGGAAATGATATTTGTTAGAGCTGAGGTATCATCATCGGGCAAAACGTCCATAATAACCTTTCAGAATATTGTCATTGAAATTGTCAAGTAGTCGCAAAGAAAACTAGACTTCTACATCTCCTCTTGGCTCTGTTTTCAGGCTTTGGAAAATCCAACTCTTGACGGGAGACGTTGGCCAATCACAGATCATTTCAGAGAGACGGCGTTCCTATTGGCTGTTATACAAATGCAGCTGGTTGATGAGTTTTCCCATACCTCCTTCTCCTAAAATGACACACAAAACAGGTGTGTGAACACGTCTCATACCGAGCTTCAGGTTCATTATGTTCAATCCCACAGTCCTCAGTTCAATTTCAATTCAATTCACTTTTATTTGTATAGCGCCAAATCATAAATGGGAAATCGACCTGAACTTGTATAGCGCCTTTCTAGTCCTCCGACCACTCAAAGCGCTTTTACACTACGTGCCACATTCACCCTTTCACACACATTCACTCAGTGATGGCAAAGCCCATCAAACAGAAACTAACATTCATACACACTTGGGGTTCAGTATCTTGCTCAGGGATACTTTGACATGTGGCACCAGGAGCCGGGGATCGAACCCACAACCTTCGGACTAAGGAACGACCCACTCATAACAAAAGTTATCTCAGGACACTTTTCAAATAGAGTAGGTCTAGATTGTATCAATTATAAAATTATCTACAGAGACCCAACAGTTCCCACCATGAGTAAGAACTTAGCGACAGCCGCAAGGAAAACAACCGTCTGCCTCGACTGGTTGCGCAGTTGAGTCCTTCTGCTGCTGAACACTCACATGCCGAGGATTCTTTCACTTGTTGAAAATACTTAACCAGACACAACAGGCTTTTAGTGTATAGCTTTAAGCTGAAACTGAAATGACACTCCGCAAATAAGTGATTGATGAGTTATTAACATTAGTTCTGCTCTCCCAAACTGTTTCGTCATAATGGTCAGTCCTTGAATAAAGCTTATCATGTGAGGCCATGTCATTCCTTCCCGTCAGTAGTTACATATGTAACTGTGTCCACATCTGAAGGATCAGGGTGGGATAAAGAAAGTCTAAAGTCTGTTTATTATTCCTGTATGTCTCCAGTAGATTATCCGATAGAAACACCTCATGTCACTGCCCCAAACAGGGAAGCAGGACTCCTACTTAATTATTATTACGCAATAATTATGATGTTTTATTGTCTGTTTCGTATGGGTATACAGCCATTTATGACTTTAAAGACTCTTTAAAGACTACGTAAATGGTTACTGGATGCTGGGAATGTTACTTTATGATCTGAATGCCCCGGGGTCACTGTGGAAAGAGATGGTCTTCTTTGCCAGTGTGTCTGTGGGAGTGCTGAGGTGCTGAAGATGAATATTCTCAGAACATACTCATTCATCATGTCTGTCTTTGGCCATGAATTTTCCTTCAAGTTGGTTTAAGAAGATAAAATCTTTGTTCTCATCCTTTCTGAGGTGTAATAAGAAATCTAAAATAAGCTTAACTTAATAACTTTGAATGCCAAGAAATACAGGTCAGATATTTACTAATATGTATTGTATAACAGCAGATACCCTATCGCATAGAGTTATGGTATAAGTCTGGCCCACCATAAAGTTTGATTTGGCCCGCCAGACAGAAAACGGAAAACAAATTAGTTATGAAAAATCAAGGTTCATGATATTGTATTTTAGGAGGTAAACATGCACTTCAAATATGTAGGATCTCAAATTTTTTATTGTTTTTCATAATTTAAGGTGGCTGGCAGAGTGACACTAGCAGGAAGTCAGTCAACTAGGGGAACTTGGGATTCCAGTACCATTTTTGCGTCATAACAAAACAATGTGGTTGCTTTTGTCCAGTGGCCTACCATTAAGTGTCACGACCTCTGACTATCTGAATATTGGTGGACCCAAATGCACGACTCTGGCATGGATGAAGTTGCAGGAAAAAATTATATTTATTTATCAAGAAAAGGTGCTCTCTAGGAGGATATCAAAAGGCAAACAAAAGTCAAACTTCAATTGACACATGAAATAACCCCTGGTATAGGCAGTTAGGAATGGCTGGAGTGGCCAGTTATTGCTGATCTTAGCAAAAAACAATCTTAGGTTATCCAAATCCTCCAGTAGAACTTGATAATGCAAGAATGAATTTCTCTTTTAGAATTGGTGGTGTTTCTACAGCAGTCCACAGCAGTGGTAACTAACCTTTTTGCTTAAGGGAGCCCTTATGTAACACTGAATAAATTGACACTAATGCACAATGAATCCAAACAGTGGACACAACAACTGCAGGAAGTTTGCATAAAACCAGAGGTTTAGGGGAATTTTAACATTTTTTTCAGATTACTTCCTGTGAATACTTCGTCAGAGATGGGTTTTTCTGATAACTTTTTATAAAATCCTCTGTCTGATACTGGGTGATTGTTCTAATACATCTTGTTTTCAGGTCATCAAAGTTTAGATATTGAATAATTCACTGTAAAGAGATAAGTTATTTTAACTGAGAAAATTTGTTTTTTTATTTTAATTAATCGTTTAAGATTAAGTCATTTACAGATACTTGATGAAAAATGATTTTTGAACTTGAGTTTTAATCATTTTTTAGTATAATGAACTTATCTGATTTTACAGTGTAATATAAACTTAAAAACAGTTGCATTTAGTTTTCTTTACAGAAATGAATGAAATGTTGAGTTTTGGACTACTGTGTATATTTTCTAAGTTTCTAGTATGCTTTAAAATCAAGAAGACTTTGCAACCCTCTTTGAAGTGTCCAGCTCGAGCTCGGTCAAACGTTTCAAACTTAAATTGCTTTTGAAAGGAGTTTGGAGCAGTGGTTTTGGAGACAGGAGGAGAAAAGAGGAATATCTCGTCAGTTCTTCATGCGTTAACATCTCAGCCATATTCTATATTGTAGCTGAGCCTGATTACGCCTTCACTGGTGGTCAGTTAAATGTTAATTTATTGTTTGTTTCAATTGTAAAACTTAAACTATGAACTGAAGTTACAGTGGGATAAAATTATATTATGTTGTTTCCTCATTCTGATTCTGATTTATGATTGAGGGTTGGAGGGTGCGGTGGAGTGTTGGGAGAGTTCTGACCTCTGACTGAAAGAGATAACACAATTAGTGTGGAGGAAAAGAAAAAGTTAAAGATTTACTGTCATCAAGTGGGTGCATGGCTTCCAAAATAAGACATTATTTCTCTACTTTATCTGTATCTGTATTCTAGGGAGAATATGACCAGTCGTGGTATTAGGACACCCAAAAATTCCCTGACACCCTGAACGTACCCACTGGAACCATTGACATATAAAAGATGGACATTGCGTCTCCGCTTCCTCCCACTGTACAAAGACGAAAATGCCAAAATATCCCAGATATGGATGTTGCCATCTTGCACTAGCGATGTCATCACCACTTCACAGAGCAACGGCACATGTTAATATAGTAGATGAAGATAAAGATCATTCAGAAGGGACTGACATATATAAACAGATTCCAAATATAAATGCAAATGCAAAGTCTATATAGCAGATGTTTCTGTAGAAAAAATATCTCTCTTTTCTCTTTTATTTTTAAGTTTTCACCACGTTATTGAAACAGGTATCATTCAAGTTCAAACATCTTGTGTATGCAGCCTAAAATGACAAACACAGCAGGGGGACTAAAAGTTGTAATAAAAAGCTTAAAATGTAGTTTTTTTAAATTTTACATTCAGATAAAGGAGAAATTTATTGTTTGATAGGGACAGTGAGCTGTGAAAAGTTGAATTTGGATTTGTGAATATACAATTTGGTGACAGTAACAAGCAGATTCATTAAATAGAAGTGTAAATAGATTACATCACATTCAGTGAAATCCAATCGAAACATTTCTCCAAAGTAATATACAGTAAGGACATATGATCAGCAATAAATGGTGATAATTTAAGCAAGACCTAAACAATTGTAGCAGCTTTCCCTGAGTTCTCCACGAATGGATTTCTGTGGCTTTGTTAGTGGGGAGGTTGGAAACGCTCAAGCAGCGCCCCTGTGGGTCAACCGTTCGCGCTGCTTGAGTCATCGAGAAAAGAAACTCCTTCGAGCCGGATTCGAACCAGCGACCTAAGGATTACAGTGGAATACACGCTACAGTCCTCCGCTCTACCAACTGAGCTATCGAAGGGGCGCTGTTGACTTTGGGAATGTCAGTTGACAACAGTCTTTTCCTGTTATTTATTTCAGCAAGCATTGTCCCGACGTATCAAATGTTGTTTAAGGCGAGACGCTACAGGCAATACGCTAATACGCTGGTTAATTTTGATATCCCTAGGCTGTTTTGCCTCCATTAAAAAAACAAGACAGTACAAAACAAACTTAACAATAAGAAGTACGAGTCTGGTCCGTGTATGTTTTGGTCATTGGATTTTCCTTTCAGAAAGGGGTAATAAAAAACAGAAAACGAGTGGTTATTTGATTTTCGTTTTAAAATACAAAAATGAAAATTGAAATACAAGGCGTTTTTCTTTTTCATGGTCAAAAAGGGATGAGAGAAATTTTAAAAATGATTCGATTTTCATTTTCTATGTCATATAACAAAAAATAAAATCACTAGAAAACAGAAACGGAAAAAAGGCCTGTTGTTTCATATTCTGAGACCGGATGTTGTCATTAACAGGACCGTGCTGTGTAGAAGAAACAGTAGGCTAGTAGACTGCGGTCAATCCAGCTGTGAGTCCGATCTCCGTGGTCAAATCAGCCGCACTTAAATTTAGAGTGTACAAGTATTCTCAGCATTATGGTAAATGCGGAGAAACGCCGTATTTACTTCCGGTTTTCAAAATAAAGGTATTTAGAGCCGTAAGCTATAATTAAAATATGTTACATTAAAGTGTTGTGTGCCCCTGATGAATAAAAAAACACTTTATATCAAGTATCTTTACTGCACCAGTGTGGAGAAATACCAAAATAAAAGTCCATATTTGTATCTCCAAGTGGTATTTTCATATATTTGAGCTACTGTAAAAACACTTTGCTCAATAATTCCTGGCTATGGAAGATATATTTGACTTCTACACATCTAAGACTACAAGTATACTTAATATCAAGCATTTTTACTGTACCAATGTGGAGAAATTGAAGAATAAAAGTCCCATATTTATACTTCCAGATTCCATATTTTCTTATATTTGAGCTACTGTAAAAATGTAAACTGTATGTGGAACCACCTGCAACAGCTGTCACACTGAATAATATAAAAAATAATATGTGAGGAAGAGACAGTAGGTACAATGGTGTTTTGAAGTTAAAACTAATTATTTTTCCCTTTTACCTACAAATGGACACAGCAGAGCAGCAAAATAAGAAGAATGTGGACTGGCATTGCATTTTGTGTGAAAAGTAAACAAATTAGAATTGTGTAGGGATTTTGTGTTTAGTGTTTATATTATCAAGATGTTATTAAACATTTGTGTGAAATTTTGTCATTATTACTGCAGCATTATTGAAGTATAATGAAAATGCTTCACCCATAGCCAGGAAATATTGAGCAATATGTTTTTACAGTAGCTCAAATATATGAAAATACCACTTGGAGGTACAAATATGGACTTTTATTGTTGAATTTCTCCAAATTGGTACAGTAAAAATGCTTGATATTAAGTATGTTTGTAGTCTCATATGTGTAAAAGTCAAATACACCATCAGTAGCCAGGAAACACTGAGCAATATGTTTTTACAGTACCTCAAATATGGTCAAATATGCAATCTCTGGAGGCATAAATATGAGGCTTTTATTTTGGCATTTCTCCACACTGGTGCAGTAAAGATACTTGATATAAAGTGTTTTTTTATTCATCAGGGGCGCATGAAACACTTTAATGTAACATATTTTAATTATAGCTTACGGCTCTAAATACCTTTATTTTGAAAACCGGAAGTAAATACGCTGTTTCTCCGCATTTACCATAATGCTGAGAATACTTGTACACTCTAAATTTAAGTGCGGCTGATTTGACCACGGAGATCGGACTCACGGCTGGATTGACCGCAGTCTACTAGCCTACTGTTTCTTCTACACAGCACCGTCCTGTAAATGACAACATCCGGTCTCAGAATATGAAACAACAGGCCTTTTTCCGTTTCTGTTTTCTAGTGATTTTATTTTTAGTTATATGAAATAGAAAATGAAAGATCGAATAATTTTTTAAATTTCGCTCATCCCCTTTTGACCATGAAAAAGAAAAACGCCTTGTATTTCAATTTTCATTTTTGTATTTTAAAACGAAAATCAAATAACCACTCGTTTTCTGTTTTTAATACCAGTTTCTGAAAGGAAAATCCAATGACCAAAACATACACGGACCACAGTGTTTCACAGTTTTTTTTTTATAAAACTCGACGATTTACGCAACGAGTTGACTTGTAATGAAATGTGCTGTGTAATTGCAGTATACTTGTTTTGCCCACCAGGTGGCAGCATTGTTTGCAAATTACCAAGAAACAAGCAGGCATCATTATCCACATGATCCCCCTGCTGCTATATTTTATATAAAAATATAAAAGAAGTCCACTCCAGATGTACCAACCGTTCTTAACCACCCAAATCTGCTCTTACCATGGTGTGCTCTTAAACTGGAGGTGTGTGGTCAATTGTAAGTAACATCACCTAAACACATGCAGATGGTGTGTCGTGTGCAAATACTCTACATCAAGAACTGGAGAAATGCCAGCAAAAAAGCCACCAGATACAGATATAGTGAGTCCTGAACCATCCCTTAGTTATGCTGCTATAGGCCTAGACTATTGGGGGATTTCCCATGATGCACTGAGCTCCTCTCTTCCTCTCTCTCTCTTTCTCTCTTTAATAAAATTGAATTGAATTGAATTGAATATAGGGTATAAGTAAAATAACATAATGCTGACATATTGATGATACATATAAGAAACTGAATGCACACAATATCATTAAGTTTTCAATGGAGCAATATTTCCTTAGCCCACAAATGTAATAATCCTCTATATCCACTATGGCTCTGATTGGTTGTTTTAATTCAGTACCAATGGATTCTTGCGAATGCCATTAAAAGCACTGGGAGGAGTCAGAAGAACCTGATTGTTTCACAGATTATCTGTCTCATGTTCTACTGTCAGGATATAGGGAAAGATTCAGCAAATATGACATTGAATTGATTTATAAAATTGACCTACTGCAGCTTTAAGACCAATGTTTCCTTGCGTTGTACAAACAGCTTGTGGTGGAAACTAGATGTGAGTGCTCTCAATCACTCATCTCAAGAGCAAAACTAGGAAAAACATTATTGAATCCCAGAATGCAATGGGTACAAATCATGGATACGAACAAAAATAAGATAAAATGTGTTCGTATTTTGCTTCTTGCATGAGGCCCATTAATTACAGTGTGATCAACTGATCACCATAAGTGACAAACACAGAGAACACAGTTGGGTTCAAAAACACAAACACTGTTTATTAAGGCCGACAGAGCACAGCTGATGAACTAACTACGTCCACAGTGAAGCATTCAGGAAATATCTCAGCTCACAGAGGAGCAGTTATCTCACATTTCACATTCCTCTACATTACACAATGAGTCCCGGACTGCCTCCTTGGCCCACTATCCTGCACATCACATGCTATCATACTAAACCACTCTAGTGCTTTTTACTTTCCAACAGAGGGGTTCTTCGTACAATAAACTGGGAAAGCATGTCCCATATAATCCAGTCTAACAGTGACACATGATGTAATGAGAAGGAAACTTTGCTAAGACAGTTTGAACATAACAGGCGTTCTCCTCTTCACAAGAATAACTTGAGAATCTTGGGCTTGAAGAGCTGAAGCTTGCTGTGGTCCATTAGCTTTACACTCTCCCTGGCTCCCAGGATGATCTGGTGGGCGTCGTCAAACAGCTCCTTCCCGATGGCGGCCTGGACCCTGTCCCGCCAGGCGCTCAGCTTGGGCCTGCCCTCGAATACGTCCAAGCCGGAGCCCACAGGCTGTCGATGAGAGAGGGCCTGTTAGTGTAGAGTGACTACTGAACCCATATCATTCCCAATTCATTGTTTTAGATCAATCAGTCTATCAGGCAGCCATTGGGATAATTTTTCTCCAGCCACCCAGACATAGTCATTACCAGAGACAGTGTTATGTTATACACTCAAAACACATCAGCCATCCTGAAGGCATTTCCTGTTCTAAAAGCAAAACAAACTGTGAATTTATCCCCTCTAAAATCGGTATTAGTCTCAAAAACCCCCATATCGGTCAGGCCTCTAGTTGGATGGAAATGTATAATTACAAATTCAATTATTACTTTTGCGCATCATGGAATATAGCATTTTAACCGTTCAAATTTTAAAAAAATATGAGGGGGCATGAGCTTAGTAATTTTTCAGACTCTCATAGCGACTTTATTTCTAAAAAGCAACTTGCAACAAACGTCAGAAGAGACCATCAGAAAAAAGAAGAAAATAAATTCAAATATATTGTAATTCATCCCCATGCCTGCTACTCAGAGTAATCGCAGTGCACGGCTCTTCTGCCAGCAGCACTGGGGTCTCTACCTCTCCTCTCGGGCTGTGTGCAGGCAGTCAGTAGGTGTGGAACATTTGACCTTTCTCGCTCTTTCATCCCGGATCTCTGGATTAGAGTGTTCCTATAGCTAAACATATAAATATTTGTTTGACCTTTTCTCTCACCCGTTCTCTCCGGGATCTCTGGATTAGTGTGTTCCAATAGCATATATATATATAAATAGTTATTTTTAAACAAACACTTTCGTGTCTCTTGTGTCTTTGTGTCTCGAGAACATTTCACATTTAATATTAGATGAAAAATATTTATTATATGTTTTCCTGCTTAAGGTATTGGCACTGAAGCTCAGGTGTCATACTGGTACAATTTAAATAATAGAGACTGTAAAACAGAGACACAAAGAACTACCTGTCTCAGATGTAGAAACAAATACATTGGTAAATTGACTGTACTTGCACACCAATGCACAGGTTCAGTATCTTGCTTAAGAACACTTGCAGCAGGAGGATCTGGGGATTGAACCACCAACCTTCTTATTAGTGGATGACCCACTCTACCTCTGGAGCCACAGCTGCGCAGGTAGTTACATATATATCTAAAGCATTGTGATATTCATTAGAAACTGGGTGGCAGTAAATGGACTAAATTGTACAAACACACTGGAGTGGCCCTGAACAATGCTCTAAACTTGCGAGGAAAAACATTTCTGCACACCTGCATGATTTCCACAATGGCGACCAGGTCGGCCAGAGAGATCTGATCTCCTGCGATGAAGGGCTTGTCCTGGATGAACTTTTCTTCCATGAGTTTCAGTGAGCCATTCAGATCCTCCAGGGCACCGTCCAGCTTGTCCTGCGGGACATCCACGCCCAGAATTTTGGGAATGAAAACCTACAGCCAAAACACAAAGATGTGATCAAATAACAACACTATCACTTTGTATTAAGAACAAGCTCAGTTACAGAGGTGAATACAGTGGACGTAATAGTTGCAGCGGCTGGAATGAATGTCCAACACTGGTAACATTATTAGGAATCACTCCATTAACTTTCACTGTTATGCAGATGATATACAGTTATATCTATCGATCAAGCCCGATGAAATTGATCAATTATCTAAATTACAAACATGTCTTAAGGACATAAAATCCTGGATGAGCTGCAATTTTCTGATGTTAAACAAATGAAATTCTTGTTCTTGGCCCCAAAAACCTTAGAGACTCACTGTCTAAAGATATAGTTACTCTAGATGGCATTAACTTGGCCTCTAGCACCACTGTCAGGAATCTTGGAGTTATCTTTGATCAGGATTTGTCATTTAACTCCAACATGAAGCAAACCTCCAGGACTGCCTTCTTTCATTTACTAATATTACAAAAAAGAAAAACTAATCCATGCATTTGTTACTTCAAGGCTGGATTACTGCAACTCTTTATTATCAGGTTGCCCCAATAAGTCCATTAAAACGCTCCAATTAATTCAGAACGCTGCAGCACGAGTACTGACAGGAACTAGGAAAGAGCTCACATCTCTCCTGTACTAGCTTCTCTGCACTGGCTCCCTGTAAAATGTAGAATAGAATTTAAAATCCTCCTCCTCACCTATAAAGCTCTTCATGGTCAGGCCCCTTCATATCTTAAAGAGCTCACAGTACCCTATTACCCCTCTAGAACACTACGTTCTCTGAATGCTGGGCTACTTGTGGTTCCTATAGTCTCTAAAAGTAGAACAGGAGCCAGAGCCTTCAGTTACCAAGCTCCTCTCCTGTGGAACCAGCTTCCAGTTGTGGTTCGGGAGGCAGACACCCTCTCCACATTCAAGAGTAGGCTTAAGACATTCCTCTTTGATAAAGCTTATAGTTAGGACTGGATCAGGTGAGTCCTGAACCATCCCTTAGTTATGCTGCTATAGGCCTAGACTATCGGGGGATTTCCCATGGTGCACTGAGCTCCTCTCTTCCTCTCTCTTTCTGCACTCATTCATGTCCCATTAATGCATGTTACTAACTTCACTTCTTCCCCGGAGTTCTTGTGCTTTCTCGTCTCGCAGGTTCTTATCGATCCTGGTGGAGCCTCCTGCCATGGTCCTGCTAGATTGCCATTGCTAATACTGTTGTTACTGTGCGTCTGTCTGTCTGTCTGTCTGTCTGTCTGTCTCTCTCTCTCGCTCTCTTTCTCTGTCTCTCTCTCTCTCTCTCACCCCAACTGGTCGAGACAGACGACCACCCACCTAGAGCCGAAGGATCTGTCCTAGGTTTCTGCTTTTTAACAGGCAGTTTTTCCTTGCCCTTGTCGCCAAGTGCTTGCTCATGGTGGTACTGTTGGGTCTCTGTAAATAATGTTATAAAGAGTTCGGTCTAGACCTACTCTATTTGAAAAGTGTCCTGAGATAACTTCTGTTATGAATTGGCGCTATACAAATAAAATTGAATTGAACTGAATTGAATTGAATTAACAAGAATGTATTGTTTTCATGATTTTGTCTTCCTGTTACTGCTCTCCCACTGATACAGTCAAAGTGTGCACACACCAGCAGAGGACTGAAAGCAGCAGGAAACCTCCCTCAGTGGCTTTCACTCAGAACAACACTGGCCTGGTGTTTTCCTTCTGGACATGTTCTGATACCATTTTTCCCTTCCTGATTCCAATACCTACACTTCAGCCAATACCGGCCACTGATTTAAAACAAATGTGTTTAAAAAAAATATATCACAGCTCCAGACTGGGGCCACTTAGTCTCATTTTGTGACCATTGGTTATTTTAAAAGGGCCAGTGTGTAGGATGAAGTGGCATCTAGTGGTGAAGTTGCAGACTGCGACAAACTTGAATACCGCTCATCTTCCAAGAAACTATGGTGTAAGAGAAACTATGGTAGATGCAAAAGTCGTCAAAAATATCAATATCAACAAAATTAACACTTGAACAAACATCTGCGTGATAAGAACTACATAAAATGCCAGAAACCATCCTTTAAGCTTTATGACCTATACTGCAGTCAGCCACCAGGGGGCGAGATATATATTTTGGCTTCACTATTGGACAGCTGTCATGTCATCCAGCTTTATATATGTGGATGGATGACGTGATTGGTTCGGGTTAGGTAAAGAATATCAGGGTAAGCCAATCAGAATAAGAGTAGGATGGTTTATCATCCTGGGGGGACAGTGCTGGTGCACAGAAACGCCTACTTGCTGACAAGCTTTTTAGGTCGTATTGGAGGCATTTCCGACACCGGTATTAGTATCGAACAACTCTTCCAGCTTCCTTTACTCCTCAGTCTCTCAGTCTGGAGAGGAGCTGGAGGTTAATAAATTAAAAAAACAGAACAGCATGACATGTGTCAGTGAACATACCCGGAGCCAGAAAATCTTGGTTCCCTGCCAGCGCAGCCCCGTGTGCTGCCATGACAGATACTCATTGACGCGAGCGCGCTGCTGGAGGTCGGCTGGGTACCAGAAGTCTGGAGTCTTAAACTTCTCCGCCAGATACTGCAGGATGGCGACACTACGGAGGCAAACATCACCAATGACACACGCATGTACAGGGTTAGTATCAGAGTGATTATATAATTATGGGTACATACCATGTCCATGGGGTGTATTTATCAATTTGACTAAATATTCATTTCAAGCAACGACCAAATTTTATATTGGGTGATATTTCTCTTTCGTTTAATACAGAAAGTTAAGTTAATTTATTTTGTAAAATATGCAAATTATATACCGGAATTTGCAGTTTTTGTGCCGTCCGATTTCATACATTTCAAGTTTGCTCTTCAAAATTAACCCTAGAAGACATGTTTGTGTATATTATTTTTAGCATTATTTGTTCAAAAATAATCATTAAAACACGATAAAGGTGTTTTTAAAACTATCCTTAATCCTTAATAAAAAAATTAAAAAAAACCTGCAACAAAACTTCACATGTTCGATAAGAGTCCCGCCCTGAACATGTCTATGTGATAATATTCGGTAATGTGCCTAGTGGCAACAGGAAGTATCACGTTTTATACTTTCATGTTCTACTCCTAGCAGGATGATCAGACCCAGCTGAAATTTACTTATAAAATGCAAAACACATTGTTGATTATATGTGATGACTGCGGTGAGGGGGCGTGTCTGTAGCGTGGCGGGAAATTTTGATGTACCACCACAAAACACGAATTTGCTATAACTTGAGTGTACATTGTCCAATCGGCTCCAAACTTCACATGTCTGATAAGAGTCCCGCCCTGAACACGTCTATGTGATAATATTCAGTAAAAGTGAGAGCGCCACCTAGTGGTGAAAGGAAATGTCATTTTTTTATACTTCCATGTTCTACTCCTAGTAGGATGATCAGATCAAGCTGAAATCTAGTCAGAAAATGGAAAACATGTTCTTGATGATATTTCTTGATTGTGGTGAGTTTTTGTTACAGGGCGTGTCCGTGGCGTGGCGTCAAACTTTGATTGCCAGAACACACAAAGTTGCTATAACTTGAGTGTACATTGTCCAATCGGCTCCAAACTTCACATGTCTGATAAGAGTCCCGCCCTGAACACATAGTGATAGCGCCACCTAGTGGCAACAGGAAGTAAGTGCCGCGTGGCGATTTTGAGCTGATTTACGTGAGATTTTCATGTCGTTGTCCGCACGTGTTACGACGGCACATGACGCGGCCGCAGCACGCTACGAGTTGCGTGGAGTGCGAGGTCCCGTCCATCGCTGCTTGCAGCTTTAATTTTAATATGTTCTGTGGAGAAGGGAGACTGGCATTGGTCACGGTTTGGAACGAAAGGGAGAAAACAGGATAGAGTAACACGGCAGATATCACTCATATTGCTCATATCACTCGGCCTATTTTTTATTTTTTTTGACGACGTAGTTAAGCCAAAGTGCTGCGGGAAACCCTGATTTAGCAAATAAGCACAGTGATTTCTTCACTTATAGGTTGATATGAAATGTACCCCTAATTACATCACCTTTCAGCCAGGCAGAAGTCTCCATCTCGCAGAGCGGGGACTTTTCTTATCGGGGTGATCTTCCCAAACTCCTCTCCATAGTGCTCACCTGAAACCAACACACACACCTTCAGTCTGGAATGATCTAGAAGACACTACATGCTGCTCTGCTCTGCATCACAGCGGCAACCACTAGTCCATTCATCCATTAGTTGTCACATATTAATCGCCAACTATTTTGATCACATTTGAAGAAGTCACCTCAAAGTGGGCTCACCGAAACTTTTTTTTTTCCATTTTACGGAACAAACAGCTAATTAATCAACTGTGAGAATGATGACAGATTATTCCATAATGAGAATAATCCTTTCAGCCATAGTCTGCATAAATAGCTACCGGCTGATAGGGCTGAAACTTGACTACTGTCCTATACTGTCCATGAGTACTAAGTACCAGTGCTATAGTCAAGACCACTTTTGCTGAGTCCAAGACAAGTCCAGGACCAGGATTAGTCAAGTCCAAAGAGGTCTGAGTCCGAGTCAAGGCTGAGACAGAAAAAAAGAATGCTTTTGCCATTGGCATTGAGACGGGTTTTGACAGCCAGTCCACTCAGCCTCTGTCCCATTGTCCCCAGTCCACTCAGTCTCTGTCCCACTGTCCCCAGTCCACTCAGTCTCTGTCCCACTGTCCCCAGTCCACTCAGCCTCTGTCCCACTGTCCCCAGTCCACTCAGCCTCTGTCCCACTGTCCCCAGTCCACTCAGTCTCTGTCCCACTGTATACTCCTAGAAGGTTTTTTCACTCTTTAACTCTGCAGGCAGAAGATCTCAGTGGACTCAGCAGTCAATGCTGGAGGCTCTAACATTAGCATTTGAGCATTTAGCATTCAGCCGACCGTCAAACGACAGTGAACGTTACCTCCACCCCCGCTGGTTGGGAAAAGGATAGGGAGTTTTTTTCCCCTCCTCTGTGAGTGAACCTGAACTCACCTTCCATCAGCGAAACTGACTTGAATTCAAAGGGAATGTTGTTCTTCTTGGCGAAGATATAAACGGAGCGGCAGGGCTGAGAGAACATGTCCAGGTACAGCTCTAACGCCATCGTTACTCCCGAGTGCAGAGCTTCCTCCTCTCAGACACTTAGAACTTTATTTGACGAACCAATTTACTTGTGTAGATACTTTACGCCCTCCCTCCTCCTGTGGAGGAAGCAGAGGCAGATTCCTCATTGGCTGCTGCTGTGCGCCTGCGCGGTCCCCAGCTAGTTAGTTAATCAGCCAAAACATTAACTTTCTGAACTTCCACTGGGACATGCAGGCTCTGATCTATGAACAAGCAACATCAAAGTCAATTATTTAGGGTTTTTTATTTTTGCTTTTTATGTGTATTATATTGTTATAAAGCCACCTGGTTGCTTGTTTTTGGAATTACAATTATTATTATTTCATTAATCAAATAAACAAGACATATTTTGACTGATCACTTTGGTTTACCTGGCATGTGTTTTGGTCACCATTGATTCAATGTTTGCACAGATCTTTAAATAAACAGACAGAGTAAATACAGTCTAATAGGAACAACCTCTGACTGTATGTGTGCCTTGTAAGATGTCCAACATTTCTGTCTCCAGTCTTTATGCGGGTCATCTTTATTTTCTAGTAAACGTAGACCTAAAAGGCAGAGGTTGTTGTTAAATGTTTTGCTCATTCTTGAAATTGTGTGGTTGGCAAGAACTGTTCAAACCCACTTAAAAGATCATTTGAACACTGTCAGATGTGTACAAATGCAACAGTTTATTTTCTGGGTGTATAATTTGTGACAATTTCAGCTGCACATGCAAAAATGTGTCCACAGGAAAACATTCTGAATTTTTTCTTTATCTAGAGCAGGAAGTGTCGTCAGCTACAGCCTCTGACCCACAGACCTCAGCTAAGCTTTCTCAAAGACTCTCCACACTTTAAGAGAAATGACAATCCCCAGGCCACTGTAGCTTACTGGACAGTCACATTTAAGCTCCATTTAAAGCAAGATAAAGCAACAATAGACCTTTTTCACAGCAGCCATTTTGACATTAAATAGTAGGGTAAACACAGGTTTATGGTCTAAAGGGGCTCGGCTTTTACATGCTTTCTCCTGCTGATTTCATTCATAGATTGAAACATTTTTGAAACAGTAGCCATTCTTTTGTTGTTTTTTACTCTGTAAATGATTTCCATGTATATTTACAGTAAGTGACTGGCAGTGCAGCTACTGTTATTGTACTGTAATGCAATTTACAGTATACAATACTATATCACGGCAAAACAGTATTTTACTGAAATTCTGCCTATTTCTGATGCATTGTATTATATTGTGCTGTATTATATCCAGTTTTATTTAGATTAATATATTGTTATTACAACAGTACTGTACTGACTAATAATAATTTATTATATAATATTCAGTTACTAATATTGTAATGTTACTATCCTAAAATATATTGTAATATATGATGCATGACAATGCAATATAAACTACAGTATTTTACTGTAATATGAAGAAATATGGTATTTTACATTAGGTTTCTACAGTACTGTGCATCTATATCTACAGTGACATCTAAGAGTGTAGCCTTTCTGAAACTATTGCATTGTTAAATTAATACTTATTACTTTAGAAAAATAACTGCCCCCTCACTATTTTTAACAGCCTGTTCACTCTAAAAAGTAATCCAGTGGACCTTTGTCACTACTTAAATAAATGCATGGTTTCAAGCTAAAACTTAGAATTTATTGATTTTGATAAACCTTTTAAGTTTAACATTATTTTGATGAGTTGCGATGACATAACATGGAAAGACTAGTTGGAAGTTAATTTCTATCAACTAATCAACATTGTAACACAGTGTAGTACCTTTGTTTAACATAATAACACAAGTTGCCATAAATCGTAAGGATTGATGCAAACTGTTACATTATGTTCCCCAAAAATAAAACATAACAATGCTAACATGTGAAATCAGTTGTTTTGGGATGCCGGTAAAGTCAAATCAAATTAATACAGATATCAGGTCATCAAAATTAGTAAACTAATCATTGAATACACTAATTAGTGAATATGTACATGCTAAGCTATTTGTGAAATGGCAACCAAACTAAGCCTGGGATCTACCTGCTGGTTAAATGGCACCAAACTCTATAGTAAAATGTCTACAGGCACACAAATAGCAACAAATATAGCAACTTATTCAGACCATATAGTAAGACGCCAGTTATATATTAAAATATTTGGTAATCCATCCCTATGCCTGCTGCTTCTGCCAGCAGCATGGGGGTCTCTACCTCTCCTCTTGGGCAGGTAGACGTGGGGCACTTTCTCTGTCACTCTTTCTCCACAGATCTCTGGATCAGGGTGTTCTTATAGCTTGTAAATAAGTAAATAGTTTGTTTGAGAGAAGAGAAGAAGAATCCACTGGGCCTGAACGAAAGCAGCCAATCAGAGCCGAGAAAGATAGAAAGACACTTTTGGCTGGTGACTTGAAGATAGTTGTTAGTTTTACTGTCGGTACTTGACGACCTGGGAATGAGACTCAACAATCAACAATCTTTCTTGGCTCTCACAGAAAGGTAAAACTCAGTGTGGATCCTTTCAAAATAAATCAATTACACACACACACACACACACACACACACACACACACACACACACACACACACACACACCAGATAAATAAATGAATTCAATTCATGGAGGCTACATGATTCACTCAAGAGAGTCCAGTTCATCTCAGGAATTGAAGGGAATATTTTGAGGAAAAAAACTTACAACAAAATAAAGACAGAATCTAGTCTCTTCTCCCTCTTTATTCCATGTTCTTCTAGTGTGATCTTCTTCAATAGTGTGTAACACAAGTGATCTCAGAAATGGTAACAATAATAGGGCTTAATCATTAAAAAACAGGACTGATTAACATCACGTTTTACAGCCGTCGGAACAACTGCAGATGTGTAAACTGTAGTACACAGTGGCCTGAAAAGAACTAGCTTTACTTCATTGAGTGATTAATACTGAGATCCAATCTGCTTTCTTCGTCTTCTTCTTCTTTTAGGAATGCGATCGTGTGTCAGAAACATGCTTCACAAGAAGCTCATGACAGTCCCCTTCTTTCCGACCTGGTGTGGCTGCAGTGCGTGGAACTGGATAACAATCCTGTGAATCAGAACAAAGCCATCAATTATTTACTCTGTGTTCGCTCAAATGTGAGAATACAGATTAGGTTCAAATGCAGCTCCAGGTCCCTGCGCTGCTTTTTACTGGTGTGAGGATTAAGGAGTGCTGCTCCTGGTTTTGCAGAGTTAGTTTAACATCTGATAAATAACTTTCCTGTGAGATTATTATCCAAGGTGAGAGTGAGTTACTACACAGATAACAAAGATTATTTCTAAGCATGCAATAATAAAACATGTTAAGACAAGCATCATTCTGAAAACCCTCATTACATTTTCAGGCAAGGTTTAAAGCTGCAGTAGGTAAAATACTATATGTCATATTCACTGAAACTTTCACTATATCCTGACAGTAGTACATGAGACAGATAATCTGTGAAAAAATCAGGTTCCTCTGGGTCCTCCTAGTGCTCCTAATGGTATTTGTAAGAATCCACAGGGCCTGAATGAAAACAACCGCTCAGAGCAGAGAAACATATAAAGACACTTTGGGTTGGAGGCTTGAAGATAGTTGATTGCTGAGTATCAATCCCAGGGTCTGTATTTGACGCTCTGCTCTGATTGGTTGTTATTGTTCAGGCCCAGTGGATTCTTACAAATACCACTAGGAGCACTAGGAGGAACCAGATTAACCTTATTTTTCACATATTATCTGTCTCAGGATACAGTGAAAGGAAAGCAAATATGTCACAATTATTTTCATAAACATTACCAACTGCAGCTTTAAAACAAGAGCCTCATAATGCAAACACACATACAAAACAATAGAATGGTGGGTATATATGTTAGTAGTAATATGGACTAAATAAGTCTGCATTGTTAGACACTGACTAAAACTTGCAGAGCAGAAACACAGACATAAAAAGCATGCACTGTATACATCTGACACAATAAAAGGAATGCATGAAGGTACATGAGGGCAGAGGTTCATTCTGCATAACACAGAGTTCTGCCTGTCTACAGACAAAAAGAGTGCAGCCATATTATAAACAAAGAGTGATGATAACAGCAAAGACCGGGACAAGGTCACATACTGTATCTGGTGAGACGCAACAGTCTTTGGTTCATATAAAGAACCGTGATCTGGTAAGTGTGAGATTGTTCTGAAGCCTTATTGTTAACTGAATGGGTGAACCCAAGCTGGGCAATAATTGCATTATAACTGATTTTTAGTTAGTTTGAGTTGGAAGGAAGTTAGCTTTAGAATTAAGGCTAATTATAAGATAAACCTACAGACCTGTGGGCTGAACTCAGAGCTGTGTTTATACTATAAGGGCAGAGTCAGACCCAGGCCAGCCGCTAGGAATTGGCCTTTCCTAAGTCCCGCCCTTTTTTTCTCTGTGCTCCAATTGCAGTTGAGCAAGCCTTGACCAACTGTCTCCTTTACTGTACTTAAATATGTTACGTGCTAGGCTCGTCTTTGGTGAAAAAACAACCACATTTTGAAGATAGCCTGCCTCCAGCAGGTGGCAATATAATATAAAAGAACATAGCATAATATTATATAATATAATATATAGCCTTATAGGTTGTTTTTTTAAGATAAGATAATCCAGCAGTTACAGCAGCAAGGGAAGTAGAACAAATATCCAGAAAAAAATAAAATAAGTACTATATGAAAAATATACAACAGTGAATGGGGATCCAAGAGTAAACAATGTCACTAAGTGAATTGTGGTGCTTGAGCCCACTTAAAGGACCAGTGTGTAGATTTAGTGGCATCTAGCAATGAAGGTGCAGATTGCAACTAACTGAACACCGCTGGCCCCTCTATTTGAAGACCTGGCAATGAGAACAGGCTGTGAAGCCTGTAGGAGAAACTATGGTGGCCGCAAAAAATGTGAAAGGCCCTATCTACAGCCAGTGTTTGGTTTGTCCGTTCTGGGCTACTGTAGAAACATTGTGGTCAACCGTGGTGGACTATACACGAATGAAAACCTACCTATGAATATTATATTCCATTTCTGCTAATAGATCCTCCTAAATGTTACACACTGGATCTTTAAGGGGCAACCATCGACCTTTGTATCGCCGCAGTGGCCGGCGGGCCTGGTCAGACCATATTACAGTGACAGTCCCTCCTAAGAGCTCACCTGTCTTCTGGCAGACGAAGTTCTGTGGTCAGAAACTCAAAGATCTTGGCACTGTGTTCCTTGTTCTTGTCAGCAGTGTCAGTCACGCCAATAGCAGACACCGACAGCATCACACACGGAGAGCAAGAGCCAGCTATCATCATCAGCAGCCCAGCCTTCACCACCACATTCATCCTCTGAAAGACAAATAATATTGGTAAGGGTAAAACATGACAGAGAGGGAAACAAAAAAACACAGTACTTCATGTGAAAGCTGTACATGTTTTACAAAGTAAGCACATTTCCCCACCAACAAGGTCAGAGTTTATTCTCCAGTGCGTCCTTAAACAACACACTGGCCTCTACCCGACAGAGCCTTTACTTTAACTGTGTGAGAGGGTGAATTTTGAAACATCAAATCCAGTTATTCAGAGTAGAGCCGTTTATGGTAACTGTGTGAGCCTGTTAATCTATAATGAAAATAATCATTAGTTGCAATCCTATAGTAAACATATGTGAGCTATATCACACACACATACTGCTCTACTGTATGTTACTGTATGTTACTCTATGTCACTGTATGTTATAGGGCTGGGCGATATGGCTTAAAAATAAAATCTCCGATTTTCTCACACCAAACCCGATTTACCATTTTAATCGTTTTTTTTGTAGACTGTTTTTTAGCGGGTGTTTGAGGGCTGCGGTCCTGTATATCTCGCAGAGAGCAACATTTCTCCCGCTCGGCTGTATGCCTCTGCTTGAGGTGCTGGAATAAACTTGTTGTACTGCTAACTTTGGTTGCAACAGCTTTCAAACAAACTTTGCAGTGGGTCGTGGTTTGTTCGCTGTCGGACGCCACAAAACCAAACCAGTTCCAAACAACCGACGACACTCTGCCTTTTTTGGGGACGAGCTCATCCTGGCTTGCTGCCATGTTGTGTTTATCTGTGGAGAGGCGGGGGAAGGGGTCAGCACACTCTGACCTACGGGAGCCCAAAGGGAGCGCCGGTGTTGTGAAAGTTCAAGAGAAAACTGATTTTAACCAGAAATAAATCGTGTTTAACTACGAATTCGAATTAATCGATAAAATCAATTTATTGCCCAGCCCTAATATGTTATTGTATGTCACTGTACTGAATGTTACTGTATGTTACTGTACTGAATTTTACTGTATGTCACTGTACTGAATGTTACTGTATGTCACTGTACTGAATTTTACTGTATGTCACTGTACTGTATGTTACTGTATGTTACTGTACTGTATGTTACTGTATGTCACTGTATGTCACTGTACTGAATGTTACTGTATGGTACTGTATGTTACTGTATGTAACTGTATGTAACTATGTCACTGTATGTTACTGTATGTTACTGTATGTTACTGTATGTTACTGTATGTTACTGAATGTTACTGAATGTTACTGTTTGTTACTGTACTGAATGTTACTGTATGTTACTGTATGTCACTGTACTGAATGTTACTGTATGTTACTGTACTGAATGTTACTGTATGTCACTGTACTGTTTGTCACTGTACTGAATGTTACTGTATGTTACTGTACTGAATGTTACTGTATGTCACTGTACTGAATGTTACTGAATGTTACTGTATGTCACTGTACTGAATGTTACTGTATGTCACTGTACTGTTTGTCACTGTACTGAATGTTACTGTATGTTACTGTATGTTACTGTATGTTACTGTACTGAATGTTACTGTATGTCACTGTACTGAATGTTACTGTATGTCACTGTACTGAATGTTACTGTATGTTGCTGTATGTCACTGCACTGTATGTGACTGTCTGTCGTTGTACAGTAATACCACTGCTGCTCTAATGGCATATGACACTTGTAAACAGTATGTCACCCAAGGTCCACAGACACATACAACTTGGTAACCAACCTTGGTACATGATCCATAAATGGCTAAGGACTCTAATCTCTCTGTAAGAGATAATACAGATAAGTTGTATGTTCCATGATTGTAATGAATGGTGAGGGGTCAAAGAAGCACACATCAGCTCCACTAGCTAACATACATTATTTCAACAGTCTTGTGATATGGACAAGAACTCACACACATATCCAACAGGTTTATCCATATAGGTTTCATGGGCAGTTGGCTCTTAAACTACAGGTCCTTAGCTTGAGCTAACACTGGCACACTCATGCAGAGGCACAAACAATAATCCCTGTGTCAAGGTGTCCAGTTACACTGAATAGTTAGTAGAAATGAATAGACACCTTTCAGCCAATTACAATCAAGAATTTCCGGGGGCGAGGATACAGTCCAATAAGATGGCAGCAATAGTGGACGTGCTGGAAACGCCTCTGTTCCATTCACACTAGAGCTAAAGGCTGCTTAGGTTTGGAGTTTGTGGCAAATAAATGTAAAGGTTTCTGCAGAGAATGTCTAATAAGGGGAGAACTTCCACTCTCGGTACACTTCCAACTTCTGAACTGTTGCAGTTCCACTCTGGCTCCATATGAGGGCGCTCACAGGATGAGTGCAGAATGAATGGCGGTCTATGGAGCTATACCCTCAAAATCCACTTTTCTCAGGATAGAATTTTTCGTCTAGTAGTTTGAATGTTGCATTCGAAAGGGGATGCAAAGAAATGACACATTGCTGGGTGTCTTATTTATAGTATATTAGGTTATAATACACAGTGAGTTGTAAATTATAGTATCTAGTATCTGAAGTACACATAAAATAAATCATTTGATGGTCAGGCTTCATCTGTCTAATAGACATAATTGAAGCCAGAAAACAATCACAGTGATCTTGATTTTGGATATCGACGTTTATTTAGTTCGACTAATTCCATACCAGGAGTTGAATTACAGCGTGTTATATGTCAAATCACATGAGGAAATGATTGCCTTGGTCTTTCCGTTCAGTACGTAGTACGACGTTACGACGTACAAAAGAATAAAAGCATTTATTTTGATGGGTGGGCCATGTTGCAAAACCTTGTAGATAATTACAACAGCAGAACATTGCATTAAACAATGCAGTTGTTGTTAGTTTTAATTATTTGGCTGAAAGCAAGAGCAGCGCTGTTTCTCCGTCTTCGCTGAATGAATGCGCGCTCCCGCGGCAAGGGGGAACACTTTCTGTCGGGGATACCTACATTGGCACAACACCGGCAGCAGCTTTGACATTGAGTAAAGCTCCAGTGAAGTGTCAGAGAGGCAGGGTAGAGGCGTACTCACGTCCTCGGGTTTCCCCAGAGCAGCCGCGACGCACGAGCTCAGCTTCTTCACAAAGTCCTCCGAGAACGAGCCGGCCGGTAAATTCGTCTGGAAGTCTATGAAAGGCATGTTCACAACCGAGACTCAGGTCTGCCGACAACTCTGTGTGGGGACGAGGACGGAAGACCAGTGACAGGACAGCGAGCTTAGCCTACTTCCGGTGTAACCTTCAAAATAAGTGAGGTGCGTTACAATAATTAAACTACACTACTGATGAATGCGTTCTGCTAATTTGTTGCGAAGGATGATATAAATGTGTTTTTGTCACATTTGCTATCTGATATTTCACCATGTCCTATGGATGCCCCTTTACACCAGTGTGACAAAAAAAGGATGTTGTTAATCATTCTAATGAGAAAGTTTGTCATTATTTTAAGAAAGTTGAACCCTGAATGCATTAGTTTGTTTAATGGGCTTTACCATCACTGAGTGAATGTGTGTGAAAGGGTGAATGTGGCACGTAGTGTAAAAGCGCTTTGAGTGGTCGGAGGACTAGAAAGGCGCTATACAAGTACAGGTCCATTTACCATTTACCTTGGCTTTCATAGAGCATAAAGCCTATCCATCATTTCACATACTAATTAAAAATAAATTATCATTATGGACCAATTATTTATCGTTTGTATTTAAATAATTTATCGCGCATCCCTAAAGCAAAGTTAGTCCCTTAGGACAGGTAAATCCTACTCGGAGAAACCATTCTTTAAAATTTGGAGTTAAAGTTTGTTTTCTCCAACTTGGGGTTTTATTTTGAAAGTAGAACCGGATGGAGCCTACAGCAAGGGGCCGAGCTCCAGCCTCCTCAGCAGAACCAAGCAGGAATGCCTCTGCTGGCAACTTCATTCATTAGAAATTCCTGGCAAATAATACGAAACAAGACTACACATGGTGGGAGTAGATAGCAGCTGTTTATTAAAAGGTTTATCGCTGTACATTAGCAAAAACATTTCATACATTACATAGTCATCAATCAACAAGACAAACAACAGGCTCACTTCCTGAGGTACAGCGTTCAGATTTGTGTCTACAACATGTCTACAGTATGTTTCATTACTGAAATATGACAGCTGACACCCATCCTTCACACCAGTGATGTCACACCTAGAGAAAAAGAGAAAAGAAACAGGTCATGGTGATAAATACCAAAATCATATTGTGTTGTTTGTGCAAGCAATTGTTGAATCAAAGCAGCACAAAACTGTACAAAAAAGCAAAGCTGGTTAAGTTGGGACAGTTATACATGAAGCTTACATGGAGAATATTATAGAACTCAAAAACAGGTACCTTCTGTTAAAGGGACAGTTTACCCCAAATCAAAAATACCTGTTGTGCCATTTATTCATCTGTGTGAGTTGGTGTGAGTTGCTGAGTTTTGGAGATATCGGCCGTAGAGATGTCTGTCTTCTCTCCAGTATAATGGAACTACACAGAACTGAACTTGTGGTGCTCAAAGCGGCAAAAAAAAAAACATTTGAAAAACTCAACAGCAACATCTCTTTCCAGAAACCATGAGCTGGTTACGCAAGATAGTCCACAGAGCTTGTTGTGAGACGTTTCATGTAGGAACTTTCTTTCTACTATTTTCTTTCTACCGAACAACATCTGCAAACTGGAGCTGAATGTCAGCTACCTCACTGGTGCCAGGTGAGCTTGCTAACGTCTGTGCGGCGATACGTAGAAAGAACATAGTCCCTACGTGAAACTGCTCATAACAAGGACTGTTGAGTTTATGATTTCTGGAAAGAGACATTATACTGGAAAGAAGGCAGACATCTCTACAGCCAGTATCTCCAAAACTCAGCACCTCACACCAAAACTATCTGAATGGTTAAACAGCTCTACAGGTAGGAGGAAAAGTATTTTGTATTGTGGTGCCATCGTTCACCACAGACTCACCGTGGGAGTACTTGCACTGTTTGAGCGCCTCGTTGAAGCCCTCACATAAACTCAGGTCAGACTGGTTGGTGGCACAGTCCAGGAACTGTCTGACCTCAAATTGACAGGGGCCTTGTTGGGCCGTGGCGGGCCGGGGGGGCTCCTGGAATCATACGAGGAAAGAAACACACCTCACATTTATTCAGGGGCTGCTAGAAAGTTAGAAAAGGGCTTCTTTGTGGGAACTTTCTGGTTCGGCCACAACTTCACAAGTTTCATATTCAGATTGTCTCCAGATATTAGTCAGTTAGTGAATCACTGCTACATACATACATACATACATTACATATAGTACCTGAAGCTAAACGAGACCCGGCTTCTGATGTCTTCTTCTCTTAAAAAACAGGTTTATAAGAAAAACTTGACAAAATAAGCCAAAGTTTTCATATTGAAGACATTTTAACATTATTGGATTTAAAACCGCAGTAGATCATTCTTATAAAATAACAAAACAAACATACTAATAATAAGAAAGAAAGTTGTTTGCTGAGTGTCATTCCCAGGTTGTGAAATATCGATGCTTGTACAATGAGATTCAACAAGTGTCTTTTTTTTTTACTAAATCCAAATCCAAATGTTACACTGTATTAAAACAGAACATTTCCATCCAGGTGAGGGGAAAAACAAGTGCAAGACCTAGAACAACCCAGTGATGACCTATTTAAGTTCAGCTAGGTTCAGTGATCCACCTTAATCGTCTGTCTGATCACACTCTCTCACCTGGTATGCAGGCTTGGCTGGCTCTGGACTGCTGCTGCTGCTGCTCCCGCTGAACGCTCCGGTGAGGGCACTGCCGACAACGTGGCCCACAGCTGAGCCTACTGCCACCCCGGCAGCTGTGGTAGCCATCTGGGCCATGAGGCCTGGCCCCTGGGACTGTGTTGGAGCTGGGGCCAGAGCGGCGGGAGGCGGATGAGCGGGTGCTGGAGCATGGGATGGAGCTGGACTACAGACAGGAAACAAAAACAGACGGGCTTAAAGGGATTTAATCTGCAGTAGCCCTTGTGTCCCAGTAGCACTCCTTTCATTCAGCTGTATCAGATGTGTCGTCGCTCTGAAATCAGGGATCTGTTTGATGATGTTTCAAGACTAAAATGTGTCCAAGCTGAGGACATGTTGAGTTACCCAACTGTTACTAGCTCACTCTAACTCTAATGTTAACGTTGTAGCAGGTTCAAACTCCACCTGTACGTGATAAAATTCTGGAAGGCAAACAATGGAGACTGGTGGACATCTTTGGAGAACTGTTTAGTAATTAATTAATTAAGTTAACATTTTGGCTATGGGCTTAAAATTAAAGAAGCATCAGACTATGGAATCTGGATTGGTACGTGATATGCTAAATATGATTATAATATATATTAGATGGGATCAGTCCCATCTCTAGAATAAAAGTATGAATTATATATTCATACAAAGCTCAGCAATAATGATATTTAATCTCAGCCTTTCAGCCTCAGTTGCAGAGAAAATGCCTGCCTATTAGTTTTCTCTATAAATTGTTAAAAATGAAGGTCAAATGTCCATCACAAGGTACCAGACACTACCTTGTTGATCCCAAAAAAAGCGCCTGTCAAACTAAATGATTAATTGTATAATTGTCCTCCCGGGATCAGTTATCCAGATAGTGTTACCTAACTAACCACACAGCGTTACCGAAGGACAGAGTGGGAATTCTAAGTCATTATAATGAGAAACGTTCAATATATATATATATATATATATATATATATATATATATATATATAGATAGAATGTCTCAGTATTTTGACTTATAAGTCAGTACTTTGTGATGTTAAGACAATATTTTGAGAACGTTTCTCTTTGTAGTGATGTACAGAATTTTTCCCATCACTTTACCTTCCATAGTTTTTGATGGAACCTGGATACAGCTGAGAGCCATTTAAAAACTCTTCCTCTTCACTGTACCACCTGACGGGGTTGCCTCACAGAAACCGTTATCTTTAACGTAGTGACCTTGCAAGCCCTAACGTCACTGTGACATGGTGTCACAGACTTGTGACGCAACAACAATTAGACCACGTGCCTTCAGGTGAATAATGTAGTTATATTAGTTTGACTACAAGCGTTACTGTCAATATGTCTGTCAGTCTCAATACAGGAATTAGCTCTACTTCCAGGGCTTTAAATAGAACACACAATATTCCTGAGCACGGACTGAGCCAGCTGTGAAAGTGATGTCAGTCAGTTAACGGTAGTTTACCTGGCTGCTGAGGGACGGCTGCGGCTTCCTCTGGCCATGTCTGAACCGAAACACGCTTCTCTTCACTGGTGAACCGGACTGAAGACCGGGAGAGCTCTGTCCGCTTCTAGAAAGTGCTCGGTTGACAGACCGCTGCTCGCGTAAGTGCCGCTGACCTTGTGCAACAAGTCGGCTGCGCACGAACCAACTCTCGCGAGACTTCGTCTTCTGCTGTGTGTTGAGCATTGAGACTGCGGGCACAGCGCCACCTGCGGGACTGGAGCGCAGCCGCCTCGCCACAGACCAAAGTTAATACTTTATGCCTATTTACCACACATTTCTTCTGGGACAAGGAGGTCTGCCTTTATCCGATAGGAAATGTAGTAACAAAGATGTTGTTGTTTATCCTAACAATAAACCATACATTACAAAATAAATTAAAGATTGTATTAATAGGGAAAAGGTAGCTTTTAGAAATAAAGACAGGGCAGGACTGTCAGTAGTTCAAAAAGAACTGAAACAGCTCCTTACAAAAACAGCACAGGCAAACAATGGAACAGAGCTTTTAAACTTCAAACCATAAAAAACTTTGGGACACTATGAAATCACTTACAAACATGAATTCTGCAAAACAACAAATTATCACTGTGGATGAACAACAAAAGTCAGATGAGCTGAATGACTTTTACTTGAGGTTTGAGACAGTATGTTGTTGTCTTTGCCAGATACTGATGCCACCCACTGGCTGGAAGTGGACCCGCCCAGTGTAGAGTCCCTTTTTAGTAAGGTGTGCACTAATACGTCCACTGGGCCAGATGGACTGCCAGCTTTCTTGCTTAAAAGCTGTGCAGTGGAACTAACACCAGCATAGTGTCCAATATTCCAACGGTCTTTGGACACTCACACTGTCCTAGCTTTGTGGAAGAAGTCAATCATAACACCAGTGTCTAAAAAGCCCTCTGCCACAGTGAATAATGATTTTCGTCCTGTAGCTTTGACCTCTATTGTAATGAAATGTTTTGAGAAATTTGTAGTGTCTCTGCTCAAGAAAGAAGTCGAGCCAGACTTAGACACATGACAATTTGCCTATAAGCACAAACGTAGCAGTGAAGTTGCCATCCTCTGCATTTCACTTTACTTCTAAGCACCTTGAGAACACAAACACCTATGCTAGAATTGTAATTATTGATTTTAGTTAAGCATTTAATACCATGCTTATACAATATGATACCATACCGTACAGTACAGTACAGTACAGTACAGTACAGTACAGTACGATATGATACCATACAGTACAGTATGATATGATACCATACCATACAATACAATGAGATGAAATAGACATTGTTGTTCCCAAACCAGGGAAATTTGCTTGTCACTGCAGCTCAAGATACAACTCAACACAATATATAAGAAAATACACATAAAATAAAATAAAACATAAAAATAGAAAGAAACAGAAATCTTTTATATATACAGATATGTTTGATGGAGCACTGCACAGAGATAAATGCACAGATTATTGAAACACACGTGGGCAGTATTGTGCAGTAAGGCATTACTTGTAATAATATTAGTAACTAGTAGTGTAACTAATTACTAATAAACTTTAGTAATAATATTACAGTTAATCCCCTAAAAAATAATTAGTTAGAACATTACTTTTGTTGACACCTCCCTACTGATTAGAAATCCAACACTCGAGTCACATCCCTGGATTCATTTTTGTAATGGTGGAGGAAACTAGTTTGGAAGATGGAAACACTTCCATTCAGCAGCTGGAAATATTCCATTACTTTGATTTTAACAAACAGAACTGGATTTAATAAGTTTAAATCTGTATTTGGGGAGAAAGGACACAATTACCACTTTAATGGGGAGTAGCAGAAAAGTAATATAACTAATAGTGTGTATAACTGTGAAACTAATTAGTGTTGGCAGGGAGTAATAACTAAAGTAATAATAATACTTTTGAAATGAGTAACGAGTAATGAGTAATAAATTAAGTTTGAGTAACTAGGTCAACACAGTATGTGCAAGTCTGAATTTATGGAATGATTAATTCCATATATTCATCCTTCATACAATAATTTCCTAAAAGGCATTTGTATATATATATAAGATAAGATAAGAGTACCTTTTTTAACACTCTTAGGAGAAATTCAAGTCAGACACAGCAGCATAGAGGAATGTAGTGCAAAGAGTACAGAAGTGTACAAGTACAATAAGAATCACAACATAATAATATTATAAAATATAATAGAAAATATAAGACTATAAATGAAAAATATATACACTGTATGTAATATGTGGTAGTGTGCAACATATTTTGAGCAGTGTATAACTAAAACATGTGCACTTTAAAGATAATAGTTTGTCCACATATATGTATGTAGTGTTGAAGGAAGTGATGATGTTTCTATTTATATATTTATTTGCAGCAGTCACTTTATTTTACTGTCTGTGTTGTATGTTTTCAGCGACCCAGTCTCCCCATATGGATCAATAAAGTTGTACTGTACTGTGGGACAGGTCCGCTCCTGAACACCGGGGGCGCTGTTGCACTTTATTCATCGTTCCTCCTGGAAAAATACTGTCAATATTATCGCTTCCGTGTAGCCATCATATCAACAAAGACTCCACAGCCCCACACGGCTAGCTAGTTATGCATTTCAGATAGCACTGCGACGTTTTTTTAGACCTGTCGGGGTTGTTTTTTAGGACTGAATAGGTTTCTTTCGTCCAAAAGGCCGAGTGTCGACAATGACAATGTCGATAGCCATGGACTTCCATTCTCAAATTGCCTCCATCATGGAGGTGCTGGCTAACGCTGCCGTCGCAGAGATTTGTAAAGTTGTGGACGACGGCTACTCGGTGGTTCATCTGGAAATGTCCCGGAGCCAGAAGGAGAACGAGTTCCTGCGGAGGAAGATCAAACTGCTGGAGCTGCAGGTCGCCAGGTACCGAGCGGAGAGAGTGAAGGGAGCGGAGGGTTCCATCAGCAGCCGCTTCCCCGGATTCCGCCTCCTCCACCGGCAGAGCAGGGACTCGCTGGCCGGTACGTAGCCCCGGTGCTCAGCTCGAACTCCGCTCAGAAATGTGTTCAAAATGTGCTAATAGGTATGTGAGCGCTTTCTGGTGTCAGCATGATGGATAAAGCTGACAGTGTCTTATTTCAGGTTGGTAGGTGGTAGGTTGTGAGATGTCTGCCTCCACCCAGTGCAGTGCAGGTGAATGCTATTTCTTTTATGCTACTCTCCTCATTAAAAGTCTCAGGCACCATGGCTGATTTCAGGCATAGAGTAGTTTTAAATGCATACTATACTTCATTCAAAACAATGCACAGATTTCCTCCTGGACAACTTTTCAGGCTGTGTTTCACCCTGTGTGAACAGTCCCTATGAATATCGTATCGTACTGTATCATGGACAGTAGGGCTGCAAATTGTAAGCTCTTTCCTTAATCGATCATTGGTAATTAACCAATGTCATTTAAAAAACAAAAATGTAGCTTATTTTAAACACCAAATGTGTATTTTTGTCATCAACCAAAGCTTTATTTCAACAGCAATATATCACATCAATTGCATAATGTATAGAGTTGGAAAGGTATAAACATTAAAGCTGCAGCAGGTAACATTTATTAAAAAATAAAATGTCATATTTGCTGGAACTTTCACTATATCCTGACAATAGAACATGAGACAGATGTGTGTAACAATCAGGTTCCTCTGGCTCCTCCTAGTGCTCCTAATGGTATTTTCAAGAATCCAGGGGCCTGAACGAAAACAACCAATCAGAGCCGACAAAGATAGTTAATTGCTGAGGTTATTGGTATTTTACAATCTGGGAATGAGATTCCACAATCAACTAGTGTCTTTCTCGGCTCTGATTGGTTGTTTTCATTCGGGCATGGTGGATTCTTGCAAATGTCATTAGAAGCACTGCACTAAGAAGCTCAAAAACAATGCTCTGAAGATCAATTCTGAGGCTGATCTGTAAATAGTTTTCTAATAAATATAGCTGATCAACTCATATCAATATCAGGGCTAAATTTACAACTTATTTTTGTTTAGTCCTGCCGACTTCCGGTTTAACCCAGAGCATGGAAACAGATCATTTTGTACTCACTCATACCTAATAATGACATCAAATGTGGAATACTACAAGGATAAGTTCTGGATCCTGTTTGGTTTTCTTATGTGTACATGCTTATGTCATCATAACCTCTCTTTACAAATCTCTGACAAAGCTGAGGTTGGAATAATAAGCCACGAACACCTCTTTAAATAAGTACAGCCACTCTCTGGCTCCCTCAACAACAAGTTTGCCCTTAAAAGTGTTGGTGTTAACATGCCTTTAAGTTTCTGTCAACTCTTAAATATCGGTTTCCCCAGGACAGGGAGAATGTGAGGAAGATGTGTGATAGTGAAAAGATAGTGAAAGTTTCAGTGAATATGATAGAAAGTTATTTTTATATGAGTCCTACTGCAGCTTTAACACTATGCAGAGATACATTGAGTTCAGTTGTGGCTAATTATTCTCCTTTTAATGCTCCACAAGGCCCCTCTCTGCAAGGCAGGACCAGGTTTCTGAACCGAGGTCCAGGGACTCAACAGTCCATGCAGAAGACCCAGCCTATCAACCTGGACCAGGATCCTGATCAGGAGGTCGTCACCACCACCAAAACTGAGGTAGCTATCCAACAGTGCACCAGCCCCAGAAAACCATCTTCATATAGGCCCCTTCCAAAATGTCTGACATAGCAGCAGATAGCATCCACGTAGAAACACAACGACTGCCAGCAGTAGGCTCATACACAAGTTTAGCCACAGCTGAACCATTTCCAAATTAAACACTTACAAACCCCATTACTGCTGTCCATCATGTCAGCAGAGTTGACCCTCTTCTCAGTGTCGCAATCCAGAAGGTTTTTAGGGGACTCTCAGGGACAGAATTCATGCTTTTTGAAGGTAGAATTCAGTTCATTTAAGCTTACGCCGGCTCTAAGATTACCGTCTCTGCTAACAGTTTCCTGGAGGAAACCTGCACTTTCTACAGTTGCTGACTGACTGTTAACTGAGTGGCTTCAGTGTATGGAGTAATATTTGGTCAGTTATTGAAAGGAAATTGGTACAGTCCAGTTCTTCAGATGGCCAAGACGCTTAATGTGACAATGACCACTGGAAGTACTGCTCTGCTGCAGTCCCTCCAGAAAAACACGGAGTTGGTTTGTGATTGTTGCGGGGCGTTTTCTTAAAAAACGCGATGGAATATGCAGCAATTTATGCAATTTTATGCGATGATAACGTTCCCATGGCAACAGGGGAAAATGGCTGCTCTTGTGTGAAGTAAACGCAACATTTTTCAACTTTCTGCTAAGATATATGTGACTTTTTTGCAACGAAAATGCGGGGATTATGAAATTGTGCAAGCCGTGCGGAAATTGGCAATTTATGCGGCGAAAGTGCGGCGTATTTGAAAAAATGCGGCCCCCGCATAAATATGCGGACTTTGGCTGATTATGCATTGAATTATGCAATCGTATAATCACGTTTTCCTGGAGGGACTGTCTGCTGAATTATTATATTGGTTTATGTCAGTAAAATACATGTTGCCAATGGCAACACAGTGACTGTGTGTATGAGAGAGAGAGATCTTATTTTATTCCCCACCTTAGTAGAATGCTCTCAACTTAACTGTGGACTTTATAGTGGTCTAAGACACAGCAGTTAATGTCAATTGTTATTATTAGTAGTAGTAGTAATAGTAGTAATAGTTTATGGTAGACATTCAAGGAACAATTTTTGGCAACAACTTTGAGAAGAAGCAGAGAAGAAGAATTTTTAGTTGGTATTTGTGTTGGACATTTGGGACAGTAATCTGCAGTGCTGTACGGCCTTTTAGTCAGATTCTGATTATTTCGAGGCTAAATCAGATTTTATCAAGGTATCTGCATGTCTTAAGGACTTATAAAAGCATTTTGTTTCCTCAAAAAAGTCCAAGTCTTACATCTTGGCTCTTTGCTGTGCAGACATACTGTGGCAGACAGTATGTTAATTTCTAAAATGTCTCGTCTTAAATCTTGTCTCCAGCCTATCCTAACCCTCACTTGACGGTTGGACTGAATGGTGTTGGCTTAACATACTCTGTGTTTTGGTGTCACTTGATGTATGTTTTATGTACCTTGGTCTGTGTGTGTTTTCTCTATTTTCCAGAGACCAAGACAAATTTCCCCCTCTGGGACAAATAAAGCTGAAGTTGAGGTTGAAGTGTAGATCTTGGAGAAGTGGTTCAGGAGCATTTTCCGGTAGTGAAGCCAATGAAGTTCCAAAATGGCTGTTAGTGCTTTTTTTTTTTTTTTTTTTTTTTACTGTTACTGTTGTGGAGCTTCCGCCTGTGCGCAGGGTTTAAAGCAACATTATGTAAGAATTAGAATTTTTGCGATGCCCATATAGTTTCAGAGTGCAATTAAATTAAAATCAGTGTGGTGGACAGCTGTACATGTGCATTTGTTATGATTACATTACTTAGGATCAAGTGACTGGTGCTAAAGTCACAAGCTTTACTTGTGAAAGTAAAGTGTCCATCAAAAGGATTTTGAAGCTGTCATTTTAAGGTTAAAAAGTTGACCAATGGGCGCCCGGTTAGCTCAGTCGGTAGAGCTGGCAACCCATATACGGAGTTGCTGCACCGGCCCGAGTTCGAATCCGACCCGCAGCCCTTTGCTGCGTGTCATCCCCTCTCTCTACCCACCTGAGCGGGTCGTTCCTTAATCAGAAGGTTGTGGGTTTGAACCCCGGCTCCTGGTGCCACCCGTCTAAGTATCCTTGAGCAAGATACTGAACCCCAAATTGCTCCCGATGCCGTGCATCGGTGTGAATGTGTATGAATGAGTTAGTTTCTGTTTGATGGACTTTGCCATCACTGAATGAAGTGTAAAAGCTCTTTGAGTGGTCGGAAGACTAGAAAGGCGCTATACAAGTACAGGTCCATTTACCATTCCTGTCTATCTTCGGCTGTCCCTGTCTAATAAGGCATGAAAAGGCCAAAAAAAGAACTTTAAAAAAGTTAAAAAAAGTTTAAAAAGTTGACAGGATTAGGGCCAAAATAATAATCACGATTCTTTTGATCAATATTGAGATTGCAATTATTTCACAATTGTAAAGCACTGCGCATTTTTCTTTTACAATAGTGGCCAGTGTCAAGCTAACATTGCTAACACAATTGTTGCTTTGTCCTTCTTAGTTCCCCAACTTGAAAAATGCTTGCTAACTAGCTACCTAACAATTGATGTAGATTAGCTAGCTAACCAGTTAGCTAGTGTTTTGCTCTGTAGCAAAGTGCTAACTAACTAGCTAGCTAACATTTCATGTAGATAGTTGATAGCTAGTTTGCTAGCATTTAGCTTACTTTAGCTAGCTTAAGATGTGACTATGTTGCTCCATCTTCAAAGTGTGGTTGTCTTTTCAACATAGATTAGCCTAGCACATAGCATATATGAGTACAGGGAAGGAGAAATTTGACCGAGGCTTGCTCAACTGTTGGAGCACAGAGCAAAAAATGTCGGGAAGGATCAGTTTGTTTCTTTCTGACAAAAAACATGGACCATTATTTTTAATCAGTTTGTCCTCTCAGTCAGCAGAGCCTGAAGATGAGGGGGAGCTGCTGATAGTGAAGGTGGAGGGAGCGGTTGAGACCGGAACCACCAACCACGGCGCCTGCATCAACAGCAGAGGAGGTTCGGACACCGGCACGCGGCTCCCTGACGCCTCGAAGGATGCGAACGACAGACGGCCAGCCAGAAGCCGCAGCGGAATGGAGGTCAGTGGATCCGACGTCATCACCTTTGTTGTCGGCAGGACAGATGAAACTGACAGCATCAATGACAATACCCACAGTTCCCGGCCGGAGCTAACAGGAAGTGATGTCAGAGCAGGGGACAGTGAGTCGCTGAACATGGACGCTGACATGACGCCACACAGGGACACCGTGCCACCATTCTGTGGTGATGTAATGGACAGTGGGAAAGATAATGAGGCTGTGTTAGACACCTCCAAGTCCTCCCTGTCAGAGGTGATAGTCATTGATGTTGACAAGGAGGTGGGGGAGTGTGAGTGGTCAGATGTAGACCAGATAAAGAGAGTAGCAGGCAGAGAGAGAGATAGACATAAAAACACTACATCACCCATGATTCAGTGTCCTGGGTTGGAATCAGCAGGACCCAAGTCAGTGCAGGTGAAGTCCTCTCTGCAGGTAGGGTCTGTTCCCCTTCGTGACACCCCAGGAACGTCTAGCGGTGGAGCAATCTCCAGTATCAACTCCTCCAGTGACACACGCAGCGTGGCTCTGCACCGCCCCGCGAGCAACCAAAAACCCTCCTCCAGCAGCTTCCATCTGGCTTTTTACCACGCCGTCACCATGGAGCGGCCGTACGGCTGCACCAGCTGCACCAAGCGCTTCTTCCTGGAGTCCGACCTGCAGAAGCACATGGCCAGGCACACCAGGGAGAAGCCCTACACCTGCCTGCTGTGCGGCAAGAGCTTTGTATGCCAGAGCCAGCTGGACATCCACCGCAACGTGCACACCGGAGAGAGGCCCTTCAGCTGCTCTGTGTGCAACAGACGCTTTTCCCATCCCAGCAACCTCAAGAGGCACCAGAAGATACAGCACGGAACACAAAGACCAGACCTCCCACAACACTGCTGCACCAATGTTTTACACCCTGAAGAGGACTAGACGAGGCTTTTTTACAGTACTAACCACTTCACTTTTTAACCATGTGACTTAGTTTTTAAGGCTTTTAAGAGCACTTAATTTTTTATTATGGAAGGACATTAGTGCCAATAGCATCGTAGAGATATTGTGTTTCATGACAACATTAAAATGCATGCAAACACTTGGAGTTTGGTCGTGTTAATGGTGTAAAATGAAATTACATTTTACGTGTTAAGGCAACAAATATGTACACGTCAAGTCATTTTGGCATGTTCATACGCAAATACCTGTCACAGTCAATGCATTGTTCAGTTCTTTTCTAAGAGGTGTGTTAGAAGTCTGAAGCACAGATAGTTTTGGCTATTGCTTTTCCCAGCTGAATAGTTTGTGGAGCACACAAACCAAAATATTAGGCTAAGCTATGGCTCAACTTGAGTGCCTGCACTTAACTTTGCCTAACGATGCACTGTTTATTGCATTCAATTTCAATAACTATTCCAAATCTTTGTCTGCTTGCGATGTCGCCAATCCTACCACTAGGCGTCTCTATGCACATTCACGTTTGTGCCATCAATGAATAAAGATGAGTAACCAATACGGTTGTAATCCCACACAAAATACTACAGCGGCATCACCAACCAACATCACCAGCTTTCTTCTGCTTCTGAATCTTCACCCCTGGTAGTTCAAATTGGTTTCTTCTAAACCGCAGCTCTGGCTTCATACGCATAATTTCCTTTGCAGTGTACATAGGTGCCTATAGTGTGTAGGTGCCTGCGTCTGTAATTTATGCACAATATATTCCTTTTCATTTATGTTTGACATAATTGATACAACCCTCCTCATAAAAATGCCCTCATTGGCCCCAACCAGAAAAGACACAGTACCGTATACATTTTTGTGTTAATGTGTAGAAATATGGCCTGTTAATGTGACCAAACTCTACATTACCACGCAGTTTAATGTTGTCTCAACAGAAACTTAATGCATATGGTATTTTATATTTTATTGGACAGGGGACGAGATGGAAGATGCAGTAATCAAGCTCTGATGTTGCATTAACTCTGTCCTTTGACTTGTCTTAGTGCTTCTCCAGTTTGTTTCGTCATCCGATCTGAATCTAGTGCAGGGATGGCAGACTCCGCCACTAGCAACGAAAATTACTATACAGACAGGACGCATTTGAAAATTCTGTATAAAGATGTCGAGTGTGTAGAAAAAGCCGGCTTGTGACCACCTGGTTAACTGGATCTCCATGATTTGACACACTGACATCATCTCTATAGACAAAGAAAATACAATCAGACCATGAAACACTGTGACGGAGCTCATTTTAAGCTGATGAGAAGATTGTTCTCATGTCAGATCTGAGACATCTGTATAATAATGCAGCAACGAGGAAACGAGAAAAAAGAAACCCACAGCAATGAGTATAATCAGACCAGCTGTCAACCTCCTTTTTATTTCCGGCTTTCATGCTGCATCCACGATTTCATGAAAATCTAGCAAAACCCTTTACATACAGCATGTGAGCAAATAGGAATCAAACAAGAGTCCCAACGTGACATCTCATCATTCTGTGTGTCAGATGTGGTATAATATCAGAAATGATGAAAGGTAGATTCACTGTGAGAAGAGGGATGAGCATCCCTCACACACAATGTGTCATTAATTAAAGCTTTAAAGGTCCAGTGTGTAACATAGAGGAGGATCTATTGGCAGAAAAGGAGTATAATATTTATAGCTATGTTTTTAATTAGTGTATAATCACCTGAATGTAAGAATTGTTGTGTTTTCATTAGGGCTGGAACACATCAGATCTCCACACAGTCAGAGACGGTAAAAGTGTGCGTCTTGCTCATAGTTATAAAATCCCAGCTCACCACAGAGCGTCTCTCCTGCCGGGCTGCTGCAGCACAGTCAGCCAAAGAGTCAGTCACAGTGGTCGGCAGCAGAGGAGGTTGGACCACCATCCGTCTGAAGTGGAAGTGGTTTAGCTGACTTTGCTGACAGTTAGCACCGGAGCAGCCAACAGGTCAGAGTTCCGCTGCACTTCTCGTCTCCGCTTCCACAGTTAGTTTTGTTAGACTCTGTAAAGTTTACAGCCTGCCATCATGTGTCAGCTCTGTGTACAATGACACAGCTAAAAGACAATGTGCAGAGAAAGGACCGAGCTGCTTTCAGTTGGTTGCAGTCTACAACCTCACCACTAGATGCCACTAAGTCCTACACACTGGTCCTTTAAAATAGGGTTTGTCCATCAGAGATGCAGCCTGTGAAAGAACACTCCTCACCTTTCATATTATTGCTTTTTACTCCAACTCACCACTGGTGTGATGGCGCTCCCAAATGTGACTGAGCCCTGTCACTCTTTCTGTAACATCCTGTCATATCTGAATGAAGCCTGAATAGTAACAGACACATGTATGTGGAGAGGTTGCTTTTATTTTATTTCCTTTCATGATGTCATTGGGATATATTTTGTGAAATCACACATCAGTTTTTTAGTGTGTGTGTGTGTTTGTGTGTGTGCTAGGGCTGTGTATTGGCAAGAATAAGATACGTATCGCAATACAGGGGTTACGATTCAATGTATTGCGATATATTACAATGTTGTAAACAAGCCGATATATTGTGAATTTTTTTAAAAAAGTCATAGTACTAAGAACACACCACAAAATATATAAAATTGGGGTAAAAAATATATACTATATAGACACACATATATATATTGATAGGGGTGTAATCTCAAAAACACTAAATTGTTATGATTTAACCCCTAACTACTAGACAGCAGTGTTATTAATATAAACTGAGAGCTATAATGTTGGATGTTACAGGAACTTTTTGCTAAATGTTTATGCATTGTGGGCAGTTTTTTTCTTAAATTAGGTCGAAAATAAATCCCAATATATCGCCTTGTTTACAGTATTGCAATATATTGAATCGTTACCCATGTATCGTGATACGTATCGTATCGCCAGATTCTTGGAGTACACCAATACACCAATAAATACCACATTAAACTCTGACCACCTACCTGTAATGGACCTGAGGCTCTTCATCATGAACCATGCAATGTTAAATTATTAAATTATCAATAAAAACTCCTGGAAAATGAACCCATCCAATTCCATCCAGTTAATAAAGATTTGAATGATTTTCGTTATAACACGTTAACCCAGTATGATCACAGTTGTGATGATACTGTCCAGTATACTATATATCTGAATATATACAGCGACATATTCGCATGGACATGGATACTGCATGTGAGCAGTTGTACACTGTAAAATCATATATGTTCATCTAACTCAAAACAAATTTGAAACAGATAACTTCGGATGTTGTAAATAACCAAAACAAAATTTTGTAAATTAAAAAAGCAGCTTTTACCAGTAATTTTAAATGACGTTTAAAAAACAATCCTGATTAAGTACTCTTTACTAGGTATTTTGTACCCTTGTGTCCCTTAAAATAACTGAAGCTACTTGATCAAGAATGTTTTTTTAACATACAAAATTAAGTTAGTTTAACTCGATGTAATCCGTTTCAACATTTTTTGGAGTTAAATTAACTTACCTTTTTTTTTTCTTTGGATTCTGCAGTAAGCCGGTTTAAAAACTATGCTTAAGTTTTCCATGTGTTGATCTCTGTGTGGACTGCTTTTACACTTACTACACATTCTGTCACTCATCCTCTTATTCATCCCATCAGTTGACATGTAACTGCATGTTTAACCATTGAAGTGTGTCCTTATAATCAGAGCTATGAGCTCACCAAAGAAGAGAGGGCAAAAACAAACATTTGTACTCATGTATACAAACAGTGTAAATATGACAATAAATGATATTTTCAACAGTTTCATTGTATGGTGTAGTTTCATCTATTATTTTCTGCTTTAGTCATAGTGAGATAAAGCTCTCTGTTGCTTCTGAAAAGACGATTTATACAAACTGATATGAACTGTGAAATCATTTGATTATGGCTAGCACGAATATCTAACAAATCAACCCTACACTGTAATAAAAATCTGTAGGTTTTTATTTTTTGAATACATTGAAATAGTAATAAAGTGACAAAAGAATTTATAAATTTACATGTCTAATGTAAAATAATGTGAAAATCTCTTACAGTAAACCATAAAATTAGTGCTTGTTTAAAGACAGTTTCCTTTTTTTCACATAAAACATATTTACTGTTTATTTAATAGATTGTGATGTAATTTTGCATGGATTGTTAATTGACAGATATCTTGTATGAGGTTTTATTAATTAAGTTTTCACAACAAAAACATTGACTAAATGTTTTTTTATCAGTGTATAAGCAATGGTAAACTGTCAAAATACAGTTTAACTGAAAACATCATCACGCAGTTCTATAACTTAAAATTCAGATTAAAATAAAAATCAAATTATACCAGCAGTCTTCTGTAAATAAAACCTGATTATTAGCCTGTATTTATAGGTAATTTTTTTGTTTTTACTGTAAATATCTTTTAATAAACATTGAAAAGCCAAAAAGTTACACAAGATTTTACGTAAAATGAAAGCTAAAAACTGTATTTTAATTAATAATAATTAATAAGATAATTGCTGTATTTTACATTATTATTTTTCTTACTGTTAGTGTTCTTTTTTGAGTTATTTTTTAAAAATCTTTTGTTGTTGTTGTTGTTTTTACAGTGTGTTTGAGATAATAAGTCTTACTGTGTCAGAGCATTCTTTGTGTCAGCTAAACACCTCCCTCCTCTTTCTAGGGCCAGAGATACGTGACAAACACGAGCAGCTCTCAGAGCGAGGAGGAAAAGATGGATGGAGTGCAAGGTATCAACCCGTTCTCCTTTCACACCGCCATCCAACCACTGCAACCTGCACCAAGCAACCTCACACACTCACTCTCCAGGCCGCAGTGAGGGCGCTTTATTTTCCCTGTTTCAGTCATTTTGCCAAACTGCACAGAGCATGTCCATATTTACGTCCTCAGTTGTTCCGTGACGCAGAAAACACTCAAACCAACAGTGTGTGTTAGTCCGTCTCTCAATACCTGTGTCTCCAAGCCCATTGGTTCCTACTGAGGACGTAAATCTTTCAAAACACCTCATTATCCCCTCTCTCTCTGCCCCCCTTTCTTGTCTATCTCTCTCTGTCAAATAAAGGCATAAAAGGCCCCAAAAAATAATACTTTAAAAACACCTTACAAATATATAGTTCCTTTAAAAAAATAAAAAATAAAAGCTCTCCTAAAACGCCTGGGGCTGGCCAAAGCTTCATAGGGGGTCGCAAGGCCTGCTTGGTTTTAAGGGGTGCCAGAAAACGTATAGAAAAAAAATATACACAGTAGGCCTATATTTCAACATTTCATTCACTGCTGTTAAGAAAACAAAATGTAACTATTAAAGTTTAGATTACACTTTTAAACCACATAAGTTCATTTAACTGAAAACATTTTGAAACTCATCCTGAAAAATGCTGAATATCAGCAGATTTCTAGTCTAACCAACTGATCTAACGATGTGCAGTATGTCCATATTGACAAAAGTTTAAACATTTATATCTGTGTAACCGATCCAAGCTGCTTAGAACTCGCTCAAGTGGGCGACCCGGTGGGTTATAAGAGGTTTTGTACATCTAAAAAACCTAAAAGAGACCTGCCTCATATTGAAAAATCAATTTAAATATAAATAAATTCGAGATGTCATTATTGTGCATCATTTTATGTCATTTTCATGTAATTCAGATATTTATGATAATGAACAGTGGTGGGCCTGCCAAAGGGTCCATGAGAGTAACAAACATTACCTCTCAGTTTGCTGATAGATTTTTTACAGTACCATCAGCCTTTAGTTCCACTTTAGTTTTTAATGAAAATCAACCTGCAGTGACTGGAACCTTAGCATTTATACTGTAGGTCATCATCTCATCAAATGTCAGTGCTGTAGCAGGAACTACTATACTAATATCCACACTTTCTTACTCAGGAACAATGAACATGATCTGTTCAAAATGTCCATGTATTTAGGTTTTGTAGTTTGTTTTTATGACACCATTTCTCACATTGTTTTCTAACTCTGTTGTCTTTGCTGATGGGTCATTCGGTGAACCCCCAGAGGAACACAGTCCCTCCCAAACGCTGCTGGAATGGCAGGAGAGCGGTGAGACTGAAGATATGGAGCGGCCATCATGCTCCACATATGCACCAGAATCCGTGGCAGGAAACTCATCATTTAACCAAATAGGGACAAACCCCGCCTCGGTTTTCCCTGTGGATTCTAAACAGCCGCAGTGCGCCATGGAGCAGGCGAGGTCCACGTCTAAGCTTGAAGTGGTTGTTGCAACCAACTCGCTTCCACATGCGGCGGAGGACGGCTGCGGCAGGGCGTTGCCGTCCGGACTAAGTGGAGAGGAAAGAGCTGAGGAAGTGACGCCTCTAATAGGTCAGGGCAACAGCAGCCCAAGGTCGCAGTATGGGCCACTGCTGTGCATTCAGATCAACGAGACGCCCAGTGAAGTGTTGTTTGACGGCAGTACAGCCTACAGTAATCACATCTCTACCTTTAACAATCCCCCTGTCACAATGGCAACCGTGGACTCCCAGCAAACCCAGCATTCTTGGTCCAGAATCCGGGACTTAGACAGCCTCCACTTCTCCAGTCAGAACCACCTTTATCAAGCATCTAGCAGCCAGAACCCAGAGTCTGGGTCAGCACAGTCTCAGCAGCCCTGCCTCCCCTACGCCTGCACCTTCTGTTCTCGCCGTTACGCCCACCAGTGCCAGCTGCGCATCCACGAGCGTGTCCACACGGGCGAGAAGCCCTACCAGTGCGTCCAGTGCGGGAAGAGCTTCGGCCAGGTCTGCAGCCTCAAGCGCCACCAGATGGTGCACACGGGGGAGAGGCCGTTCCCCTGCCCCCACTGCGGGAAGCAGTTCTCCACCTCCACCAACCTAAAGGTCCACCAGAGTGTCCACACCGGGGAGAAGAGGTTCCACTGCTCCAAATGTGGCAAGAACTTCTCTTTCCTCAGCAACCTCATTAGGCACCAGGCCCTGCACACCGCCAAGTAGAGCAAGTTATACAGGGACGCCACATCGACCCCCAAATGAACACAAGCAGCCTCCAAAAGACCACAACCTGACATTAAACTGTCCATATTATTGTGAATAGATAAGGTATGTCTGGTCTTCTTTTCAGCAGCATTTGGTCAGTGTCATTTTACATTTAGTGTGACTCTGCTGTTCTTTGGATTTACTGTGTTAAGTTTTAGATAGCATTCTGACAGTCTATGTTAGTCTTCCTGAATCAGCTTTAGGTCTTAAAGGATTTGATGAAAAATGAGCCATGTATTCTGCATGCATTTAAGGTAACTCAAACAGAACGTCTCCTCTGTCTTCACCGCTGCGGGTCATGTTAACAGCTCTCTTTGCTTTGAGGTTGTGTAAATTTAACTGACATTTGCTCACCTTGTTGCCTCCAGGAAAAGCAAGCTCAAAGAGTTGAACAAGCAGCTGAACAGATGAGGTCACACTGAGACCCCGTAAATTTATTACAGTTCTCACATACGGAGGATGATTTCGGCCAGAAATCAAATTAAAGAGAAACGGGGTAAAAACAATAGAGCAGTGAATAAATGAATATTGCACCAAAAGAAAAAAGAATACTAAAAGATACAAATAGATACTGGTATTAGGTTGCTGCAGTATCTACTTCAGCTTATCTACGGTATTGATTTCTACCATGTTGGTGTTATTGAAATAATCTAGGACATAATATTTTGTGAAATTATAATAAAGATTTTGTTCAAAAAACAGCCAATGTGTAATACATTATAATGTTCAACTGTGAAACTGATATTTTCTGAGAAAATGAGAAAAGGTCATACTGTAGCAACCCTAATAATGAATAGAATAAAATGGTCAAATGGAAAAACATGAAATAGAAATGCTCAAAAAAGAAGAAAATACAAATGCAACGTTAAAGCAGCACTAACTGCTGTTTGTCCACTTGGGGGCAGCAGAAACAAACGTGTAAATACGACATTATCACCATTTAAGCTAACGTTAGCAAACAGTTGCTTATTTCCACATCCAGCTAACACAGAGCAACTTTAGCATTGGTTGGAGTTGTGTTTGTGTCCACCTGATGAATGTAAGTCCAGTAGTCATTGTATTTTAGTTCTGGTTTCGGCCTCCTGAAAAAACATCTGGCTCTTCAGCTGCTACATGCTCCATTATGTTCCCCAGCGAACTGCGACTGTGTGCTGGTACACAACCAGCTCATAGGAACCATGAAGCTCTGGAAAGCTGCAGTTATGTGACCCGCTGTTAATATTGGTATGATGCAGTTTTACATTTAAATTTAAGTTGGAAAGGGAAAAAAAAATTCTGGGTAAAGCTAGAACACTACAGTGTCTCCCGTCCACACTGTCCGTGTTGTTTGGGCATTATATCGGGACTGGAAGCGTTGGTCCAACGGGAGTCGTCCACCTCTTATCATCGGCACACAGACCTACTAGGGTTTAGGTCATGTCTTAGCAGCTTTACATTGTACACTGAGAACATGACACAAACATTTCATTGTTATTCAATGGATGCAGTACTTTTAGGATCAGTATTTTCCAAATACATTTGGGTAAAGAACCGTAAACAAGACATTGTCTTTGGTGAGTGGAGGGTAATTCACAGGACTCATACATTTATTTTCGTTCTGACATTAGGAAACAAAAATCGGGAAACAATCCCATGTTTTTGTTTTGAAAATAAAAAGCAGGAAACGAAAAATGTATAAAATATATCTGTAATTCTATTTTTATTTAAGTTTCTTTGAATTTGAACATCCCTCTTTACTCTGGTAATTACGGTAGAAGAAGAAACGACCTTGCGCCACACCCGGAAGTAAACAAACAGCGTTTTCATTGAGAAGAACCGTTATTAGAACGGCAGTCGGTGCGGAGAATGACTCATTGTCTGCTCTCACGGGTCTCCAGTGGGGCTACATGAGGCTGCTTCCATTTCCAACAAACGATTGAAGCCGGACTGTAATTGTGTGGGGACCGTTACAACAGGATGGGGAGCTGCGTGGATTTCCACTCTCAGCTGGCGTCCATCATGGAGGTCCTAGCTAACGCGGCGGTGGCTGAGATCTGTCAGCTCGTGGACGACGGCTTCGCCACCCTGAGGCTGGAGATATCCCGCAGCCAGAGGGAGAACCAGGTCCTGAAGAGCAGACTGCGGCTGCTGGAGGTCCGTTCAGGAGAGCAGGCCCACAGAGAGCCCACCCCCCCGCCTCTGGTGGTGACCTGTGCCAGGAAAGGTTAGACCGCTCCGCCAGCTTTTAAGCCACCAGGGTCCACTCAAAAATATGACATTTTAACAGCATAACGTTGTAGGTTCTCACTGCTGGCCTTGAGTGATGATGCACTCTTTCTCATTCTAACAAGATAGTTTGATGTTAAGAGAACTTTTTACTGTTATGATGACATATTTACTTAAAGCTGCAGTCGGTCCTCTGGCTCCTCCCAGAGGCTAATGGCATTTGTGAGAATCCACCGGGCCTGAACGAAAACAACCAATCAGAGCTGAGGAAGATGCTTTGGGTTGGAGGCTTGAAGATAGTTCATGAAGTCGTGGTGCTATCCATTTGTCTCGTGAACTCGGAGCCCGAGTTGGAAAGTGTAAATCTCGCAGCTATCTCGCGACATTTCACAGAGACACACCCCCTTTTGGTCGTAATTTCAGCCGTCCCAGGGCTCACAGTACACCGAGCTGAACGAGGACCAACATACGACCCGCAAAACAAAGATGGCAGTGCCCATATTAAGATGTATTTTCTTTGTATTTGTACTACATTGGTCATCTTAATGTCGATTTTAAATGCTCTAACACTTGTTTACGGTGCTGCTTTAGTCCGGTCACCAATTTATGTATTGCACGGTGTTGCTGTGCGTGCAATACAATGTAAAGTTTTGTTTTCGAGCTGGTTTGCTAAATAGGCTAATGTAGCTAACAATAACAGTAGCCTGCCACTGCCCCTGGTGGTGGGCCCCTGGTGGCCCCTGGTGGCCCCTGGTGGCTCGAGACAAATGCCACAGCACTTGTTGAAATTGAAATAGGCGAAAATGGCAAAATATTATTGAAATGTAAGACTTGCAATAACGGAATTACTTGAAATGTTAGTGTTTCTGTAGAAAAACTATATTATCTCACATTGAGCTTGTTTAGATGAGCCACAAACAATAACAACACAGCTGCTGCACTTCTTTCCGACTCGTAATGCCCAAAGACAAACTGGAACGTTATAAGTGGTACAAGCCAGGCAATGACGCCACGTTCTCACGGCAGAACAACTCGGCTCCGAGTTCACGAGACAAATGGATAGCACCAATAGAAGTACTATGAACATAAAGTTAAACCAACCAAAACATTGATAGAATATTCTGATCAGTCAGTGAGTGAGAAGACTTTATTCAAATTAAATGAAAAGGTATGATGTAATATAATAAAAAATGTCATTGTTACAGGATGTTGTTGATGCTCCTTTGTTTATGACAGACACTTAAACATGACAATCAGAAGCCAGAACTATACTCCTCACGTGATATATTTATACATTATTCATTATTATTTTCATATTATTTTATATCTAATGAATACATTTAAAGATAGAAAGTGCTCTGTGTTTTAGAGTAGCGAGGGTTACCCAGGCTGAACAGAGACAGCATGGACAACCCTGGTAAAAACTGTTCTGGATAACCCAATGACAGTCCTACATGGCAAACTGTGGAACACAGAACATATTCTAACAAACTCCAGTGATTTTACTTTGAACAGATCATCACTTAGGAGAAGACGGTCTTGTCATCGGCAAAAAAAAAGTCACTCTGGAGAACGCTCAGCGGTCACAGGTCAGTGCTGCTGTCACTGCAACGGTCAGCTTCTCTTCTCTTCTCCCACCTTATCATATCATACAACTGACAAAGGTGAGAAATCCATTCTCACTTGTAACCAGAGGATGTAAAGATTATTATTATATCATAGATTATATTAAGATTACGTTAAAGGGGCATTGAAAGAAGTGTGCGTGTGATTTAATGAATGAAAAACAGACAGAAAGCATCCTAGAACAGTCTCAGCTGCTGATTACTTAGCCAGCACGTATCAGATTTGTAGCTCGGCAGCAGTAATAACTTTACATGCATGTTTCCTGTCTGTCAGCCGTTGGAGCCAGAGGTGGTGGTGCTGATAAAGAAGGAACGGCTGGAGGAGGAGCTGCCAGGCTGCAGTGTGCTGGAAGACCGTCAGACAGTTCCCAACAGCAGCAGTATGTATGAACACCAAACACCAAAAAGAGAGACAGAATTTACATACAGCTCACTACAGCCTCTTTCAAACATGCACTTTATGTGCTGCCAGTCTGCTGCCCCAGAGTCAGACCTGGTAACATTTCTGGCTTGAGTACGAAGTTATTATTTAAATGCTTTTATTATGAATCAGCGAAATTAGGAAGCTAGAAACATACTGAGAGCTGAACAAAGCCCAACATGACTCCTCTATATCTTTACAAAGCACAGAGTTGTGTGCTACTATATTAATGTTTTAAATCTCACATATATTGAACCTTTGAGGAAACACACCATGACCACCCATGGTTCAATAATAATCTGTCTTCTCTCTGTTCATTCTTCAGTTGGACCTCCGTCTCTCTCTCTCGCTGCTGAGGGCGACCGCCCTCTGAGTGCTGAAGCAGAGACCCCCAGAGTCAGCACGTCGGGTCAGGATGAAAAACAGGACTTTGACAGACCTGAAGCTCAGCAGCAGGCTGAGAACGAGGGAGTGGGGGAGGGTCGGTACTCTCATCCAGCAGACCAGAGCCAAAGAGCCCCCCCGAGGGGTTCTGGTCCAAACAGAGCCGGGGAAATGATGCACTCGAACGTAGGAGGCGACAGACAGGTTGTGGATGCCAGTGACTCTCTGTCTGGTCCCGATGTGGAGACTCCAATGATCAAGACCCTGGATTCAGAGCTGTCACTGACAGCAGGAGTGAAGGGTTTGTGTGGTGCTGTGGCAGACTGGAGGGGAGAGGCAACAAAAGTCAAACTGGAGACGCAACCTTCCTGGTCTGAAGCCTTCAGGACCCAGAATCCTTTAGTCGCGGGAACAGAATGTGTGAGTAACTCTAACAGTCAGCACCCAGAGAGCGGACCGGCAGATCTGGACACCAGCAGCCTGGACTCTTCCTCCTTCGATGACCTGTTCTCCTCCCCAGAGGTGGCCAGGTCCCTGACAGCTTCCCTTAGACACTCTGCGGACGGAGTCACAGGCGTAGAGGAGCCGCTATCATCCTCGTCTTTTCCTTTCCTGAGCAGTGGAAGCAGCTTCGGGAACTCTTCGACGTCGGACTCTCTAACCGCCTTCAGCAGCGCGTCCTCTGACTCTAGGAGCTTTCCCAGAGGCACGCAGCGAGCATTCAGCTGCCAGCAGTGCGGCCGGCAATTCTCCACCTCCAGGGACCTGGCGGTGCACCAGCGCTGCCACGGCGGGGAGAGGATCTACCACTGCCACCTCTGCAAGAAGCCCTTCATCCACCCGCACCAGCTGAAAACTCACCAGCGGGTGCACACCGGGGAGAAACCTTTCAGCTGCGCGCAGTGTGGCAAGCGCTTCTCCCAGTCCAGCCACATCAAGAGACACATGAGCGTCCACACGGGGGAGAAGCGCTACAGCTGCGGCCTGTGCGGGAAGCGTTTCTCGCAGGCCTGCAGCCTCAAGGTGCACCAGGCCGTGCACACAGGAGAGAGACCCTACAGCTGCACCAAGTGCGGCAAGAGCTTCTCCGTGCTGGGAAACCTGGTCCGCCACCAGAGCGTCCACATCAGCAAGTGAACACAGAGAAAGAAGCAGAGGGGGACTGAAGTGAGGCAGACATGTCATCATGTGCATATGAAGTCAGTAGGGCTCATTCTAACGTCAGAAAGTGTTTATCAGACTGAATGTTGTCCTGTGCTGTTGTCATTTATACACCTTCATGTTTACAATAAAAAAACAGCCTCAGATGACTGCTGGGTTTTAATTCAGCCTGTGTGACTAAAGTCAGTCCTGGTCCAGTATGCAACCTGTACAGTGTGATCCACCAGTGCACATCCACTGAGAATGGACTTTACAGTGAAGGAGGAGACATCTTGTGTCCAGCAGGAAAATGAACAACATTTACATATTCAGAGATTCTGGAATTTAGAGGTAGAAAATTACTAGAAATTACTTTTTAAGGATTTGAATTAGGAAATTCTACTTTTATGTGGGGGAAGAACAAGTGAGACACACGTTATTGTTCCATATATTTTATTTATAATGCATGCAACTGGAATGAATGCATTTGTTATTTATTTGTTTTGATAATGCACTGTAAAATGCACAATGTAGTTTACTTTAGCTCATAATAAACTATTTAAATGATTTATTTTAAATACGGGTCGTGCTCAGACCCAGGTTCAAAACTGGTCGGGCCTGATTTTTAGGTCCCGACCAAAAGCTCTAGTCTTAATACAAGTCTGGGGGTATCTTAGAAACCGAATCAACAGGATAACACCTGTACTACATTGTCATGGAGACTTTGAAACATCTGTAGGGAATTGGCAGTGTTTATACCAATAAACAGTATACGATGGAGGCCCATTCCCACTAATGTGACCGGGGGGGGGGGGGGGGGGGGTTCTGTAAGTCATTATATGAGACACTTTCTCTAAATATTTACTTACTAGCTCAAAATAATGAGAAACCTTGTGAATAGTTTGACTTTGAGATATTTTCTCATTAGAATGACTTACAGAATCCTCTCCATCACATGGGTCAGTGTTATTCCAGAACCAAAGGCAGCAGCAGGTTCACTGTTCCTCTGGATTATGTCCATTATGTTTCTGATCTGGGTTCCTGGTGTGTGACCCCTGTGAATGTTAAATCACTGTCTGGATCCACTTCATTGGAGAAGAGTACAGCCTGGAGCCAGCAGCCTCCTGTCTGTCTGTCTGTCTGTCTGTCTGTCTGTCTGTCTGCCTGTGGACTGATGCTGAACAACAAACTGACGTCATCAGGAGGCGACTCTCGCACCTCAAGGAGCCAAAACATTGTTGAGCACATCAGAGAGGGCAGACGGTGTGCGTTAGACACCTGGAGCTTGTTGCACAATCGGTGTGTGGATCCGCTCACGCCCGCGCGCCGCAGCAGCCGCAACCGTCCGCCGCGCGCATCTGTCCGCGCAGGAACCGACAGACAGACCTGGCGATGATGGCGGACTGTGTTGGCTTTCAAGCGCAAATCGCCTCGATTATAGAGATATTGGCCAATTCGGCGGTGGCGGAGATCTGCAAGCTGGTGGACGATGGCTACGCGGCGCTGCGCTCCCAGATGGAGCAGGAGCGGCAGAAGAGCGAGAAGGAGAACGACGTCCTGCGGCAGAAAGTGCGAGAAATGGACGTGAAGATGCGGAGCTACGAGAGGAAAATGAGGAGACGGAGTCAGCGGGAGGAAATGCACGCCGTTCATTTTAGGCCACCCGAAGGTAAACAGATGGAGGTGGCAGGAGGCAAGAGGCAGGGCTGCTGCGTGGCAGGAAACATCCTGACAGATCCACATACATCATACAGACAGACAGACTGACAGACTGTCAGACTGACTGTCAGTCATATGCTTATTGATGAGCTGATCGATATGACAGCAGACGGTAGCTTCAAGTGTCCACACTGCTCTAACTTCTGCAGCTCTGCTGTCACACACACACACACACACACACACACACACACACATACACCATTGTCCTCTAATGGCTCCTGCACTAATGTGGACCTCAACATCAAACAGGCACACATTATATCACGTGTCAGTGCATCATATGGCCTTAATCATGGTTACACTGGAGGGAAAGTTTGTCAGAGTTGTGTTCTTGGTGTGGAACAGACTGTATTTGTGTCAGTTCAACAAGAAGGCTGCATTCTAATGTTCCTCTGTATCTTACTACAGTGGGGCAGTTGAGCATAACAATTGTGTATTTTGCAAAGCAACACACTTGGCCTGGATGTAAGTTTATATGTTATAAAAAGATATGTGTATGTGCAAATTGGCTGCCAAATAGATGAAAAATATCCCTGAAAGTTGCAGAAAACAGGTTGTTGACTCTTGGTGATTGCCAAAGTGTGTCTGAACTGATCAGAGTCCAATATCAATACCAGTATTGAATATTCCTCCGATACTGCCTAAAATTGGGTATTGGGTATTAAAACGCAGGTTTTCATTGTCGACAAAACTGTATTATTATCTCGGAGTCTGAACACAGTGTGTAACACAGACTAGAGGTATAGTAGGTAGAGTTTCTTTGTGAGGTGAAACCAGGCTTTCTTCCGTTTCCTCCTTTCTGCCATGGCTCCTTGTTGCAACTATTCCAGCAGAGTAGACTCATGAGTTTGACGTCATTGTTTTGCAATGTGCAACTGTGAGAGAAACATGCTGGCATTGGTAAAAGGAACTGATAAGCTTGGAGGTCTACAATTCTGATGGATTGGACCATTTGGAACCTCGACTCCCACTGATCGGATATGAACCCTTGCTACTTCCCAGCCAGTGTCCCATTTGTCTTTGCTTTTTTCCCCAGGATAGCGAAGTCATGACCCGCCCTGTTCTGACTCTGACAAAGGGTTTCACCAAAGGCAGGCCATACAACAATGATAGCAATCATACAAGCTTAGTAGTACACGCTTGTTAAGAAATAATAATGTATATATAAATATATATTATAAACACACATAACAGATCTGTACTCGAATCTGGTATCGGGAAGGAAACAATGGGAACATCTTTAGATTAGAAATGTTTAACCTCAGAAAAACTTTAAAACCAGATAAAGGAGCATGGTCCCTTCCTTGACTTTGTGCTAGAATGACAATCAGCAAGATCTTCAGCTTTCTACTTGTCTTTTCATTAGCAGTACAACTGGCATTGCTGGAAAAGGTTGTGCGTCAACATAACTTTTTTTTGTTTGGGTATGTGCTTCAGCTTCATACTATATGTTTTATTTTTGCATTGGAATTCAGAACGGAGCAAAGGAGCTGATATTCCTCTGGTCTCTAACCTGTGACCAAGCTGACTTAGTTGAACGTATAAGGAAAGTAAAATCAGTCAGAATTGCTCACAGGATCCCAGAGACAAGCGAGCTAATCCATTGCGGCAAGGGGCCAGCTCCAGTCCCGACAATCAGCTCAGACTCGAAGACCTGTGAGTAGATGTTACAATGTGACCCAGAACTTTATCCAGAGATATCTCTGTTAGAGTAATGCACCGATAGAAAGCTGGAGATCTTGCCCGTCGTTACTCTAGCACGAAGACAAGGGTTTGACCTTGATGTGACCATGCTTCTTAAATGATCTTTTTGTGTTTTTCTCAGGTCAAAAGCTTTTAAATGCACACATTGTTGTAGATATATATCTATATTTTGTAGTGTGTTGCTTTTATTACCTGTTTTTTCCTTTTTAACTTATGTGAAGTGTCTTTGAGTTCCTAGAAAAGCGCTCTATAAATAAAATGTATTATTATTATTATTATTATTATTATTATTATTATTATTATAAGTACTTTTGGGGAACTTTAAGCCTTTGGTTCCCTTTTTGCTGCTGTACACTGATGCTTGTATGTATGTTAGTTTGTTGTGTTTTGTACTGTATAGTACTACATTCACTACATTTTCCTCCCAGTGACAGACTGCAAATCAGATGACATTTGTACATAAGAACAGAGCATTCAAGCTCAGGAAACAGATGGCACGATGTGACTGTCTGAGGAACCTACATAGGAGCTCATTCAGAAGCTAAGAAAGGATTTTTAAGACGGTTGTCGTGCTAAATTGGTAAGCCAAAATCCCATACCTTCAGAAGGCAGGAAAACCTCAGTATTCTGTTATTTTTCAGGACCTGACGACCATCAGCCTCTGGCACCGCCTCTTCCCACCTCCTCTGAAGACAAACCCTTCCATCACATTTCGAAGGTAAAGATAATCAGCAGAATGTTTTAGGCATTCGCAGCTATTTCAGGGCATCCCTTCTACCCTCTGAGCATGTAGACATGAGCGCAGATGACACATACTCACAGGTGACCTGGGAACTTAAACCTCTCTGGTGTAGTGTTTACTCAAGTAGACCAAACCGCTAAAACCACACCGACACACAGAACACACAGAGTTTACGAACGTGAATGTCATGTGACACCTCAACCTCAATTACGACAGGGAACTAGTGCTGCGTATCACGATACGAGGGTCACGATTCAATATATTGCGATACTGTAAGAAAGGTCTTATATTGCTCTTTTCTTTCAAATCTAATTTGAGCAAAACTGTCACAGTATAAAGAACACACCATCATATGCATAAAATCTGAGTCTTCTTTATGCAGCCAGAACAGCGAGATCTACATGGGATCTAACCCTAACCCTATTTATCAGTCCCTGTAACATCCAACATCATAGCCCTCTGTTTTATTTCCAACACTGCTATCTAGCAGTTGGGATCATGGACATATATAATGATGGATGTCATGATAGCTCCCTAATAGTGAAGCCAAAACATCTCAGTCGCCCCCTGGTGACTGACTTGGTGGATGAAAGGTTTTTGCATTGCCTCCTGCTGCTTTCCCCACAATCACGTATAGCACAATGTGTGGTGGAGGATTTCTAACTTTACACTCATGTCTGCTACAACGTTGAATTTCAGCTCGAATTTCAGTGTAATTAAAGAATACATCTTCCAACTGTCTTTCACTGTGTCACAGCAGGATGAAACCAAGGTGTTGCCACTGGTGAAGCAGGAGAAAGTGGAGAGAGACGACTGCAACCTGGACCTCAAGGTGGAGGTCAACATCAGGGCAGAGTGTGGCCTGTCTACTGGTGAGTGATGCATTGAGTGGTCCAGTGTGTAACATTTAGGAGGCAGAAATTGAATTTAATATTCATAGGTATGTTTTCATTGGTGTCACCTGAAAATATTTCATATGCCATGTTGAACCGCCATGTTTCTACAATAGCCCAGAACGGACAAACCAAACACTGGCTGTAGATAGGGCCATTTATGCTTTATCGCAAGTTGTGCGGCCACTGTAGTTCCTCCTATGCACTTGGAAGGATGAGCTATTCAAATGCTTGCAATCTGCAACTTCAGTGGTGATGTGAAGGCTTTACAGATTCAGTCTGAAACCTCCAGACCTGCCCGTCACATGTCTGATATTTAGGTGGTAAGCTTTTTAGCCCTTGAGGCTCACGTTAGTTAGCATACAACTGTTGATATCAAAAAAGTTCTCGCTGAAGAATACAAAAGCCGTGTTGACAACATATTCCCACTATCTCTCAGCCATATTTTATATATTTTTATTTCAAAAATGTAATTTAATTGAAGCAACTTTTTTGAGACAGCGAAAGCAGAATATCTTCTGATCTGACCTAAATTTGTCCCAGAGTCTGATTTATTTATAGTTTTGGATTTCACACTCTCCCTGTCAGTTCTCATCAGCACTCTCTGTCTGGCTGTGAAATCCAGCTGAGCAGAACAGTACAGCAGTAACGTTCTCTAAATGATTCTCTTTTCTTCTTCAACTGCACTCTTCCTGTTTCCCTGTGCCTCCTCAGCCCTGGAGCCCAGTGAGGAACCCCCCCCCAGTGACCTGGTCCTTGACACCAGTGTCACCAACATCACCTCTTCCGTCACCCAGCCCTCCTCCTCCCCCCCCACTGATGCCACAATGGACCTGACCTGCAGACCTCGAGCAAAACGTAAAGCTGCCAAGCCACTGGGCAACAGTTTACCAGTTGGCTGTGGGGGGGTCCAGGCCCCCGACGCCACTCGCAGGGACCTTGGAGGGAGCTTAGCAGACGGTGCTCTGAAGCCAGAGATCCAGACGGATGATACTATTACAGAAGATGAACTTCATCCCTCTCAGCTGTCAGCCCCCGTAGCCTCAGATGAACCCAGCCCTGACCGCCTCAACAGCCTGGGCCTGGACCTGGCCTGGATGCAGGAGAGGGTCAGCCATCTTGGCGCAGCATATGCAGTAGCACAGCTGGGTTTGGGGAACACAGAAACTGGCCACCCCTCTGCATCCTTCCCTTCACAGGGGGGAGGAGACAGTCTAGATGGTCCTCCAACAATGCTCTTCACAGGTGGTGCCCACGAAATGGCCGCTTTTGCTGCTTCCTTTGACATGGCAGCTGCTGCCGCCGCTGCAGCCGCCGTCGTGGCTGCACCGCCTCCACCGCCTCCTCCTCCCCCTCCTCCTCCCCCTCCCCCTACAGCTCCGTCTGCCACCACAACCAGCCAGAGGCGGCCTTACAGGAGCGGCGCCACCGCTGCTAAAGACCCTGTGGTGTGCGCCGTGTGCGGGCGTGTCTTCCCCAGCGCGGCCGCCTTGGAGCTGCACCAGCGAGTGCACACAGGGGAGAGACCATACACCTGCCCCCACTGTGGAAAGGGCTTTGCCCAGCCCAACAACCTGCGAGTCCACCTCCTTATCCACACTGGGGAGAGGCGTTATCGATGTACACTGTGTGGGAAGAGTTTCATTTCATCCAGCCACCTGAAGAGGCACCGCACAGTCCACACGCAGGAGAAGCCCTACAGCTGCTCACGCTGTGGACAGTCCTTCAGCCAAATGTGTAGCGTCCGCAGACACCGGCAGCAGTCCCAGTGTGGCCTGTAGACTGGAGGAGTGGACAGCGTCTCAAAGTGATCCTTGGACTCTGAAAGGGTGAATGATTGAAATCCCTGTATATGGGAATTCTAGCATCTTGTGTAAGCACGAAGAAATGAGAAGCAAGGCTGTATCCTGTGATATCATGGCACGTAGAGTTGATATTTGTCATAGATCATAGCAGTAATATGTGAATTCAGTTTTTTCCCCCAAAGCCCTCTCAACCTTTTCTTACTGCTTGTTTCAAACTGAGAGGATCACAGATTGGAGTGTAAAAGAGTGCCTGAGACAGTGTTGATAACACTGAATCTATCCGTTAGACGTTAAATTCTCTGGACTATCTGGTTTACACTAACACGTGGGGGCTGACCCAGGAGGAGGGGGTCATAGTTTATCTTACATCAATTTGGCTGATCATGATGGTATGCCACCAACATTGCAGTGTACCTGCACTGTCCACTGACCACCTGGTGGAACAGGATGAACACAACCATATTTTGAACACCTGCCAGCTCTATAGTTGACTTATAATAAAAGGGATTTACGTAATTCATCAGCTGATGAAGGCATACTATGCAGGATTTTCCCCAAAATCTATGTGTAGATTCGGCTGCATTGAAACGGCAAATGTGGCTCCCTCCCGCAGGGTTGTGCGAAGGTGTTGCTGTGTTTATTTATGCTTTAGAATGTAGCCGCTGTGAAAAAAAATCAGTAAATAACGTTTTATTCCCATGATTCACTGCTTTGTTCTTGCTAACTTGTTCCCTCTCCTCATTCATTCTCTATGTAGCTCGACCAAAGGTGCTCTCTCTAGCTCACTTGAGCCGGGGAGGAGGGGCCAACTTTGAATAGACAAATCCTGCTCAGTATGCCTTTAAGCACCTGTTCACAAAAATCTATTCTTGCCTTATCCTGTTGTGATTTCTAAAGCCAGTTTCACATTTACTTACTTTTATTGTTTGTTTTAGGACTGCTGGTTAGAGCTGCAACAATTAGTCGATTAATTGATTAGTTGTCAAATATTGAATTAATCACTAACTGTTTTGATTATCGATCAATCATTTTGAGTCTTTTTTTAACAACATTTTTTTATTTTTTTTTATTTCATGGACCAAACAACTAATGGATTAACTGAGAAAATGATGGACAGGTTAATCGATAATGAAAATAATCATTAGTTGCAGCCCTACTGCTGGCACCACAAGATTGAATCTCTCACACTGCAAATGTTGATATGAAAGGATGCAGAAACATCCTCAGTAGAGTTCTGATTGAATTGATGGGATTTAGGATTGTTGCAGACAGTAAGCTCACTGGACAACAAAGGTTTATGATACTTACACTCTTCACAAATCAAAACCACTTATATGATTTTTGAAGTGTAAATGCAGTCGCCAGAAGTAAAAAGCTAACATTAAGCTATAAAAAAGCTACACCACAGTAACATGACTTTAATGTCAATTTCCAACTCATAATTAAATCTTACAATTAAAATCTACAAGGTGGAGTAGATTCAACCAATCTCTGTGAATTCTGTGCAAACTTGCAATTTTGTCCAATCACCTCAACTTTTCCACCAATTTGAACAATCAGTTTTTAATGGATTATACAAAAAATAATTTTTGCAATTTTCACTTTCTCACATAATTTCAGTAAAAATAAATGCCTAAAAACATCGCAACATGCATCGCAAATAAAAAAAAAAAAAAAAAAGCACATTTAGCCACTTGTTAGCATCAGCCTTTTTTAAGATAAGTAAAAGCTTAAAATTCACAGGTGGGGTATCTACTGACGTAGTTTGTGTCATAAAACTAAACATGAAAATCTCTCAAGCTTGTGTTAACCACAGACATCATTTCAGTCATCTGACCAATAATAAGCTAACAAGCTAGCTACTTCTGCTTGCCTCTAGTCTTTGTGTTACGGTAAACTAGACTAACCACGTCCTGGACTTCTCTCTCGACCAGACGCTCAGAAATGATTTAATATCCATCTTCCTTTCTGACTATGGGTAAGACAACAAGACTCTTCCTTTAAAGCACTTTACATGTTCCCATAGCTATGTGTTAAGGCCATGGGCAAAATTTGGAGGCAGCACTGCCGATACACAGTTTTTTGTATTTATCTCATGTAGTCCTCCCTGTTACTCATATTGTAACAGTATCATTAATGAGTGGCCTTCTCCGGGCAGCCTGGTTTTGAAAGGTAAATGTTGGCACTTCTTGTAGTGCAGGCCTGCACTTTCTCATGTGTGATTGTGTTCACTGTTACATCTGTCAGTATATTTATTTACTACTCATTTCTCAATAATAGACGGGATGCTGTAACGTGTTGTCCAGAGCAGTGGTTCCCAACCTGGAGGTCGGGACCCCCATTAGGGGTCGTCAAAGCTTCATGAGGGGTCATAAGGTCTTCTTGATTTCAGGGGGTGCTAGAAAATGTAATAATATACACAGTAGGCCTCTGTATCTCAACATTCCATTCATTTCTGTGAAGAAAACTAAATGTTACTGTAATTTTTACAGTTTAGATTATACTGTAAAACCAGATAAGGTAATTTAACTCAAAAAGTAGTTGAAAGTGAATAAAATGTTATGAAAAACTAACTCCGTTTTGTAAACCTTCTTGATCAAGTGATTTAGTTATAGTAGGAGAGAATTGCATAAACAAATTCCTTAAGAGGAAATAATCTGCTCAAAATTCATCCAAATCCCTTATTTTACACAAACTTCTTACAGTTACTCAGTTCACTGTTTGGGTTCATTGTACAGTTTTGAATATAATGTCACTTAGTCAGTTTATTAAATGTAAACTTAAGGAAAAAGGTTGGGAACCACTGGTCCAGAGGGTTGACCTTTAGGTTTGTTTCCAAAATCAGAATTTTTATTTGTTTTTAGGTATGGTGCCCAACTGTCGCAGGCCTGCAATGTTTCAATCCCCCTTTGTCAACTTTTCACAGGTTGAAGCCTGAGATGTGGTAGTCTTTTTAATGTCAATCATTCTTTGTTCTCTGTTAAATATCAAAGAACAAAGGACTGTACAGAAGATGTAAAGTAAAAACATATACTGTATATCAGAGAGTCGTGTTTGTATGTGTAGGTGTTTGGATGTAATTGGCACTAGCTGTAGGTCGCACAGCTGAAACAAATATTTTGCCTTTTAGTATTCTTTCATGACATGTTCCGGTGTTTTAAAATGTGTGGGTATCATTAAACGTGTAAAAGGTTTGCAATGAACTCGGCCGTGCTGTGGGCATCTTTTGTGTGATGTGATCTCATATATAAAGGACTGGACCTCCTCTCTCATCTAGACTTTTCTGTTATGTTTTCAGATGTTCTAACTAAAATAGGTATGCAAGGAGAACCAGAGGGACGTAAGTCTATCCAACTTTACAGGAGAGCTAAAACAAAAAATGTCAATACTTTGTTTATTGAATTCAATCTTTAATATTAAAATTTAAAGAGCATTTGGATTGAACATGTGTTTAAAGTCCCCCTCCAGTCAAAAAGTAAAAGGAGCATTTGTCTTTTTAAGGATTTTAATATATGTTATATTTGGCAAGAAGCTCCCATCAGGTCTGCAGTGTCACTGCTGGGATCTGTCCTCTGAAGCTGTTCTAGTTAATCAATATCAGATTATGATATTGATTTACTTTGTCTTACTGAGACCTGGTTGTCCCAGGAGGAGTATGTTAGCCTAAATGAATCCACCCCCCCAGTCATATTAATTCTCACATTCCTCGAGGCACAGGCCGAGGAGGTGGAGTAGCAGCTATATATGATTCGAGCGTTTTAATGGACCCTAAACCTAAACTAAATTATAATTCATTTGAAAGCCTTGTTCTTAGTCTTTCTCACCCAAACTGGAAAACACTGCAGCCAGTTCTATTTGTTATAGTGTACCGCGCTCCTGGACCGTACTCTGATTTTATATCTGAATTCTCAAAGTTTAGTCCTTAAATCAGATAAAGTAATTATTGTAGGTGATTTTAATATTCATGTGGATGTTAACAATGACAGCCTTAGTAACGCATTTCTATCATTAATAGACTCAATTGGCTTCTGTCAGAGTGTAAATAAACCAACTCATTGTTTTAATCACACTCTCCAATCCAACTTTATTTGTTAAGCACTTTAAAAACAACCAAAGTTGACCAAAGTGCTGTACAGGAGAATAAATAAGACATCATAAATGTAAACAGTGATGGTGATGATGAAGACCACTGTGAGGAATATAGACAGTGATGGCGACAACACTGGAAAGTTCCCGTGGCAGATAACATGGATGAAGTCCGACGGCGACGAGCTCGATGTCCGGGCTGCAGACGCTCTTTCACACAGTCGTGCCCGGCGTTACACCACCTGTTGTTTATGAGCACGGACAGTCCCCCTCCTTCCTTCATGCCGGTCGCGGTGGTGTCCCTGTCGGCTCGAACCGTCTGGAAGCCGGGAATGGTGACGGTTGGAGTCCGGTATCTGCTCGTGTAGCCACGTTTGTAGGGTTTAAAGCTCCTCTTCTTCATCCTCCGTTTAACCCCCGCTCTGCAGCCTCGTCTCCTCCTCAGCTCCTCCGGTATGGAGGCTCTCTCTCCGGTCAGGATGCTCGGGTACCTCAGGGCGATCATCTGGTCGCGGGTGTAAACAATGCGACTCGCCGTCGCCATGGAGACCCGTGCAAACAAAAAATAAAAAAGTGCTCAAAAACGCCAAAAAAGTATTTAGGCGACGTGAACAAAGTAGTAAGAAAGTAAGAAAGTAAGAAAACAGTTAAAATAGCAAAAAAACACAACACACTGAAAACACACTAAAACTACAACAATGATAGGAGCTGCCACCACAGGCTGCTGCCACCATTCCATGGATGCATGGATGAATGCTGGACCTCGTTCTATCATATGGCGCCATTGATATTGGACATTTAATAGTCTTCCCACATAATCCTTTTCTATCTGACTATTATTTAATAACTTTTGAATTCCTATTATTAAATTATAAGCCACTAGGCAAAACTTCCTGCTGTAGGAAGTTTTACACCATGTCTATCTGACAGTGCTGTAGCTAAATTTAAGGAGGAGATTCCATCAGTGTTTAATTCAATGCCATGTCTGAATGTAGGGACATGAATGAGTGCAGAAAGAGAGAGGAAGAGAGGAGCTCAGTGCACCATGGGAAATCCCCCGATAGTCTAGGCCTATAGCAGCATAACTAAGGGATGGTTCAGGACTCACCTGATCCAGCCCTAACTATAAGCTTTATCAAAGAGGAATGTCTTAAGCCTACTCTTGAATGTGGTGAGGGTGTCTGCCTCCCGAACCACAACTGGAAGCTGGTTCCACAGGAGAGGAGCTTGGTAACTGAAGGCTCTGGCTCCTGTTCTACTTTTAGAGACTATAGGAACCACAAGTAGCCCTGCATTCAGAGGACGCAGTGTTCTAGTGGGGTAATAGGGTACTATGAGCTCTTTAAGATATGAAGGGGCCTGACCATGAAGAGCTTTATAGGTGAGGAGGAGGATTTTAAATTCAATTCTACATTTTATAGGGAGCCAATGCAGAGTAGCTAGTACAGGAGAGATGTGATCTCTTTTTCTAGTTCCTGTCAGTACTCGTGCTGCAGCGTTCTGAATTAATTGGAGCGTTTTAATGGACTTATTGGGGCAACCTGATAATAAAGAGTTGCAGTAATCCAGCCTAGAAGTAACAAATGCATGGATTAGTTTTTCTGCATCTGTCTGTGATAGGATGTGTCTAATTTTTGTAATATTACGTAAATGAAAGAAGGCAGTCCTAGAGGTCTGCTTTATGTGGGAGTTAAATGACTAATTCTGATCAAAGATAACTCCAAGATTCCTGACAGTGGTGCTAGAGGCCAAGGTAATGCCATCTAGAGTAACTATATCTTTAGACAGTGAGTCTCTAAGATTCTTGGGGCCAAGTACAAGAATTTCGTGTTTAACATCAGAAAATTGCAGCTCATCCAGGATTTAGTAATTTAGATAATTGATTAATTTCATCGGGCTTGATTGATAGATATAACTGCGTATCATCTGCATAACAGTGAGAGTTAATGGGGTGATTCCTAATAATTTTGCCTAAAGGGAGCATATATAAAGTAAATAGTATTGGTCCAAGTACAGAACCTTGTGGAACTCCATGACTAACTGTAGTATGTATTGAAGATTCATCGTTAACATGTACAAACTGCGAACGATCTGATAAATATGACTTAAACCAACTTAGTGCGGTTCCTTTAATGCCAATTTGATGCTCAAGTCTCTCTAAACGAATATTATGGTCAATGGTGTCAAAAGCAGCACTAAGATCTAATAATACAAGTACAGAGACAAGTCCATTGTCTGAAGCAATCAAAAGGTCATTATTAACTTCAACCAGAGCTGTCTCTGTGCTGTGATGAACTCTAAATCCTGACTGAAAATCCTCAAATAAACTATTGTTATGTTAAAAGTCACACAACTCTTTGGCGACTACTTTCTCCAGAATCTTAGAGAGGAAGGGGAGGTTAGAGATCGGCCTATAGTTGGCTCAAACCCCTGGGTCAAGAGTGGGCCTTTTAAGAAGGGGTTTAATTACAGCTACTTTAAAAGGACTGTGGTACATATCCTGATAATAAAGAAAGATTAATCATATCCAGTAAAGAAGTGCCAATTAAGGGTACGACTTCTTTAAGCAGCCTAGTTGGGATGGGGTCCAACAGACAGGTTGATGGCTTCGATGTAGAAATTATTGAAGTTAACTGATGAAGATCGATAGCAGAAAAACAGTCTAAATATATATCTGAGTTTACATTAGTTAAAGTTCCTAAACTTGGAAAGCCACTGATAACTGTTGATGGCAGTTGGTGACTAATTTTCTCTCTAATAGTAATAATTTTATAATAAAAGAAGCTCATAAAGTCGTTGTTACTTAAGGTTATGGGGATATGTGGCTCAATAGAGCTGTGACTCTCTGTCAGCCTGGCTACAGTGCTGAAGAGGAACCTAGGGTTATTCTTATTTTCTTCTATTAGTGCTGAGTAATAGGCTCCTCTGGCATTACGGAGGGCCTTTCTATAGGTTTTAAGATTATCTTGCCAAATTGAACGATATTCTGATAATTTGGAAGAGCGGCATTTCCTTTTTCCTTGAGGGAGCCCTAATCTATCACTAAGTAAATTGACAACCCCTGACTATATTCAACAAATACAGAACAACTGATAAACTGTACATGAATAACTGCAGGAAGTTTGTATAAAAGAATTTTAGCATTTTTTCTGATATTTTAAGGAACTTTTTATACAAATCTTCTGTCTGTATTATGTTTTTTTAATTTTATTTTCTATTCAGTATTTTCTTCTCCCTGACACTGGGCCATTGTTCTAATACAGCTTGTATTCAGGTCATCAGAGTTTAGATATTAAATAACACACTGTATTGTGTTAGTGTTAGTTATTTTGACTGAAATTGTTGAAACAGTTTACATAAAAAAATATAAGTTACAAAATTAAATTTTGTTAGTTAAAAACATTCTTGATTAAGTACTTTTACCCGTTTTTTTAAGAATACAAATGAAAATTTCAAAATGAAGTCAGTGTCACTTAAAATGACTAAAGCTACTTGATTAAAAATGTTCTGAGATGTAGGCCTACTGTGTATATTTTAAAAAAGGCCTATAGTGACCCCTAATGGGGGTCCCGACCCCCAGGTTGGGGACCACTGCTCTAGGATAGGGCTGCCCAAAGTGAAGCCCATGGGCCACAGTGGGCCACCATGAGGTTCAATTCAGTTTCAATTTTAACTGTAAAACTACTTTTCAAATGTGTATGATTTTATTATCATTTGTTTTAACTTAGCAATACAACACAATACAACACAGCAGAGTTCGGTACAGTACAATAGAATATAGTACAGCACAGTGCAACACTTCGCTTTTGGCCCTCCAAGGGGAAAAGGTCCTGCCCCTGCTCTCGTACTTACGGTAATGTTTCTATGACCGGAAATGACGCCGGATGTTTGCCGTGGAACTTATGCGGAACAGAGCGGAAGCTACTTTAGCGTAGCCGTATTGTACCTGCTCATCATAAAACGCATATACTGTCTCCTATAATGGTCTGACCGACCCCCCAGCACACCCTAACCCTGCGAGAGGACTCTAACGGTATTTTCACAGCGAGGGAGCAGCCAGCGAGTCACCGACCGGGGGAACAATGTCCAGCCGCCTGGCCTTCCAGACCCAGCTGGCCTCCATCATGGAGGTCCTGGCAAACGCGGCGGTGGCGGAAATCTGCAAGCTGGTGGACGACGACTACGCGGTGGTGAGTTTACAGATGTCTCAGTGCCAGAGAGAGAACAAAGCCCTGAAGAGGAAGCTGCATCTGCTGGAGCTGAAGATGGCCCGGGGGAACGCCGAGAGGAGGCTCCGGGAGAGTGCCATGAACAGCAGCCGACCGAGGGTGCAGATCAACGCCAGCGACAGGCTCCGAGAGTGCTCGCCCTCCGCCGGTAAGAGGACCGTAACAGGAGCAGTGCGACTAGGAGTTGCCATAACTTTATAAGGGGTCGCAAGGCCGTCTTGATTGTAAGACATTGTAAAACTAACACGATTTTGTAAGTAAAAAAAAAAACACTCTTAAACGTTGTGAAAAAAAAAAAACTAGTAAAAAGTTTAGTAAAAAGAATATGGTCAGCGGAACCACTGGCCTATATAGTGTTAACGTTATATAGCAGTTAGCTGCTACACTTTAAATGACTAAAACGTGGCTTTAATACACCTAACTGAACAGAAACAGTCTCCATTTGTATTTCATTAATTGTATGTATAAATGCGCTTATTTACAATTCAATATATTGTGATATGTATTGTGGTATATTCTGATACCGTAAGCATGGTGATATATTGCAGTTTATAAGAGTGAACATTTTTGGAAATTAGAAGAACACACCATCATATACCAAAAATCTGAGTAACTTAAGTTCTACAGTGGGATCTGCATTTGTATCCCTGTACCATCCAACATCACTGCCCTCAGTTAACGTTTACAACACTGCTATCTAGCTGTTGGGGGTTAAAACACCAAAATCAATACAGTGTTTTTGTGAATTGATAAAATATCACAAAACAAACAATATTTTCTTACACCCCGAGTTACAACCTGTCTATCTCAGTCAGGACAGCTTTGTCATCAGGTATGTTTGGTATATAAGGTTAAATGACGTGAAACCATCTCGCTATAACAATAAAGTTTCTTTTTCTGGTGTGGCAGCAGTATGCTGCCGTAGGTAAGTAACACAAATAACACAGGAATCAGGGATTAACCAATACAATTTTTTGAGTGCAAGTACAGATACCGATTATTAGTAATGAAAAAAAACAGTAACCGATATTTGCCACCGATGTCTATTTGCAGGAAAAAAGATACACACTCAACCTTTTTTTAAAATGTAATCATTTTATTGACAATCAGATTAGAAAGGAAAAAAATGGCTAGAAAAAACCCTGAACATCAGATCCATTAGTCTGTCGAACACTAACAGGAATGCCAGTGTCAGTGTCACCATTATTACAAATACAGTATCAGCTCAGACTTTGATATGGTAGGGATGGGAATATTTTATTGTTACAATTATTGATTCTGCCTATCGGTACAATTCTTTGTTGATCTTTATTATTGATTCCTGATCACACGTTTTCAGCCTCAACACAGCTGATTATGTCTGAGTCAGAACGCAGTCCAAATGGAGTGATAGTAGTTTGAACGTTGGATCGTTTCTTCCTCTCCACCATGTTTCCAGCAAGGTAGACTCATGAGTTTGACATCATTGTTTTGCATTGATGAAAGGAGCTGATAAGCTCTGGGACATAGAATTGCGATGACTCCGAAAATGTTTAACTGGTTGTCGATAACCATCTCTAGTATTTAGCCAGTGGCAATGTTGGTTAATTCATTCGCACTTTAGCCGCACTACAAAATATCGATTCTACTACGTAAGTTATATTAACAGTAACCCTTTAGATTATTAGGGCCTGAGTAGCAACAGCTGCAACAGGAAGTCACGCATTTTGATTTTTATGGTCATTTTCGGCCCTTCAGCGTGTCTATATGCCAATATTCAGTCATACTCATAGCATGACCTACTGGAAACAGGAAGTAAGCCTGGCAATCATCTGATTTGTGTGACTTTTAATTTTTCACAGTGTTGTCCACACATAATACTGGTACATGAAGCAACCGCAGCAGCGCACAGACTGCGAGGCCCTGATTATCACTTTAATTATTATTATTATTATTATTATTCAAAAACAATATTGTCACACCGCTGATCCTGTCCTCAACATACAGAGATGTTTCATTTCTGAAGCTAGAATCAATCAGGAAACTAGATCCTGTGTGTGTGTGTGTTGTGTGTGTGTGTGTGTGTGTGTGTGTGTGTGTGTGTGTGTGTGTGTGAGGCAGCTTGATATAGCAGAATGTGGCAGAGTTGGGGACCACACTAAGACACTTCAGGCAAAAGAGAATTAAAATACAAAATGTATGTAAAAATCTAAACTTCCAGCCATATATAACCAACACTGAAGTCATCAGTTCATGCTGTCCTGCTGACTCTAAAGATGTGATTGTTCAGATATTCCATCATTTCAGCTTGAAACACATTACCGGTTTGTCAGCCCCACACATTGAAATCTATTAACGCTCAGTGGTGTTACCGGCATTAAAGAAAGGCTGTCACTACATTATAATAAAATGAATTCTTTCATTTGTTGTTAGGGTTTGTCCTAACTGTCAAACCCCAGCAGTCAGCGGCCAGGTGTACACTGTGGCATTGCCCCAGGTGTTTCATCGCTGTGCAGCACTGTGAGGAGAATACTGCAGTTTTCTGGAAGGGTGGAGCTGAATGAGCCTTCTCGCTTCCTTCTCATCTCTGTTGAGAATTGCTCAGTTCCAATTAGTTCCATTGTTAGTGCATGAGCACAATACATAGTTTCACCCACATCCTCTGTTTGCTGCAAGTGTGAGAGCAAGACCGGTTGAATCAGAGACACATCAATTTCTCGAAGAACATTGCTGGAGTGCCATAACAAGAGCCAACTACATCTCGCTTGCATGAAAGCTAATATGGTCTAACCTCAAACAATAAAACAATTAGTTATGGCTGCACAATTAATTGAAATATTATCAAAATCGCAATATGGCAAATTACAGCATGCTAATTGTAGAAGCTGTAGCTTTTTGACAATGATGATGACAAAATGTCACATTTTACCTTTAAAATTCTCACACTAACTCATATTTTTTATGGGGCCAAGTAGAATTTGACTCTGGGCAAGCAGATTTCTTATCAACTTGGGTAAGTGAAAGAAACTAATGCACCCTGTATCATATGTTGCATTATATGCCTCTTCCCTGAAGCTGGTCAGGATTTAGTGTCAGATAGCGGGAAAGTTGCAAATTGCAACTAACTAAAAACAGCTTGCCGTCCAAGCGTGTAGGAGAAACTACAGCAGCCCTGTAACTCGCGCAAAGGTCAGAGCTAGAGTAGAGGTGTGAATTGTCACTGATCTGCCGATTCGATTCGATTATCATGTCACCGTCACTTGCTGTTCTTGCCTCTGACGTCTCCTCCGTTTTTTTTTTACTCCTGTCAGAAACTTCTCCATCTCTCCTCCCCCGTCAGTCCCCCCTGCCTCTCACGCCCCACAATTTGAGAAGTACTGGTCTAGATGAAACGGGTTAGGCTACTGAGAATGATATTTTTCATTTGAATGTTTATGCCGCGGCCGGAAAATTAATGAGCGACATCATTGCGTTATAATCGATTATGGTCGGCCACTGCATCGATGCAGCATCGTCCATGTCTGCATCGTGATGCATCCATTATTTGATTAATTTCAACACCTCTAAGCTAGAACCAGTGTTTGTCCGTTCTGGGCTACTGTAGAAACAGGGTGGTTCAACGTGGCGGACTCTGTAGATGAAAACGACTCATTCTAAGGTAATGACAACACAACCATTATTTTCAGGTGATTATACAGTAATGAAAACATACCAATAAATATTATATTAAGTTATAAATAGATAGATCCTCCTAAATGTTACACACTGGACATTAAATGGTGAGCAAGACACATTCTGTTGTGTATTTTCTCATCTCTGCACTGCCACCGATCACTGAAGTGTGCACGGTCAAAGTTTCTAAATAGACATTTTTTCTTGTTTTTGTGTAGATGGTGTGTTCGAGCGACGGATGGATGTGGCTCTGTGGTCTGGCAGAGCCACTGCAGGGGACGCCACCAGCAAGCTGATTTACTCTGAGAGCATCCAGAGTAAGGTAAGCACACCACAAGGGAGTCAATGTGACTGTGGAGGACTGGAGACATTAATGCTTTGTGTAGAATAAAAACTGCATTTTGAAACTCAAGAGAGCTCCGGTCTTTGCTTGAGTGCCAAACCTGCCTTGTTGTGCAGTCTCCAGATGTGGAGCTGGTGGAGCCAGAGGAAGTGCTGGTGAAGGAGGAGAAGGTGGAGGCAAACATGTCACAAATTGAAGAAATAGTGGAAGACGTCCCGCTCATAGGAGATGATGGTGAGTACAGGCGACGTGCTGATGCATGTGTACAGTAGACTACCCTGTGTGCAAAGCTGAGTATTAAAAATCAGTGGCCAGATTACTCATCAACGTTATCTCAGCACGTTAGCTGCTACAAAACAAATGTATAATGAGACAAACTGCTGGCAACAAGCTTGAAAGACATTGGTGCTTACATCCAGCAATTAACAAAGAGATGCTGTTGAGTTGCATCATGGGAAATGTTGGTCTACTACAGACTTTTTTTTGAATCTGTCACATTAGAGGCTCTAATATTATGAATAAACACGCTAATTTACCAGTTGATGTAGACTAGCGAGCTAGTTAGCTAACATTTTGCTACCATTTACCTTAAGATGTGATCATACTGTCTGATGGCGCAGACAAGCCTAGCACATAGCATATCTAAGTTCAGGAAAGGAGGAAGTTGACCGAGGTTCCAAAAGGGGCGAGGCTTATGAAGGGTCAGTTCATGGAAATACCCTAACCAAGAAGTCTTTAAGCTAAGTTCAAGCTGTTGAAATGATACAAATACTCTTATCAACAATCTGTAGGCGGACCCTGCAAATAAAGTGGAACCAAAGCTCGTTAGTTCCAGTCTTGGTTTCATATGAGGAGTAAGATTTATGTAAGGAATGTAGTCCGCACACAGAGAATAAAGTATTAACTATTCAGTTTTCTTCTCCATTCTTTGTCCTGTATCGTAAAGGAGTTGTGGAGCGTGTCCCTTGCGGAGCTGTGGGACAGAGACCCGGCCTCGAACAGCAGGACACCCAGTCCACTTCCAGCCAGTCCCAGATCCAGAGCAGCAGCACGAGGCGTGCCGGCAGCAGCAGCAGAGGAGTGGAGGTCAGTGACTCCTCTCCTCTCCTTAAGTGTGAACTCAGTGCCTCTGTTGAGGGCAGAGACTCACTGCAGGAAACTATAGACCCTCCTCAATATATCGATGACGGCAGCAATGACTCACAGTTTGAAGTGTTGTACGACAACGATAAAAGCGCTAACTCGCTGGTTGAGGAGTTTTTTGACGAGCGGTCGGAGGCTCATATGGAAGGAAAGAGGCCATCTTGCTCATACTCGATGGCAGCGGCTGATTTCCCCTCAACCTCTTCCAGTATCAACGGCTGGACTCGCTTCGGCCCCGGTTTACCCCTGCCCCAGTCCTTCGGCGACAGCGGCGAGGTGCGCCGTCGATCCAACGCCAAGGAAAGACTGTTTGTTTGCAGCTACTGTGGCAAGGCTTTTAACCGGCCCAAGAAGGTGGAGATCCACCAACGCGTCCACACGGGGGAGAAGCCCTTCAGCTGCTCCACGTGCGGGAAGACGTTCTCTGAGGCCGGGAACCTGAGGAAACACCAGAGAGTTCACACCGGAGAGAAACCGTACAGCTGTGGGATGTGTGGCAGAGGATTCGCCTGGATAAGAAACCTGAAAACGCACCAGCACAAAAGCCACCCTGAAATGTTTACTGAAGTGGAGACCTGGGATCAGTCCTGAACTGTCTTCTTACCTCAAGGCTGCTGTAGAGTGTCAGTGTTGGCTGTAGAAAGAGACTCATAGGACCTTCTGAAGAACTTTTTTTAAACAGATTTCTACATGTTTCACACAGTGATTAACAAGAAACATGTTTTAAATGTGGCTTTCAAAGAGAGAAATATAGTATTTCTGCCTCTGGTCTCTTGCTATGGAAGATGATTAGGGCCAAATTTGAACATTTCATTAGAATTCTAACTTTTTTTAAACTTTAAACTCAAATAAAAATGTTCACATTTGTCCCTAATCCTCTTCCATACTCAGCCAAGATGCTGAGGTAAAGCAGCTTTTGGACGGACAATTTGAACTTGAATTTATCAGTCTGGTCAGGTGAAGGTTTTCAGTAGTGTATAGGCCTGAAGTGTGTTGTTTCATTTATCTGTTCCCTACACACACGCTTTGGTTGACCCACCCAGGACGGAGCTGCACACAGCCGGAGCTTTGCACTATGAAACATGTTAAAGCTGCGTCCAAAAGGTGAGCCGAGAGGAGCTTTTCTGCTGGATGTCCTTATATGGAGGGGATTTTAAAATGTGGTTTGTTTTCTGTGTGTTCCCCCATTTCCCATCTTAAAGGAAAAGGCTGTTTATAGTTTCATTAACCCTAACCCTGTGTGTGCTTGAGTCCAAATAAACTACTCTGTGTGTGTGTGTGTGTGTGTGTGTGTGTGTAAGGGACATCAGCCACTGCAGCATTGAGACTCATAACTGTATTATATGTTCCGTTGCGATTACAGTATGCTGTATGGTATGCATCGCAACCACTTGGCTTTAACAACACCCCCTCTTCAGCCATGCTTTCAAACACACAGGCTGTGACAGTGCTGCTCACATTTCTTAAGTAAAGCTGCTATTAAAGCTCAACCAAGTCACATAAAGATTATCCGGCACAAATTAAAAGAAGATTTAGAACAAGCAGTGGTAGGTGAAGAAACGCTGGCTGCCTGGTCTGAACATGGTGGAACATAAATATTTAAGATGTACAAATATAGTTTATTTTTAATTAAGGCTCAGTAATGCTCACTGTAGTTTTTAACAAACTGTAGGAAATAATTATTGGGGACTTGTTGTATTCATGGGTTATATGGTTAAAGTAAATAATTAGTACTGGTGTTGGAATTCAGGCTTGGCCAGCATTCAGTCACTTCCTGGGTCTTAAAAGGCTCTCCATGTACTCCTTTGGGAGCATTGTTAAGTGCAACGCATGTCATGTGTTTTATAGTTGAAATATTCCATTTTGTATGCAATATTTCATTTCTGGAATAAAATATGACTTTTAAACCACAAGGAAGTCTTGTTTTATGAGCCTCTTTAAAAGCGGAGTTGAATGATCTGAATCTCCGATGAACATAATCAGATTTGAATTGCGGCTATGAAGCAAAATGGACCTTTTTTAAATGTTTTTTTTATGGTTCCAATTTTATTTTTTTTGCCCCTTCTTCTTAAACAGCTCCGGTCTGCCTTTATTTTTTTTGCCCCTTCTTCTTAAACAGCTCCGGTCTGCCACTGCCTTGAATGTGATCACTGGTCCCGACATGACACACTGTCTCTTATACAAGTCTTTCTATAGCATGAAACGTGCACTCTGGTGGCAACAAATCAAACTGGGTCACACAGTGTATGTACAAAGCAAACTGTCACTCATGATGTCCTGTTAACTAAAATATTTTTAAAACGGGCCTCATTTATTTAACTGTATTTGTTTTGCTAGTAGCACAGTGTTTGCTGTTATTTCTCTTGCGTGTAACTCTTAGTCACTGGTTCGATCCCAAAAACACTGTTCCAAGGGCACTGCACTGCACAAATTTGAAATGCCTTGTGTACATTGACAGTAAGCTATGACTTAATTTAACTTAAGCCCAGTACTGGGTTTGTGGTGCCAATATTGATAATTAAGAGTTAAAAGAAAAGCCAATAACGATACATCTACCAATTCTATTTTTTACAAAAACTCTTATCAATTAGTCCTGATCAATTTCTTTAATCTACTTTGGCTGGTAAAGCTGCGCTAATCAGTAATTTTGTGAAGAACTTTGGAATTTAGAATTACTACCTCACTCTGCAGTCTGATGTGATATTGACTGCATATGCAATTGGATTAATCTCCCTCAAGCAAAGGTTCTCAAATCTTATGGCGTCTCTCCTGATCACATTTTGAAACTAAGCTGTTTCTTTTTCAGTCATCAGTGTGGTGTGTCTGCGCTGCCATTAACGTTTCCTCTCTTCATTGTATGTGCAGAAGGAGGAGGAGGAGCCGGATGTGGTACTGGTGAAGGTGGAGGAGGTAGAACCGGTGACGGGGACTCAGAGCCAGACGGGCCTCAGCATACAGGAGGGTGAGTGCACACACAATCCCAATCTATAATCACACTCTGAGGTGATCTGACATCACCCTTACAATAGGAGGTCCTTTTGCCTTACCCAGTATGGCCACTTGGAAGTACTTATCAGTTTCGGACTGAAAAGCATCTGCACACTCAATCTGTACTATAAAAGGTATTTATGTTTGCGAGCTTTCAGTCAGAGACCTTCTGCAAGGCAGCAAGTGAAAAGCAGCATTAGCTTTAATGCAGAACACTTGTGTCATTAGTTGTATCAGTTGGGTTTGTGTGGCTAGACATCAAGGGAATTGTAGTCCTAGGTAAGATAGACTACAAGTTAAAGACACAGTGGCCCAATCCAAGTTTCCACACTCAGGCTCAAAGACTTTGAGGCACATTCCTGTTAAGTCCACTAGCTGTCCCAGTGATAAATCGTCAAAGGGCGCTCTGGCAGACATTTTAAGCACTTGTTATCCACACTTTCTGACTCAAGTAAATTTACCCATCAGAACTAGGGTCAACTTCCTCCTTTCCTCTACTGAGATATGCTATGTGCTAGGCTAATCCATGTTGAAAAGACAACCACATTTTGAAGATGGTTAAAAGATTAAAGAAGAAGTTAGAAGAAGTTACATATATAGTCACATCTTAAGTTAACTAATGTCAGCAGCTAACTAGCTAGCTAATCTACATCAATCGTTTGACAGCTAGTTTGCGGGTTAGTTAGCTATTTTTTTGCTACAAAGAAAAACACAAGCTAACTAGCTAACTTATCTCTATTCATTATTAGCAAGCTAGTAACATCTGATAGCTGATGTTAGCTATCTAGCTAGCTAAGGATTGAGGTAGATTAGTTAGCTAGTTGGCTAACCTAATATGTGACTATGAATGGACCCCCTTTCTGTGTGTGTGTAAAAGAAGACCTAACCTTGAAAATAAATTGGTTGGAGTCAACATATATTATCTTTTGCTACCCGTTTTTGCCTTGAAGAAGAACTCGAAACAAAGGGCCACGTTTTTCATAGTTTTCCACTGTTGTCCCTCTCAACATGCAGGCTGAATAGGCAGTCCAGAAGTTCCTGTGAAACCTGTAAATGCTCCATTTTATCCTAGCTACAGCGTCTGACAGAGAAAAGCCCTCTCTCTCTTTGTACCCAGGGCTGGTGGAGTCAAGCACCGATGACTACAGAGCAGTTCTGCCGTTTGATGAAACCACTCAAGCCTCCACCAATCAGCTATCTGACCTGCAGGAGTCTGGGCGGGGCTTCTCAGAGGTCAGCTATGGCCGTTCTTCGCTGTGGACTAACGGGGGGGGAAGTTATTGTCAGGACGACAGCCTCCCGGGGCCGTCGTCGCACTGCGCCCCCATCTCATACCTGCCCAGCACACTGATAGGAGCGGAGCCCGGCAGCTCTGGAAGGGGATTGGCTGTTGAAAGCTCCAGAGGCTTCCACACCTCTGTGTCCTTTCAGCAGCAGCATCCTCTTATCGATCTGTCAGAGGAGTCCAGCCCCATTCAGGTTTTAGGTCAGATTGAGGGCCCACAGCAGTTCCTGGACCCAGGTCAAAGTCAGGGTCAGGAGAGTTATAGCAGTGCAGATATGCAGCAGAAAGTCCCCAGGAAGAGGGTGTGCATTTGTAGGTTCTGCGGTAAAGGGTTCAGCTCCCCGGCAAATTTAGAATCCCACCTCAGGACCCACACAGGAGAGAGGCCGTATGGCTGTACCATCTGTGGCAAAAAATTCTCCCAATTCTGGAACCTGAAGATCCACAAGAACATCCACACCGGGGAGAGACCTTACCAGTGCTCGCTCTGCCCCGAGAGGTTTTCTGACCCCAGCAACCTGAAAAAACACCAAAAGAGACACCACCCACAGACATAGACCAAGACCCTAACATCCGTCATTAAAAAGAGCCCCAAATTATAAGCCTTATACAGTAGTTCAAAATCATATCACTATTGAAATATAATAAAGATAAAAAAATAAAAACAAGTAGCTCTCTATTTTCAATTTATTGGTTTCTTGTAAATACCAATAGGAGCACTAGGAGGAGCCAGAGGAACCTGATTGTTTCACAGATTATCTGTCTCATGTTCTAATGTCAGGATATAGGGAAGGTTTCAGCAAATATGACAAAAAGTTATTTTTATAAAAGTTACCTACTGCAGCTTTAAGGACAGGTGGAATTAGCTCTGCTATAATGGCTCACATGGTAAATTTCAACAGCTCTCAGTACAACCACCACAACATAGTCACTGCTCTGCTGAGAACACTTTCTCTTTATTACAAAAATACTGTTTTTATTGAAAAATGTATTTATTGTTGAATGTGACCCGTATCAGATTGCAGTGTGAACAGGTCACCCTCATTCAATGACCCACCTGATGAATGTCAGTCTAGTGTGATACTAGATTCTGAAATGACTGTTCACACTAAGGTCACATTGTAAAGAATCAGACCTGAATCTGATTTGGACCAAATATGAAAGTGGCCCAAATTTAGATCCAGATTTGTGCTGTTCACATATACTGTATACATACATATTAGCCCAAAAAATAGATTTGAGTCACTTGTGCCTGCAGTGTGAACGGAATATACCTAATATAAATGATATTAATCCTCATGGACTATGTGTATTAGAAACAGTATCACTGCTGTTTTTGATTGAGTTTTTAAATGACTTATTCCACATATTTGTCAGTTGTAGAGCAAGAAGGTTGAGCAGACACACATACAGACTGGTCCTTTTAACTTTATTGTAGAAGAAGCGATGTTCCATTAAACACATCAAAAGCTTTGCGTTATAAATCTGCAAGGCTGTTCTAAAGATCAGCTGTATGTGTGATGAGAGCAGAGGAGCAGAAACACTTGCTGACCAGTGCAGAGGAATGCACCTCTTACTCTGAACCAAACATTGGCAATGTTTCTGTTCAAGAATAGGTAATGAGAGCAGCAGAGCGGCGAGAAGGATATTATTATTCTACAGTCTATGAAACTCCACACCTCCTGGACTGATTTTTCACAATAAAAGCCTGCCAGTAACAGGAGTTTAGCTTTTTGAGCTGCTAGAAGGCTCATTGTCCAGGCTTATTGTGAAAAATCTTGTTGACAATAACAGCAATTTAAAGATGCAATTGGAAATAATTAGTGAATGAAACAGTATTTGTGTAAAAAAGCAAAACTCAGAGCAGCAGAGAGAGTATGTTATCAAATATACTTGGGGAACATGGGAATTTAGAGATGTATTTGTACAGATGTACAAAACCAACCAGACTACAGAAACTGGCAGTTACTGACATAATAAGAAATGCTCAATCAGTAATGTGGTGTGCAGTTTTAACATATTTGAATCCTGCTCTTCCAGTAGACCTCAGATACATACTTTGTCTTTGTTTTATCTGCAGGACCGATTCTCTTCTCGAGCAATGTGTTATTTTAAAGTGTGACCTCTTATGTAAAATACAAGCCATTGTAGCATAAACATATACTGCAAATGTAACACTAGCTTTTTTCTATTGTGTCACAATTTTGTAAAACCCTGCTCAATGTCAGTTTGCAATGTAAATCATTAAAACTTTTTTAAAACTCAACATGTGAATTTGTGTTTTTATTATAAATCATACATTACAAAATTGTGACACAATATTATTATCAAACCTGTAACAATTTGTACCAATTATAATTCCTAATCACCATATTTACAGGTTCCTTTAAAAGTCTGTATGCCTCCTAATAGAATTAGATTTAACCAAATATCTGAAGCACATACCTTCTTTTTTTCTGATTTCCAGCCAAAACATTACAGTGCATTGTGATGCAAGCTGCTGTAGTTGGTGCCTGAACATCAGCAGGGAAGTTGTAGTTGAAGTGTGTCTTAGGGTGTTAATGCTATTAATTCTTTTAAAAGGTTTTAAATAAATAATTAAATAAAGGACGAGCGCTGTCATATTTGGGCTGTAAGAGCCTTTGTTGTAGGGATATAAGACTATATGGGACACCAGAACAATCATTGGAGGAACCAGTTTGTCCCTTAATTCTCACTATCAGGATGATTAGAGCACATTAAAACAATAGTCCCTCATTTAAAAAAAAAAAATACACAAGATTAATATAAATCTGTTGTCTGCAGTGTAATTGCATGCGTGGTTAGCTTAGCATAAAGTCTGGAATCAGGTGGAATCAGGTGGAAACAGCTAGCCTGACTCCGTACAAAGTAAAAATATACACCTACCAACACCTCGGAAGCTAACCACTTAACATGTTATATGTTACTTGATTAAAGCTGCAGTAGGTAGGAAAAAAATCGTTTTGGTATATTTACTGCATTTGCAAGAATCCAACAAAAAGAACCAATCAGAGCCAAGAAAGATGTTCGATTGTTTCCGAGTTATCAAATACTGATGCTATGCTTAAAGATAGTTGATTGTCGAGTCTCCCAAAGCAAGCCATTGTTTGTTTCAATGTCATTAACACCTGCTCTTATTGCACCTCTCTTCTGCTCACCCCTCCCCCTCTCCAGTCCACAGCACCTCAGTCGACCCCCGTAACCTCGCAGGACCTCAGCAGTGTCGTGGCAGTCCAGCTGCGGGTACCAGACACCAACACACCAGCTAGCCCCAACACACAGCAGAGATCCAACAACCCTCTCAGCTCGGAGTACTCTCTGTTTGAACTGGAGACATTCTTCACCCGCTGGGCCCCCGACAATGACTCTGTATCGGCCCCCGGTGGCCCTTCGTGCTCTCTGACCGCCGATGACTCGGCAGAGTGTGACCAGGATGGAGTTATCATTGTAGAGACTGAACCTCAGCATGTGTCTCAGCCAGCACAGGGCTCCATTTCCTCAGCGGGGAGGGTGAGTGGAGGGCAGAGTTTCTCCTCTGCATCCAGAGTTCACATCCAGCCGGCGGCATCACAAGGTAAGATATCACCTCCTTCCTTCCGTGGAGGCTTCATGTGTCTTTTGTCTTTCTTTTGTTGTTGTTTTCGCAGTCATGTCATCATGAAGTCTGTGGACTGAGGATGAAATGGAGATGTGTGTCCTCCTTTAGACACAGACATGCCATCAGAGCATCATGGGAACTGCATCTGATGAAGACTAACACAATAATGGTCCTATTATCTATTATCTATTAAAATGACATTTTGTTCATGTTTTATTGTCCACTGCAGCAGGTTGCCATGGGTCTGGAAAATACTAGAAAGGCCTGACCCGAAACTCTACTTAAAATAAATAAATAAATAGTATAAATAGTTTATTACAAATTAAAGTAAACTATGTTGTGTATATAATATAGTGCACATTCTTATCAAAACTGAGCAATAACAAATTCACTCATCAATTACATTACAATTCTAATTTTGTCCCAGCCCGTCTACAGCAGCAGTTTTGGAATGTGTGGGCTTTGTACGGCCCGTCATCTTAAAATTCACATTTGATGCTATTTTTAAATGCTGGGCCAAGCTTGATACACTTTCTCCCTGTCTAAGCATACAGAGATTTGCTGATGGCTGTGCTGTGTCATTGGCTGTTGTGCTCTCTTGTAGGAGTTCCGAGCTCAAATATGTGGCTGACCCCCTTATTTTATTTTATTTATTTATTTTCCTTTCCTTTTATGAGGCATTCATATGTGAAATAAATTGTGTTTTTCTGCACTTTTTTCAACAAAAGAACATTTAGAACAGTATCTTGACAAAATCATTTCCAGCTATTTAGTAATTGTTCACAATAAAGCAGACGGTAGACATAACCTAATTTGCATAATTATTTATCTAAACTAAAACAAAAAAGCCTTGTATTGGGGTATATATTCATCTGGCAAAGTTTCATCCTGATGGAATTCCCTATGTTCCACCATATTCCTGGGTGGTGCCTGGCCTTAAATCTCTACTACTATCTAATTAAGGCTGTGGACACACTTTACTGTTCATGCTACACAACTTTCAGTCTTGTAATCTAGATTTTAAAGGTTGTTGTGGTTTTCACACTATGTGACTGATCAGCAAAAGGGGGTCACACACTGCAAGGTCTTTCACAACCAGTCTGTCTGGTCTCATCGTTTCATCCGGAGTCATTAATAACATCATTACCAGTAGTAAAAAACAAGCACAAAGGGCAACCATTTACAGCATACTGCCATTAGAACCTGAGCACAATTAGCTGATAATGATCCTGATCAGCCAGCATCAGTAATCAATACACATATTATTAAAGCATTAATCAAACTAATAACTAGCAGCAGTCAACATCAGACAACCTCACCATACTTTAGCAGTTAGCTAGTGTTTCTGTAGCGGTTCCAAAATGTAAAACATTATACATATTAGCATAAAGCTCCCTGCACCAAACTCCCTTGAAGAAATATCACATTTTAACAATTCCTAATGTACTCGTAAAAACACGTAACTGTAGAAACACGAGCTGAAGGCCGTCATGTGTCAGACAGTCTGACTGTCAATACAGGATCAATGTCATCCATAAAGATAAACTGTATTCTGTACAAACCTGTCTCCTCAGCTCACTCAGCCTCTGTTGTAGCTGCACTCAACTAAAGGTCAACCATTCAAATCTGTGAATAGCACTGCTGGTTTGTATATGTGAACATCTATGTGGAAAGGGCAATCAACCCAGATTGAAGAATACAGACAGAGAAGCCTAGTGTCATGTTTCCATCATTCATTTCCTCACTCCTTTTCTTTTCAGCGGGGACATCTGTGTCCATACCTCTGAGGATACAGGCTCCATCTTCCCAGCCTCCCTGGACCAGAACATCAGCCGTGGTCCGAGGTGCACAGGCTCAGCTGCTGCAGCATCGTAACAGCAGCAGGATCTCTCAGCAACACCTCAGCCATCCCTCTGCACAGACCTCCACCACAGCTGCCGCCGCTGACACTCACGGTGCTGATAAAACACATGTCTCTGGTATCAGCTCAACCAGTAGGACTCTGAGCTCCACGATGGCTCTGCAGTCAGCATTACCTGCGAGGGGCTCCGCAGCAGGGTTGGCCAGCATTGAGGTGGCTATCGCAGCTCAGCATCAAGCCAACCCCCTTGCCTGTCACAATAAAGGCCAGGCCATCAGCACTGCGTCTGGCGAGCGCCGCAGAAAGAGCTACGTGTGCCGGGCCTGCGGCAAGGCTTTTTCCGGCCTGTCCAACCTGGAGGCCCATGAGAGGGTCCACACGGGGGAGAAACCCTTTAGATGCGACACCTGCGGGAAGCGCTTCTCGGAGGCCGGGAACCTGAAGAAGCACCAGAGGGTTCACACTGGGGAGAAACCGTTCAGCTGCCAGCAGTGTGGGAAGAGCTTTGCTTGGATCTGCAACCTGAGGACACACCAACAGTCTGCCACAGGCTGTGGACCACAGGCCAGGGGAGGGTTGGGTCTAGGCTGATCACACAGCGTGGACTGTGGAGGACAGGACTGTTATAGCTAGTCGTATTTTATTCACACACAGAGGCCATTTCTTCATTCTTAAAGTTGACTAAACCCCTGAATTCTGCCAGCTCCCTTCCAGCTAATTTAAAAATGTGAGCACAGAGTGACTACCGGTCAGAGTAGCAGCTGCAGTCAGTCCGCTGGAGCTTTTACAGTCACTAGAAGCACATTCATGGCCGTTTGTAAAAGTTTCTGTGTGGTAGCTACTTATGTTGTCACATTAGCTAAGCTAGCAGCGCAGAGGAGTGTCAGGTAACGGCTACGTAGCAGGCCACAGTCCTGCAGAGTCGAGACATTGGTTTCAGACATTGCCTCCAGATCATATAGTGAAATCCAATTGCAATAGCCGGGTTTCACCCAGTAGAGGGCGGTCGCTGTCCTTTTTTATAGCACAATATGAAGAAATCAAATACTGTGCGTTGAAATGTCCAGATTTGGAACTATACTTAATACCAATACACACATGTTGTCAGCAGAAAACTGCAGATTTGGGGCTTAAAATTTAAAAGAAAAAAAATTTTTAAAAAAAAATTGCGTTGTTATAGTCATTGTATTCATTTAATGCAGCTTTAAGTGCAGACTGATTTGAAAGTCAGCACTGCAGTTTCAGCAAATATGAATGTTTTATTTTATATATATTTTTAAAAAAGTAACCTACTGCAGCTTTAAGGTTCCATTCCATTCCGGTCCGAGTCTGGGTCCTGCTATTGTGCACTACTCTGCCGCACTTAATGAACAAACCCTTGGTAACATCTGTGTTTACCCTCTTAGTTTATGTCAAAATGGCTGCTGTGAAAAAGGTTTGTAAGCCGACTTACATTAAAAACAAAATCTGACATGATTTTCACTGTGATGCTTTTATTTCTCCAAATGTCTTCAAGTTGATCTGCTGGATCACAGCAGCCATTTTGGCATATAATAGTAGGGTAAACACAGGTGTTACCAATGATACTAATAAAGGTTCCGTTCCATTTTTTCAAAAAGATCTATTGTTGGTAGTAATGTCATTTATACTTGACTCGCGCTAAATGGGATAAACAGCTGCCCGGCCTTCCTCTAACTTGTTAGACAGGTGTGCCACCGCCAGTTAACCTCCCGACTGCAAACACACATGTCCTCATCTTTTGCCCTCTTTATACGTCCCACCACACCACGAGCCTTCGTCGGCGCCCGGGTTTGGGAACCGTTGTTTGAAATGATTTTGTACTGTGAACACATCAAGTATATTTTGTTAATATGTACAATAAACATTTTATGAGGCACAAAGAAAGGATCTCAACCCTCATCCTTGTTAGCTAAGTTCTACCAGCGTACATTGTTGGGGTGGTCTTTTGTCATTAATGGTCACAGCAATAAAATAAGACTCCATCTGGTACATATTATCCATAAAAGGTGGCCTGAGCACGTGTGTTAGCCATTGCCTGGAGCATGTCAGTGTGGTTTTGCCTCTGCTAAATTGGCAAATTACCCGGCAGGTGACAGAAATGCACTAGGAATAACAATCTATGCACTTTGTTTTTTACTGAAGTACCACAGAATTATTCATTGTTGCAGGGTGCATTATTTTGGAATGGCAAGATTTTCTGTTTACAGTACATGACACATTGCAACACAAAAAAATGTACTGTATGCATACAGATGTGCATATTGACTTTCCCCAGTAAACCTTTACCTGCTGTTGAAATCTGAATGGAGCTCAGTGCAGCAGTCAGTGGCAACAAAAGAGTACAATAAAACAGATTTGTATTTGTCCCATTAATGCATGTTACTAACTTCACTTCTTCCCCGGAGTTCTTGTGCTTTCTCGTCTCGCAGGTTCTCATGGATCCTGGTGGAGCCTCCTGCCATGGTCCTGCTTGACTGCCATTGCCAATATCACTGATATTATTGTTATTATTATTATTAATATTATTACTACAGTTACTGTTGTTGCTGTTGTCACTGCTCGTTGTCCCCCATCATTGCTGTTGTCATGTTCATCATCATCAGTCACTACTATTAGTGTAGTTGTTGCTCCTGTTGCTGCTGTGCACCTGTCTGTCTCTCTCTCTCTCTCTCTCTCTCTCTCTCTCTCTCTCTCTCTCACCCCAACTGATCGAGACAGACGACCACCCACCTAGAGCCGAAGGATCTGTCCTAGGTTTCTGCCTTTTAACAGGCAGTTTTTCCTTGCCCTTGTAACCAAGGTCTTGCTCATGGTGGTACTGTTGGGTCTCTGTAATTAATGTTATAAAGAGTTTGGTCTAGACCTGCTCTATTTGAAAAGTGTCCTGAGATAACTTCTGTTATGAATTGGAGCTATACAAATAAAATTGAATTGAATTGAACTGAATTATTTAGAAACATTTCCATGTTTAACTGCTATGGTGAAAAACGTCTAAACATTCTGACAGTGTTTCATTTTGGTGGCCTTTACCAATTTACTGACACAATAACTCAGTTTTGAAGCATGAATTAAATGTTTTGGGTGAATTACTACTGTTTGCACACAGGCAGTAGAGTTGTGAGGTCCCATGAAACAGCTGTGACAGTTGCATTTACAGTTTAGAGAATGTCAGGAAAAACTCATTGTCAGCTGAACTAAACAAACACATGGTTTCCCTAGTGGAGGTGTACTTGCCAGCATGGACATTAATGTTCAAAATATTATTTATCATAAAACCAGCCTGAATAATAATGATCAGTTTCCCTTGACATGTCTGTCTTCCTATGGGCCATGTGGTCGTGGTGATGTCCTTGTTTTGTCTCTCTCCAACCTTTAAAATATCTGGTTGAGATCTAGTGACTGCAAATGTTTATGATTCCATATTTATTTTACCTGAGTATAAAGAGCTAATTACAACAGTTGCTCAACATGCAGCTCCATATACTATACTGCTACTACTACTATACTATAAGTAGTATTTCGGTGGAATAAAGCTTTAAAAAAGGAATGTAGTATTGGGGTATCTTCCGGCTACAACAAGTGTCAAATGGACTCCGCCTCCTCGGCGCACACCGGCGTCGAAAAGGTGCGGCCCCACTACAACGCCCGTGAGTCGACCACTTTAGTATGTAAAAAAGACGTTTCTAGCTAAATGTCACTCTGTAGCAGTTCGGGTTTCCCTCTTCAGCCAAAAGTGTCCTTTTCCAAGTCCTATATAAGGACTGTGGTCAGTTTGATCGTCCATAGATGTGCGCGCGAAGCCCGTTTTATGTTTGTGAATCTACTGTTAAAATATATAGTGATACTATGTAGTGAAGAATAAGTATTTATAGGGAATCTATATTTTAGTAGTTCAAACAGAATCGCAGCTGTACTGTACTAAAACGACTGGATTTAATTTAAAGGAGAAGAAAACGGTTAGCAGAGGATGGTTTCGATCCATCGACCTCTGGGTTATGGGCCCAGCACGCTTCCGCTGCGCCACTCTGCTCACGGGAATCATACCGTGAATATCTTACTACTTAATGTTGGACACTGTCCGTGACTGACTGAATGTCTGGTTATATGACTGAGTCTCTACTACTTGCTGTCATGTCAAATGAGTGTGATGCTTCTTTTTCTTATCTGGCTCTCCATATTAAGTTTGGTGTCTCTATACGCCACTAGAAGGCATGACGAGCTAATGTTTTTGTTATGGTATTGCTATAAAGAACACAAACAGTAGGCTTTTATCTAGTTCAAATTAAGCTGTCACTACATTGCAGGTGGAACATTTGAATTATATGTGTTTGTTTATTCTTAAAATATATTAAAATTGTATACTGTGTAGTTTGTATTAATATTTATGGCTTTTACAGTATATACTGAAAAACACGCACAATTTCTGGAGTGTATTTCTCACACACATTTGTCCATTCAGAATTTACATTTTCAGAACAGTTCACACGCAGGCTGAAAATCGCTTTGCAAAAAAGCACATCATAGTATGAATTGTATCCTTTTCTCCAAAGATGATTTTACAAGAGATAACAAACCCTGCTGCACTCTGCATCTGCATCTTTTTACACTTTTTTCAGATGCACTGTTCTGTGAATTCTGTGAAATGTTTCTATATTAATTGTATTCTTGTGTGCTGGTCGTTCCATGCCTATGAACTGTTGTCAACATGTAAAGCCCAATTCAGACCAGTTCAGATCGTCTGGTTGTATTGGTGTGAACTGGCAGGATTTCAGAATGTTACAGACCAGGGCGCTGCAAGTAGTTGCAAGTCTTTGGTCTGAACTGGGCTTAATACCCACAGTAAGCACAGAGACTAGACTAATTCAGATATTCATTATGATGCAGCTTTCGTACTGCATTCTTTCTTCACCAGAGAACCAATAAAGAATTTCACCCAAACTTAGAAATACTCAGAAACAAACAGTTTTATTGTACTGTATCAGTTTTTTTCACGTCATTCTTTTTGACTGAAACATAACAGCATGGCCCGCCCTATAAATAGTCTGTGAGTGACTGCAAACTCCTCTTCCTCAGGCCCTACCTTCATGGCCTCTCCCCTCAGGTGTCTTTGACCTCTTCAATCCATGCTTGCAAACAGCAACACAGAGGTGGCAGCTTTTATCAATGGATAAGTACGGTGGCCGACAAGGGCAAACGCGCCGCAAATGGAACAACGCTGCAAACACGGGAATGATGCAAAACCAAAACCACACAAACACATAAAACAAATGCAACAGAAAAATGCTGCAATCACAGAAACGAAGCAGAAGCTAAAACTTAGAAACCCAGAAAACAAATGCCAAAGAAAAATGCTGCAAATACCAAAAACACACAAAACCCCAAAACAACTGCAAAAGAGAAACACTGCAAATTCACTCCTCAAAACGGAAGTGCGCCAGGCCACCAGGGGGACCCGACCTGAGGGATGGACCAGTCTTGTGGGACCAGACCCGAAAGACATGAAGAAGAAGAAGAAGAAGAAGAAGAAGAAGAAGAAGAAGAAGAAGAAGAGGAAGAAAAAGAAGAAGAAGAAGAAGAAAGTTGGCTAAGTTTTGGAGAGGAGAGTAAAAAGGTACGTTTTCCTTTATGTCTTTTTTAAACACTTGGCCGTAATCTTTTATAATATTATAATTATAATATTTTATTATATTATTATAATTGTATTATATGTTTATAATAATATAATATTATAGAATAATATTATAATAACTTCTTCTTCATGTCTTTCGGGTCTGGTGTTTCTGTTGCTGTGTTTTTCTGTTGCATTTGTTTTATGTGTTTGTGTGTTTTTGGTTTTGCATCATTCCCATGTTTGCAGCGTTTTGCCATTTGCGGCGCGTTTGCCCTTGTCGGCCACCATAGACAAGGACTGACTGCTGATTGAAGAGTTGTGCAAAGAAGTTTCAAACAGATGCATTAGTGATTCATAACAAGTCATTTCTATCAGCTGTCAATAGATGTTTTCTTTTTGTTCAACGCGGTTAAACACAACACAACATCTGTGTTAAATGTTTTGAAAAAAGGTGTGAAAAACTGTGTGTGACATATAACATATTCTGAAAATAAAACATTCAAGTTTAGAGTTAAACATATAGTTTAACTCTAAACTACTAAGTAATTATTTAACATATTTACACTGTATGGTACGCTGGCTGCCCTCATAGGGGCTGTGAAGATTTTACAAAGTATGATTTATCAGTTTTATATGTGTCAGTGAGGCTGAATATCAATTATCTGAAAACATACTCCTCTAAGTTCCGATTTGTTCAACAGAACCAATTAAATATCAATAAATTCCATTGATGTGTGTAACTAACCACGGATAATACATGGACCAAAACACACTACCTGGATGGACTGAATAAAGACGGGATAAATGGACTGAATAAAAACTGGATAAACGGATTGAATAAAGACTGGATAGATGGACTGAATAAAGACTATTAAAACTAGCTCACTGTTATAATGCAACAATGACTGCTTCGTGTTCCTTGTGATCATTCTATCAAAGTGAGGACAGATTGTGCTGACACTAAGCTCGGCCTGCACATATATCAGCAAATGATCTCTACTTCTTTAACTTCATTGTTCTCCTCCTGCTGCTGCTTTATATTGTCTTCTGCCTTCTTCCTCTCTTCTGCCCCCCTGTCCTCTACCTCTGTCTTCTTCCTCTCCTCCTCCTCTTCTTCCTTTGCGCCTCGCTCTAGTTCTCCTTCCCTCTCCTCGTCTTTCGTAGCCCTCTTCCTGTCTCGCAGGGCGCAGGGCAGACAGTTTGCCAGGAAGAGGACAGCAGAGAGGCAGAGCAGAGAGAGGACAGCGCCCACGCCAACCTCCAGCTCTCGAGCTCCCTGCCCTTCCTCCTCCTCCAACTTCCTCTCTCTTCCTTTCTCCTGGCTCGGGGAGAAGTACACAGCGCCCTCCTCCTGGCTAGGCATCAGCACAGCTCTTTCCAGATTGTTCCGACTGACCATTCCTCCATTCCCCATCTCGTTCCAGTTCCTGTTAGTCATCTTCCCACTCATTTTGTTGTAGTAGTCACTGCTTACATTCCCACTTTCGTCCTCGTCAAAGTTCGACACATAGATATCGCTCTCGGACTCCACCAGTGTGTCTGAAATGTCAAACTCAAACACCTCACCCTCCTCATTCGTGTCCCCAACTGGCTGCAGGAAGCCCAGGTCTAGGTTGACTCTTATCCAACCAGATCCTCTCGCCAGCCTCCTAGTCCCACTTCCTCCTCCTCCGTTGTCCACCCAATCCCCGTCTCCTTCACTGATAGAGTTGGAGGTGATTGGTTGGTCAGCACAGATCGAAACCAAAAGTTCTGCACGAAGTAAGGGCCCGCCTCCATCGCCCTTTGCAAAGATGCGTTGGCTGGGACCAGGCGTCACCACAACCACGGTCTCAGCCAATGAGGAGAGACGCAGGAAAAAGGGAAGGTCGCTGAAGGAGGAAAGGAGGGAGGCTGTGTCGTCACTGAACTGGAGCCAGACGCTAATGGACGCCTCCTGGAGAGACAGGACAGGATATGGATTGAAAGATATCTTGCTTTGAGAATGTACAGTGCCTGCACTCTGAAGCATTCACACATCACAAATCAACCTCTCTTCTCTCACCTGGTGATGGTTGTACAGGATGTTGTAGGCTGTCACTGTTGTTGTGATGATGGAAGGGTGGGCGGGGCTTGCCGCCACTGACATGCCAAGTCCGCTGACCAGCTGTACAGACAGATCCCCGGGGGTGACGGGGTCGGAGGTCACAGTGATGTCACATCTGCCCAGCACACCATCCCACTGCTCAGAGATGATCTGAGAGAAAGAGAGAGAGAGAGAGAGAGAGAGAGGATGATAATGATGAGGATGATGATGATGATGATGATGCTCAGTAAGTGAAGATTTCCAACTGAATTGATGTCCAACTATCACCTACATGGAGTGATGTCTTTCCTGGTCGTAAACCAATCAGGTTGTTCTGGGTGCCGAGGGAAGCCACTCGAGGGTCTTCTATTCTCATTAACTTAATGACCAGCTCGGTAACATCCACAAACCAATCAGATGAGCCCAGGAGGTATGTGGGTCTGCTGCGGGAGTCCTGAGCTGTGAACTGAGTCAGGACCTGGATTGAGGAGCGCTGATACACTGGCACACACCTGAGGAGACAGGACATACATGAGGACCTAAAGGTCTTAACATATGTCTGTGTGTGTGAGATAATACACAGATGCATATGGTCATACTTGTGTTACCAATCCATCAGATAATATATCAATGGTTATTAATGGTAACCCTGAGGATTGTTAAAGCTTTCAGGCCTTAAAGGTTTGCTATGGAGTTTCTGACCACTAGCAGTGAGTGGGAAACACTGCACATGTAGAGAAACACACAATCAAAGGCCTGTAAAGAGGCTAAATAAACCACAGTGAAGACACACTGAGGCTGTCTCCTACCCTTTCTCTGTGAAGTGGTTCCACCCATCAATGGCATTTAGAACAGGGTCTGCCAAGGAAACCCGCAGGGGCACTGAAGGAGCCCACACCTCCAGACATACAGAGCCATGGAGCGCGCCCAGAAGAAACTCCACCACTGCACAGGTATTACCCAATCCCGATTCGCTGCCATCCACGAAGAGGGTGGAGCAATCGCTGGACACCTGTAGTTAGGATGGAGACAGACAGAGGACAAGAGCAAAAACTGGTGATAAAAGGACATACATACATGTATAGTAAGTCAATCATAACATTAGAGAAGATGAGTTTATTAGTGTTTGCCGTGTTCTAAAGCTGCAGTAATCCATATTTTTATATCAACGATGACTCTAACAATAATGTGTAATGTGTTGCTCATAATGACAAACGTACGGAGAATTACAACCAACTCTGCAGTTCCCTTCATCTCTACTGTAACTGCCCCTGGTCCCTATGATCGTACTTGTTTTGGCCCACCTCTGCTTCCTCCTTCCAGGTTCTCTCTGATTGCCTGGTCCCTCCCACCTCACCTGGGAGCCTAATGCTGAGTTACAAGCATGTCCAGATGCTCCGTGCATTGTCCGAAACTTTGGGGATGTACAACAAAGTATTCTGTGTATAAGCAAGAAGTCGACGAGTTTTAACAGCATGCCAACATGGATTCACACACTGAGCTCGTTTTTGCTGAAGAAGAATTTAGCTGCTAATGGCTTTTAAAACGATAAAGGGGACGCAAGAGGAGATGGTCTGTCTGTCCCTTACGTCCCTTATACCCGTATTGTGAGGTGCATGCTTTTTTTCTGATTGCTGCACACATGTAAATAAAAATAAACTATGTAGGCTAACAGGAGCAGCTATCTCTGTTTTATTCCTTAGGGAAGTCTAGTGCCTGAAGCCTGGTGTACATATAATTTTTTTTTCCTTGCAGGAGAATTTTAATAAGTTCACAAAATATGCAAAACCCCCTCTTCCACAATATGGTAATGAAGGCATTTTCCTAATCCTGTTCTTGAGAAGAGAGATCTCAAGATACTTCATCACAATAGCCTAGTCTAATGCCTTTTAAGGAGGGAATTTATAAAGATATATCACAGGCATTCACAGAACGTTTTGTGGTCCATCTTGCTTAGTGACTAGTTCAACTTTGTACTTTTAACACGTTTAAATCTTTCTGTAGCTTTGACATAGTGTGACAGATATATCCCCCAGGAGTTGGTGGAGACCAAAACAGAGCTAAAAGGAGAGTGACTAATGTGGCAACTCCAACTGAATGCTAATGTTGCTCTATGTCTGCCGGATGTGTAAATGTGTAAGCAACTGTTTGGTAGCTAATTAGCAACTGTTTGGTAGCTAATTAGCCACAACAAGTTCATAGGGTGGTTGTATGTTGGATGTTGTGTTTACAGTTTGTTGAGCAGCCCCAGAGTAGACAAAAAAATGTGTTACTGCAGATTTAGCCAACTTTAATTACCGAATATATCCATGACAGCAAACAACCTCTGTCCTCTAGGAAAGGTCACTACTACAGGCTACTGTTGCTTATCTAGTTAACCTATGCAACCTGTCCCTGCTTCCAGTCTATATGCTAAGCTAGGATAAAGTTCAAGTACTAGTTCATTCTTGGCGTTTTTAAAATCGTTGTCTGAGATCAAAGAAGATCCTTGAACATGGGTAAAATTGTTGTTGTTGAGTGATCTTTAAGTTAACCTTTTACATGAAATTATATTTATTTAGCGGAAACTTTTATTAAAAAAAGTGAACCTTGATAGTGTTTTCATTGGTGGAGTGACACGTGACTGCAGAGGTGACATCCGACACCTTCCCATCACGACTTATGGCCAGCACGATGACAGGAAGTGACACCGGCTGGTTTGTCAGTATGGCTGTGTTGATGATCGTGTTACTCTGACGAATCAGAAACACACAGTATATTTAATCAGATTATATGGACCGTTAAAGATTTGAGACATTCTAGGGGTTGAATAAATGAATGAAGCACCTCTGTTATGGGAGCGATTCCAAAGATGTGTCGATCAGCGAATGAGAAGATGCTCATTGCTTCCCTGCGTGGCGATAGGGGTTTACTATGCCCGGAGTACTCCACCCACCAGTTAGCAGGCACCGCCATTGCAACACCAAAGCTCTGCCTCAGGCCATCGACTGACAGACACACCACCTGCTGGAGGAGAGTGGGGCTGCGGGGGGACAGAGATTGTTGCACTCAGTTGAAATAGTCATCATTCTGACACATACAGCTTTACGATCACTGAGGGTGTGCTTGTTGGATTGTCAGTTTCTGAAAGTTCTTTGTGTGTTTTTTTTATATATGTATCCTTTTTGCTGTCTGGATGGTTAAATGCGATGAAAACGTTTTTGATGACGACTGTATTTTCCAAAGGTATGGACTTTTCGAGTCAGACTTGAGCCACAAATTTGATGACTTTAGACTCGACTTGACAAAATCCAAAAACATGTGCAACTCTACTTGGACTTCAACAACAATGACTCGTGACTTCACTTGGACATTTCTCCATACAGTAGATGAGTAACGACCAGTTTGTGGAATTTGAAACTTAATACCACTCACAGTGGTTTCTGACAAGCTGGGAATGAGCACTACGATGTAGTGTTTTCATGCGATATGGCTAAAGTCTAAGAGAAGTCACAAGTCATTACTGCTAAAGTTCAAGTCGATTTGCAAGTCTTTTTTGATTTTGTCAAGTCCAAACATCAAAATTGTGATTTGAGTCCAAATCATTACATTTGTTTAGGACTCAAAACTCAAAGTTTAGGATCTGGGACTTGACTTGAGACTTGTCAGCCTTGACTTGGAATTTGAGTGCAAAAACTTGAGCCTTCCTTGTGACTTGCAACAATAATGACTTGGTCCCACCTCCAAAAGATGGTATTTTCCGACGTTGGAGGTGTCGTTCTCAGTTATCAGTGGATTACCTAAATGAACTCCCTCCGTCTGCCTGTCTTCATTTAATGGCTCACTGACGCACTGAACAGAGGTGGAATCAAGCTCTTGACCTACTTGTGTGTGTGCTTGGGTGTGCTGTGTTTGTGGCAGAGGATAGACACCACGTCGTGTTTGGAGCCTTGGCTTTTCTCCAGGGTCACAGTCCACAGGTCAGAGGTCAGAGTTCTCTGAGCCACCATCGACACCAAGCCCTTCTTCACCTTCAGCCTGAAGACAGATTTTGATTGTAAAACTATAAGAATTAGTTTATCCAGAGTGTGAAAGACAGCAATTAAAGAATGTGAAAGGGTTGTACTAATTTTGTGTTTACCTTATGATGACAAAGTCAGAGCTAAAGTTGGCTCTCAGATTCACAGACACCCTGAGTGGCTGTCCTATCAGGACCGGGCCCCTGTGATAGCGAATCACCACATTGGAGTCCAAGCTAAGCTCCTCCTCTTCCTGCCCATTCAAACAGGTTCCTTCTTGTTTGATCCTGCTCTCCTCTCTTTCTTTCTCTTCCTCCTCCTTCAGTGTCACTGCTTTGATGTGGAAAAGCTGTCTCTGGGACTGAGCCTCTCTGTCCTCTACACATCTGGATTGACGGTCAATGGGTTCAAGGAGATTGACAGATGTTGGGGAACGACAAACAGAAATGAATGAATAGCATTGAAAAAAACTCAGAAGTCAAAGAGTATCTCTCACCACATACCCTTGTGGCGTCAGTCCTCGGTTGTCCACGGTGTCAATGGAGGAGTAGTAAAGCTGTATTTGGTTTCTCGTGGGGCCACGTTGGTATCTAAGGGCCTGTGGAACATCCCCCTGGGTGTCCCCACCAACATCTGAATAGTATCTGAATGAAGGCAAACATTAATCTCACACAGGCAACTGATAAAGGATCATCATCACCCACAACTCATTAAGGAAAACAAGGATCAGTGGAAACTCCTACAAACACATCTGTCCATGCACAGTTTTCATGTTATAACCGTACCAGTTCCTGTCCAAATACAGTGGGCTCCATGCAACAACATTCTCCTATCCACTTTGCAAACCCTCACTTTTTTTGTTTGCCAGTATGTGGCCTTTGTTCTCGACTTTTCTTTGCCTCATTGTGTTGCATCAAGCTCTAATGGTTACATGGATTAAGTAATGGGCTCCCGCCTGAGACCTCCTGAGTCCGGAGACTGGAGAAAACACCAATATACCAAATACCAGCACCAATCACGGGGAAGGCCAATCAAAAAATAAATTAAAAAAAAATACCAAGTTATGGCATATATATATATAGGTATCAAAACACAACCCTTCTTATTTTCAGATGATTGTACACTAATAAAAACATTGAATATTATATTCCAATTCTCACAATAACACATTCATATAATGATCTATTCCAAGTGAGTTTACTGAAATCTTAAAGAATCTTTAATAAATACTACAGTTAGTCATGGAGTTCCACAAGGTTCTGTACTTGGACCAATACTATTTACTTTATATATGCTCCCTTTAGGCAACATTATTAGGAATCACTCCATTAACTTCCACTGTTATGCAGATGACACACAGTTATATCTATCGATTAAGCCCAATGAAATTAATCAATTATCTAAATTACAAACAAAATTCTTGTTCTTGGCCCCAAAAACCTTAAAGACTCACTGTCTGAAGATATAGTTACTCTAGATGGCATTAACTTGGCCTCTAGCACCACTGTCAGGAATCTTTGAGTTATCTTTGATCAGGATTTGTCATTTAACTCCCACATAAAGCAAACCTCCGGGACTGCCTTCTTTCATTTACGTAATATTACAAAAATTAGACACATCCTATCACAGACAGATGCAGAAAAACTAATCCATGCATTTGTTACTTCAAGGCTGGATTACTGCAACTCTTTGTTATCAGGTTGCCCCAATAAGTCCATTAAAACGCTCCAATTAATTCAGAACGCTGCAGCACGAGTACTGACAGGAACTAGAAAAAGAGATCACATCTCTCCTGTACTAGCTTCTCTGCACTGGCTCCCTGTAAAATGTAGAATAGAATTTAAAATCCTCCTCCTCACCTATAAAGCTCTTCATGGTCAGGCCCCTTCATATCTGAAAGAGCTCATAGTACCCTATTACCCCACTAGAACACTACGTTCTCTGAATGCTGGGCTACTTGTGGTTCCTATAGTCTCTAAAAGTAGAACAGGAGCCAGAGCCTTCAGTTACCAAGCTCCTCTCCTGTGGAATCAGCTTCCAGTTGTGGTTCGGGAGGCAGACACCCTCTCCACATTCAAGAGTAGGCTTAAGACATTCCTCTTTGATAAAGCTTATAGTTAGGGCTGGATCAGGTGAGTCCTGAACCATCCCTTAGTTATGCTGCTATAGGCCTAGACTATCGGGGGATTTCCCATGGTGCACTGAGCTCCCCTCTTCCTCTCTCTTTCTGTCCCATTAATGCATGTTACTAACTTCACTTCTTCCCCGGAGTTCTTGTGTTTTCTCGTCTCGCAGGTTCTTATCGATCCTGGTGGAGCCTCCTGCCATGGTCCTGCTAGATTGCCATTGCCAATACTGTTGTTGCTGTACACCTGTCTGTCTGTCTGTCTGTCTGTCTGTCTGTCTCTCTCTCTCTCTCTGTCTCTCTCTCTCTCTCACCCCAACTCGACCACCCACCTAGAGCCGAAGGATCTGTCCTAGGTTTCTGCCTTTTAACAGGCAGTTTTTCCTTGCCCTTGTCGCCAAGTGCTTGCTCATGGTGGTACTGTTGGGTCTCTGTAAATAATGTTATAAAGAGTTCGGTCTGGACCTACTCTATTTGAAAAGTGTCCTGAGATAACTTCTGTTATGAATTGGCGCTATACAAATAAAATTGAATTGAATTGAATTGAATTGAATTGAAAGGAATAATGAAAATAAAAGTGTTTAAGATCTCACCCCAGGGAAGGAGAAGTTGCGTGATGACGCTTGACAGAGTTACTGGGATGATGTCCACCCTGTGGCCATTGCCGCTTCTGCACCCGGCGACGAGAGTGAATGTACCACTTGTCCACATCCTGATGTGACTGGTTGGCATGTTGTTCCTTGAACCATTCACTGGGCAGTGTCAGAGTTACCACACACAGCCCTAGAGGAGGCTGGGAAACAGGAAAGAGACAGAGAGACAAAAAGAGAAGCAGAGGGACATACTGAAGTGATTGAGAGAGAAAGATGGAGAGAAAACACAAAGGTTGAGAGAGAATCTGGTTTTCACCTGTGTGACACAGAAGGCCTTGTGCTCTTCTGTCTCCTTGAAGGCATGCAGGGTGATGCAGGTCCCTCGGGTGCTCGTGTCACCCCACTTGTGGAACAGCGTCCTCACGTTGAACTTCTCCTGCCCTCCCTCATCCCTCTCTCTCTCCACATGCTCGGAAAGGACGGAGACGGACAGAGGGGGAGAGAGAGGGAGGACAGGCTCTGATATGAGCTGTGGAAAGAGGAGAAAGGTACGTAGCTAGTTAGCTTCATCCGTTGATTGGACTTGACCCTTCCTAAGTCCCGCCCCTTTTTTGCTCTGTGCTCCAATAACATAAACTCAACATAATAAGTTGAGCAAACCTCGGTCAAATTTCTCCTTTCCTATACTTAGATATGCTATGTGCTAGCCTAATCTATATTGAAAAAGACAACCACCTTTTGAAGATGGTTAGTTACAGCTGAAAACTAATGCTAGCAAAATGTTAAACCAAACTCAATTTTGAAGATGGTTAAATGATGAAAGCGACATTCACATCCTCCTTTAACTAGGATTTTTCTAACTTTAGTTCTTAGATGTGATTAGCTACGATGAATGTAGATTAGATAACTAGCTAGCTAACCATTTATGTAAACTGCCTAGCTAGTTAGTGTTTTGCTAATATTAACTAACTCACTCAGCCTAGCACATAGCATATCTAAGTACAGAAAAGGAGAAACTGACTTGCTCAACTGTTATTGGAGCACAGAGCAAAAAGGGGCGGAACTTCAGAAGTGTCAATATACATTGCCATCTTCAGTCAACTCACCCACACATCGGTCCTCTCCATTTCTTCTTACCTGCGTTACTGAGTAAGGGCCAAATGAGGCCTGGAGGCCTGGTCTGGGGGCCCGGCCAGGTGGGGACGCCATGAACAGACTCTGGGAGAAGGAGAAGGGGCTGGAGTTGGAGAAAAGAGGGCCCAGCTCTGCCTGGGACAAAGGGAGGAACTGCCATGGAGGAGGGAGGACTGACATGTGGACTGGCAGGGAGAGGGGGAGTAAAGGCTGCAGAAGGGATGGAGGGACTGAAAAGGAAAGAGTGGAAGGAGGTGTTAGAGATTCAGGCATATTAGAAAATCAAGAAAACACAAACCTTGCTCCAAAAATATACTTAAAATGCAAATAAATAAATAATAATAATTTTCTGAAGTGAGTAATAAAAGCCATGCCCATGGGCACGGATACACAGATTACAAAACACAGATTAGGAATTTGTAAAGCGATAGTAGAGATTTTCACACAGCTCTTTTTATTTTCCTCAGTTGACCTCAGGGGGCCTCCATACAGATTAACACCTGCAGGATTCAACACAGAAACATCACAACTACTTTGGAGCCAGTCATGGCCCAGTAAGCAATATACACAGTGTGATGTGGAAACTTGAAGCCACCAGTTCACATACACCATATCAGACACTAATTATTATTCAAAGCAGAATATTAACTAAATACTAAGTGCAACATCCATCATGTAGGTTTAATATAATTGTCATCTAGTTTATTTTATTAGTTTTATCCTAAAAATTACGTTGCACTATGTGTGTTGTACTTTCCCTCTACTTAAAACGTATCAGTACATATACAACAATATATCTTTAATAAAACTAACACTATTTATTTGAGTAGTTTTAAAGTTAAATATCACATGCATGTGAATTACCTTTACCAAGAAAATTAAGTTAATCTAACAATGTAAACTCAACATGATTTTATAGGGTTCATGTTAAATAATGTTAAATGATATAAATAATAGTGTTCATTCAACTTAATAAAGTCTTAAAGTTAATTCAACTAATTCAAAGTTCTTAAGTCACTTTTATGAAGTTAGAGAAAAGCATTACTTTTTTTTTGAGTGAACAGCACTAAAGCTGGAATGAAGATTTCCACAAAGAAATACACAAGATGATGCAAAAGTCCACCCTTCTGTGACTCTCTACCAGAGGCAAAATAACAAAAACAAAACCCACAGTAAAGACTCACGTTCTATGAAAATCCAAAAGAGCGGCAGCATGCCAACTCCTCTTCTGCCCCAACGCGCACTGGCCCAGCTGACATCTGCCATCCCTGCAGACCTGATAAACACAGTATCATGACAAAACGTCACTGAGAATTAAATCAATATGAAACTATTCTGCATTAAATTTTGTCATCCAGTAGCAACATTCAGTACCAGTGCAGGAATTTTTAAAGGTGCACTGTGTAACATTTAGGGGGATCTATTGGCAGAAATGGAATATAATATTCATAAGAGTAAGTTGCCTTCTATGAAGTACGCCATGTTGAACCACCATGTTTCTACAGAACGGACAAACCAAACTCTGGCTCTAGATGGGGCCTTTCACATTTTTTGGCCACCATAGTTTCTCCTACACACTTCACAGCCCAATTTCATTCCCAGGTTGTCAAATACAGACGCCAGCGGTGCTCAGTTAATGGCAATTTGCAAATTCACCGCTAGATGCCACTAAATCCTACACACTGGTGCTTTAATTATTCAACCATATTTCCCTTACCTTTAGGACATAGGGTTAAGTTACCATGAACTCTAACGTTTACCAGGTGCCTGTGGCTGTTATATTTTACTTAATGCTGTTTCATCACTGAATGTTGAGGAAACAGTTTCCACTTGAGGTCAATTTACTCTCTTCTTCTGTAGCTTTCAACAGATCACATATTAATTCATCAGCAGATTCATTTTTGTTTCCAATTGAACTGTCAAGTTCAACTTTTAAGACATTGTGGATGGTCTTAAAAGTGCTCTAAATATTGAAAGTTTGAATAACTTTTCAATTGCAAAGGAAGACTGTGTGATACGAAAAAGTCAAATCAATTGTTTTATCAACTGATGTTTCCATATATACATGTATATTCAATTCAATTCAATTCAATTTTATTTGTATAGCGCCAATTCATAACAGAAGTTATCTCAGGACACTTTTCAAATAGAGTAGGTCTAGACCGAACTCCTTATAACATTATTTACAGAGACCCAACAGTACCACCATGAGCAAGCACTTGGAGACGGGGGCAAGGAAAAACTGCCTGTTAAAAGGCAGAAACCTAGGACAGATCCTTTGGCTCTAGGTGGGTGGTCGTCTGTCTCGACCAGTTGGGGTGAGAGAGAGAGAGAGAGAGAAATAGAGACAGACAGAGACAGAGAGAGAGACAAACAGACAGACAGGTGCACAACAACAACAGTATTGGCAATGGCAATCTAGCAGGACCATGGCAGGAGGCTCCACCAGGATCAATAAGAACCTGCGAGACGAGAAAGCACAAGAACTCCGGGGAAGAAGTGAAGTGCAAAATAGTTGCAGCCACTGTATAAATGGATTTAGTTATGGTAGCCTAATGAACTGAACTAAGCACCCCTTCCCTATTTTCAGTTTCAACAGTTTGATTGGAATCATTCATTCACACAACAGAAATATTGTTAGAAAGTGTCACTTTAAACACTAGCCAACTGTCAAAACTCTAAATAAAGTAAATCAAATGTACCCCCATTGAACATTTTGTTCAGCCATGTACCCATGGCATTGAAGTTGCATTGAACTGCATCTTATTGGTAAGTTGCACATTTAGTGAGAAACATAAGCTCTTTCTTGGTTGCAGGGAGGTGACTGCAGTTGACAATTGATCAAGCTGCAGTCATTACTATTACATATGTTCAACTTATAGTACAATTATTTAAAGAATTATGCATGACTGATATTTATTTATTTGAGAGCTTACAGTCAGGGTTGGATATACAGTCAGGGCGTCCTGGATGTAGAGGCCTGATGTGGTCTAAAAAAAGTTAGAGCTAAGTGGGAAAGTTAATTCTTAGCAAATGGGTACAAGCGACAACTCATGTCTTCATTCTGATATGTTCAACAGAGTTTCAAACAGAAGCTATTTGTATTTGAAAGACATAACAGCCCTTATCTGTTATATGTTGTTAGATTTTTACCTATGGGGCCCCAGAAAGGCTTAGGTCAGCTCTACATATAATAACCTGTTATATAGCCTATTATTGTTATACATTGTAAAAATTGATGAGTTAGTTTAAGTCAGATTGTTTGAGGAAACTGATTGCCTTAAACTGTTTAAGTTTATTAACTCAAACTATTTAAGCATGAAAGACATTTGATTGTACCAATTCCATTCAGTTAATTGAACTTAAATATTATATTATTAAAAATTATACAAAATAAACTTTAAGAAAATGAGTCAATGGAACAAACTGGAATTATATCAGCAATACTTTAAATACCGCACAAATATAAGTGCACTCAAAACAACTGACTTGATTCAACAATACATTCTGAAATAAAAATTAGTGACTCCAATTTGTTTGGAGGATTTATTTTATGTTAACTTATTTTATTAAGATGTGTTGTCAGGTTTTACAGTGTGCAGGAAATTGATGAGAGCCATTACATGTAGCATCATGGACACTTTATAGGCTAACAGTATTTTACAAGAGTGAACATACACACACATACATTCACTCACACACCTCAGCTGGATGGAACTGGGTTAAATTCGGTCAATGTCTGTTCTGCACAGGATTAAAGACCCCACAGTAGAACACAGCTAAAAATATACAATGTGTATGTCATGTACATGTTCCCATATGACAACAATCTCTCTCTGAACAGGTCACATGATACATAAGGTGCAGACACACACTCTCTCACTCCGTTACACACGTTTACTTCACTTTTGCGGACATTGCATAGACTTACATTCATTCATTCATTAAACAAAATACATTCGGTGTGTAATGGCTACACATTTTTACAACTGGAGAATCTAAGAATCATTTTAGGCCTACGACAATGATAAATTAAAATAATATATCTTTATATATATATATATATATTTTCTTTCTTTTTTTGTCAAAGCCACAGGGAGCCAGTTGAGACAGGCTAAAGAGCTGTAAGTTGCCTTACTCCTGCTCTAACCCTTACCCTAATTTACTTGTCCCCTTTTTTAGTTTGTACACTTCTCCCTGGATCCTGTCCATACGGTAGCCTGCTGTGCTGACATTGAGTAGTTAACCAGAGCCAGAGTCTTCCAAATGCTTTTAGGTATTTGTAGTCCCCTGACCTAAGCCTAACCAGCACTTGCCTAACCCTGACCCTAAGCCTGACACTAACCCTGGCGACATAGCTTTTTTCCCCAATCAGACAAGCAAATGAACAAACTAACGGGTCTTTGGTCTGAAATGTGTCCCTGAAGGTAGCATAAGTCAGACTCACACACACGCACACTCCTGTCCTTTTACCCACCTGTATCTATTTCAGCTCCAGATTACATCTTTTCCTCGAGGCATTTTAAGCAGGTTTACAAATAAATTTCACAATGAAATAAAATGAAAATAAAATAAACAGTTATATGCTCTTTTTTGTCTCCCTCGTTCTTCTTCGCTGCTCTGCTGCTGCTATAAACCTCCTCTCTCTCTCTCTCTCTCTCTCTCTCTCTCTCTCTCCCCTCCCTCTCTGTGCCAGATTCACACAATACAGATTTATTCGTTCAAAACGGTAAATAATCCTCCTCCCCCCTCTCTCTCTGTCTGTTATGTCCCTCCTCCCTCCCATTCTTTACAATCATATTTTTTCTTCCAGGTTTTGCCTCACCCCACCCCTTTGAGTTACTCCTTTTGTCCATCCTTATCTGTTGTCCCTCCTCCCCCTCACTCTTGAACTTGTGAAATAAATGCTTTCCTTAATGCTTGACTGTGTGTGTGTGTGTGTGTGTGTGTGTGTGTGTGTGTGTTAGCACTACAGTGTCTGGATGGTGGAGAAGGAGGATTTCTCCATCACACACCAGCTATAATAGTACATATAAAGTTAGGGGTGCACATGAAGTATGTGCTGTAATTGGAAACAAACTGTTTCTCTAAGCCTCAGACAGTGTACTGTATAGCAGCTGTGCATTCAGATGATAATGTGTCATTTTAAGCTGAGCAGTTAAAGCCAAGTGCTTGTCGGAGCGGCCAACTGTAAAGTCTCTATACTGCAAATCCCATCTATAACACTGTCAGCTGGACTCGGACGAGCATGACGGCTCCACATTAGTGCTTCATTTCAGTTGTCACATGGTACGTATTGGATGGCAGCCTTTACCGGTGACCATATTATTTTCATTTATTGTAAATGATCTTGGGTAATTAAGACAAACTACCGCACTGGTAGTTTGTTCAAAAGTTAAGATGTCCTCAGTTTAATATGTTTCTCTGACAAGGAGCTGTAATTAACCCTTCCTAAGTCCTGCCCCTTTTGGAACCTCGGTCAGCTTTCTCCTTTATCGTGCCCGCCTTGTCAGAACCGGTACCGACTAATGGAGGCCAACTGATTTACAGCCAGCTCCGAACAGACACTGGGGATGAAGACACGGCCGGTTCAGGCAGGGACAGGAGGGGCATGAAACAGAGAAAGAGGAGCAAAATGGTAGCGAGTTAATTAGCTAACTAGCTAGCTAATCTACATCAATCGTTAGCAGGGTGGCCATTTCCTCCACATCATAAAGGAGGACACTTTGCATACACGGGGACACGCAAGCAGATATTTGTTTGGTATGATCCGGTTTCAAATTGTAATGTTTTTCAGATTACATAAAGGTGCATACACATACCACATAGCTAATAATAAATATACAAGATACAGCTCATGACAACGTGGCCTTCCAATTCAGATTACATAGGTCTAATAAACATCATACAGAAACTGTTCTTAATGTTTTTATCTGGATAGATAAAGGGGAAAACAAATACAGCACCTTCTGTTTCAGATGTATAGACTTTACCTATCTACATATGAGTATGAGCATTTTCAGAATTTCAGTCCAACAACCGACGTTAGCTCACGTTACGTTCTCTGTCGCTGAGAGTTTGATTGACAGCCTGGTGGTAGCAACTGGTGATCGCGAGGCGAATCAAAGGAGGACAAATGAGTGGGCCTGCAGCCGGACAGGGCATTTAAAAGCTGGACGAATGGCCACCCTAATCGTTAGCTAGCTAATCAGCTAGCATTTTGCTAACATAGCTATTAGATATATATTAGCTTACCATTAATGTACATATTCTACACTTACAGAATAATCTTTTCTGAGTATGGTGGCTGGCTGAACTGTAGCATTGTTAGTGGCACAGGTCTGCTCATTTTCAGTTTGACCCTCAAATAAAGTGATTTATTTATATAAGACTTTACTGCTTTGAAAAGTGTCCTGAGATAACTTCTGTTATGAATTGGCGCTATACAAATAAAAAAGAATTGAACTGAATTTAGATAATTGTCAACTGCTCCGGTGTCTTAAGTCACCGACCTATTACCAAATCTCCACAATTGCTTTGGTGTTTACAGTGTTATCACAACAGAGAGCACCAATGGCCAACGCAACCAGATTCAAATGAAAAGTTATAGGTGTAGCACAAAATTCTGGACCCTTTAAATATGCATTCTCTATGGACCCCTTCCCAGATCCATGGCTAGTCATTCTAGCTTCCCCCCTTACATGATATACGCTGTATACTCATAGGCCTTATCCATCGGCAGGGAACTGCACCTAGTTTTAAACCATTCGGAGCCTTTTGACCAAAAATAAATTGGTAAATTAATTCGGAACCTAAACAGTTGGTTCCCAGCTTGGGAAATATTCTAGAGGTCGTTGTGCAGCGTCCTCTGTTGATTATGCATCCAACTAAAATGGTTCCACTGAAAACTGGTGGGATTCGCGGGCTGGTTCGCTAAGGTTCCCAGAATTTTGAACTTATTTGGTGGAAAAGGGACCAGTATCCTCTGACCAATCTAAACCGTGCCAACAGGACAGCTTCTATCAGCAGACATACAAATGAATGAATGAATGAATGAATGAATGAAACCTTTATTGCCCTTTTGGAATTTTACTGCTTAATCATCTTCATACTCACTGCCCAAAAAACTATAAACAATTCATAATTAAAGAGATAAATATTACTATATATTTCTCTCTCATCGCTGTCCTCTTGCTGTGACAGCTGTGTGTATGTTTGTGTGTATGTGTGTGTGTGTGTGTGTATATGGTGAGAGTGGTAATAGAGGAGCAGAAGGGGCTTAGAGGACAATGGATCCGACAAAGAGAAGAGCTTAACAGAGGAGATACAGAAAAAAATGAAAAACAGCATCAAAATTTCACTAAACAAACCTCCACCTACTCACACTGCCACCATACTTATAACACAGTCCATTCATTCAGCAGTGCTCTGTATTTCCATTACACTAAGGGTATAATAATCAAAAGTTTATGACAAGATGTCGTACAAATGCTCAGTATTACAAGACTATATCCTCTGATAGAGTAAAGTAGAATAAAGTTGGACATTTCAATAGCTATAGTAACAAGTCTTGTTCTAGCTGGGAAACACTGTTACTGCGACAATAAACATGTTTTTTAGGGTGTCAATTAGCCGCATTAGAAATCGCTAACTAACTAGCTGGCTGGCTAGCTGACCTATTTACCGACGTAGTAAACGGCATCAAAGCAGAAAGGAAGTGGTAAAGCCTCTTGCTTGTTTTTATTGGCTGTCTGGGCCAAGTGTGGCGACGTCGAGTGGCTCTGTGCTTTGTGCTGAAAGTTGAAAATGTTGCAACATCTGCACATGTCAACTACATTATGGAACAGTAAGAATTAAACTAAGGTTAAGGTTTGGAAGGTTAGGGTTAGACATTATCAAGGTATTAAGTGTCTCTGCTGATACTTATTGAGCTGCAGGGGAGTCCTGACCTGTTTGAAGTAGCCCGGAGATGGCAATTGTGGAGAGATATTTTGGAAACACTCATGACAATGAGTTATTTGAAAATGTCGTTTTTGCAAGAAACAAATAATATTTGAGGCTGACCTTGTGTGAGATGTGTGTCTGCAGAAACCAATGTCCTCACAAGGCTGCACTGAACAGGGAAATGGCCGCTGTGTAACAGTAAAGACTGTCAGAGCCAACAACCAACAGTCCCAAATCAAACTTTGCTCTTAAACTTAAACACGATCATGTCCCCATGGCTGGATGTCAGCCCTTTTAGAAACATAATATATTTAGATTAAATGTAATCAAATGTTCTTGTTTTAAGCAAAAAAATCTGCCAGAGGGGTAAGAAAATTTGGCTTGGCTAGATTTCTTAAAACTAACATAAAAATCTAACCACTGAAAGACTGCAATGGGCCTTAAACACTTTTTTAAAATAAGTATTTTGGTCACCTTATTGAGCTGAGTTTAAGAATTTGTACCTTTTTATTAACGTTTTTGTCAACTAAAAGGGGGGGAAGAGATAACAATGCAACAAAACAATAAGCCAGAGGTTACAGAAAAGAATATAAATAAAGTTAGAGCTGAAACTTAACGATAATTTGCAACATCGGTCAAACTGTCAATCAAATGCTCAAATGAATAAATAAATCAGTCAATTAAATTTATCAAAAATAAAATAAAAATTTGCATCTAATTGACCACAATCCATTAATATCAGTCAATAAATTATTAGTTTAAGCTCTAAATAGAATTTTGTCTTGACCAGACTTACATGGTCCATATACACTGTACAGACTTTTTATGTTGAACTGTGAATTAATAATTAAAAAAAATTCTTAAACTAAATGTCTTTTATTTATATAATCTTTCATAAGTGTCCATGGTCCGTCTAAGCTGTGATCTCTATAATGCCTCTGCAGAGCTGCGGCTAAAGAAGAGAAGAATATGTATCTTAATCTTAGATTAATATTTCTAAAAAAAAACTAAACAGCTGCTTCATTTCCAACACTGGGACAGGACTACTTGACTACTAATTGAGAAGCTGTGTAAGTGGTCTTCCTCTTACGCTCCAGTCCATTCTGTAATATGAAACATAATGCCCTCCAACTGCAGGGGGCATTATTTACTTCTAACTATATCTACCAACTTTGCTGCGTCATTATTTGCAAGTACCTATGCACATTCACTTGCTCATTTCCCCCAAAACAGAGTTTACTGGGCTTAACGTTCATGCAGGCCCAATTTAGGTTATCGTTTCATTTGCTCAGTGACCTTCTGCTGCGTGAAACACTGACTGTTACACTGCTAATCCCCAAGAACCACCCTTTATATTTTTATCTGCAACTAGCAGTGAAGTCATGTGGCCGGCCTGTCAGTGTGCTCATGTGGGGATCCTGGTGTTGAATTTGGTTTCGCTGGGCCAGATGGCTCATAGCTTACTGTGAATGTAATTTTTTATGTTTTGGGTTTTTGTGCAGCTGTCAATCAAACTTTAACAAGTACAGTTTTCATGATATGAGGATATGAAATGGATGTATGTCTTAATGATCACTAGTAAAAGGGACTGCAGAAAACGTAAAATGTCCTCTCCAGTATATCTACAGCCTATCCTGCCCAAGCTGCTCCTTACTCTTCCTGGTTTTCCTTCATTTTCCGATATCTCTTCATCTCTGTATATGTCTCTTCCATATTTCTCCCCTTCTTCTCCTCCTCTCCCTCCATTTCTATCCCCCCTGTGTCAATCCCCGGCTGGATAATCTGCAGCTGTAATCTGCAGTCATCTGTCATTGTTTCTCTGGATGGGACATTTGCAATGGGCCCAGATTATCATTTCATACCGTGACCTGACTAGGGGAGGACGAGGCACAATACACCCACTCATACACAGATGGACACACACACGAGACACATGCACTCACACACCGAAATGTGACATGTGTGCTGTCGGCTACACACGGGCAAACGGGACAGGATGAAGTACAGATAAAACTGTCTGTGTGTGTTACAATAGAAACAGGCCTGTTTTGGGGAGATAAAAGAACTAGGCAGTCAATTAGAGAGACAATTAAAAATAGATTTTGTCCACTTGGGGGCAGCAGAAACAACCTATGATAAATTATGAAAAATATAAATTAATTATGATGTTGTGTTGTAGTTCACTCAATTCTGAAATATTTAAGCCCCTCAGTCATAGATCAGTGTTTGCTTTTGTTCCTACAGTGTGATGTTTAAATGATGTTTGATTCTAGAAGGATGTTTTCACATTCATCTCTGATCTGATTTTAAATGGCAGGGCAAATAAGCACTGAGAATGGACTTTACAGTGAAGGAGGAGACATCTTGTGTCCACTAGGAAAACTTTAGAGGCATGTCAGCCAAGACAGCACGACAATGTCCAGAGCGTTTAGCTTCTCAAGTATCTCAGGGATATGGGTGAGGTTTCTTCCAAGAAACGCTGCCTCCACCACTGAGGATGTGTTGGACGGGTTCAGCAGTTCCTCAAAAAGGCTCTTGCCCCAGACAGTCGGACCCATGGCCACTGCAGCTAGCACTCACTGCTACATTGGGTGCCAGCTCTACCAGGTTGATAATGTTTGCTTTTAGTGAGTTCCAACACCTAAAGAGCTTTACAGTCATTGGTGTAAAGTTCTTGTATACCAGCAAAGTGTGAACTGATTGTGATGTCATCCATCGGCTCGTGGAATACTGTTTCGAAGCCTCGAGTTTGGTGTACTGCGAGTTGATCTGCTCTCATTGGCTGTGCAGTTTCTGTAGCAGGAAACAACAACACACAATCTCATATTCCAGATAAACAGTACACGAAAATGTTTCTGAAAAACCATTTTAATTTCTGAAAAGATACCATCAATGATACCAGCTGATGATGCTGTTGATTGACAAATTACAAATTCAAAACAATCCTCATTTAAATTGAGCCAGCCAAGAAACAACAACCGGTGAGTCTCTAAATCTGCCTGTGAACCACCAGCATTGACCAACCCGGCCTCACTCCCAAGTCGTAAAATACGGCACTGCCTTTAAAGAACTTTCCATCAGTGTAACAGGAACTATTCAGGGGCAGCTTTCCACAAAGATTTGTTCAAATCCAATCAGCGATGATGATAAATGAACGATTAACCTCAAAGCTGACTTCAACACTTATGAGACGAAAAGAGAAAGTGGGAGGAAGAAAAGAAGAGAAGCAGACAAAAGAAAAGACAAGAGACGGATGAAAAGAACGAGGAGGGACTGGAAGAAACATGAGAAGACTACAATGAAGAAAGAAGAGAAGGAGAGGGGCAAAGTTATCGAGGTTATGACAGAAATAACACAAACAGGAAGTTGGTGTCAACGGCAGAGGAAACCACATCTCTGCACTTAGTAACCACCTTCGTCTCTCACTCTCTCCTCCTCCTCCTCCTCCTCCTCTCTGTCTTTCTGTCTTCTCCAAAATCTACAACATTTTCCATTCACCTACTTCAAAGACAACAAATCAGGTCAAACACGACTTAGATCCTGTTTACTGAAAATACATAGTTCACAATATTAATCAAAAATCACAAGCTGTCAACAAAAGAAATGCAGTTCATTATTACAGTGTCAGTGAATCACATGTTATTGAATCAATGTTCTCAGTAGGTTTTTATGAATGTTTTTATGATTAAAGGAACCTTCTGCCATTTTGGAAACTACTCTTGCTGGTAGCTGCCACTTGTTGAGTTTCTCAGTTTTATTGCCGTTTGCCGAGAGAGGTCCTGAATGTGTTTAGCTAAGCACAAAGACCGGAAGAAAGGGCAGCTAAAAGTGAAAAATACACCTTCTAACAACTTGTTGTTGGAGCTTGCTAGTGAACAAGCTAGTCGGGCAAATATCCAGGAGTCACCTGGACAGAACTTGAAACTGCAGGGCAACACCATTCAGGACAGTTTGAGATGCTTTGTGATTGCTAAAACCAGAATGTACGAGCACAATATACAATGATGGCTAAAAAGTGTGTAAAATATCTCACAGTTATCCCCCAAAATAAAAAATACATATTTTTAACTGAAGTGTTATTTATCCATTCAGATTTTTTCTCAGTTTTGTTGTGAGTTGCTGAGTTTTGGAGATATCGGCCTATAGTTGTCTGCCTTCTCTCCAATATAATAGAATCATTATTTTTTTCTACGTATCGGCATACATCCAATCATGAACGAGAGGCTTGTGGCTGCGCAGAATGTAAACATTGATGATGTCCTCCTCCACTGAGGTGTAATGTTAGCTCACCAAGCACCACTGGGATAGCTAATGTTCAGCAACGATTTGCGGGTGTAGTTTGGTAGAAAGAAAATAGTTCTAACATGAAACCACTCACCCCAAGTTCTGTGGATTAGTTGTGAGTGGTAACTGGGTCATGATTTCTGGAAAGAGACGTTGCTGTTAAGTTTTGAAATAATTTTTTTTTATATCTCCAAAACTCGGCACACCAAAACAATCTAGATGTATAAATAGCATTACAGTTGCTACAGGGTTGGGGTTTAACTGTGCGTTCAACATAACTTCAGTGAGGTTTATGTAACGTTCTGGTTTCATTTTACAAGAGCTGATAAACTGAGTTTAGATACAATATTATACATTGATGGCTGTAAATACCAACTACTGGTTATTATTACAAAACGTTCAGTATCTGATGCAGCAAATGCAGATACACAAAGAGATGAATTATCGCTTTTACATGATCTTAACAGGTCTGATATTACTGCGCAAAGATACAATCCAGAAATAGTCAAGTAAGAATGCTCAGCCCATGTATAGAGGATGACGATGATAATGATGATGATGATGATGATGATGATGATGATGGAGGATGGAGGATGACAAGACGTGTCAGTAGTTGTAGTCACTGTTCCTGTTGGATGAAGGCTCCCTGCTGTCACTGACCGCCAGTCGCTCCAGAGCTGATTTGATGACACACAGGAAGAGCAGCCAGATTTAAACCAACAGAGCGACTGCTGGGGGAGCAGTGAGCTCCTACCATCTGACTGTATGCATGGTCTAACATTGTAAATGTGTGTGTGAGTATGTTACCAGGGTAGGACAGCCTCTTCTCCCCATCATTGTTTTTAACTGCAGTTTTTCCTCGATGGTAGGACACTGAGACAAACGTTAAAATGATCAGTCTGGTGTCATTCTGCACTGTAAAACTGACTGCCTTGAACCGTTTAAATGATTTATTACCTTCAACAATTTAAACATGAAACATATTCGATTAGAGTACAGGTAACTCAAGCATTTATTGCTACGGTAACTTGGGTAATTTAAATTAATTTAAAACTAGAAAGTACATTACACTCCACTTATTGCAACTGCAAATGTAACCACCTAAATTGAATGTACTCAGTTTTCTTCCACTAAAGCCAATTATTACATTACCTGTCAAAACAGCTGACAATTAATCAATTATCAAAATGGTAGCCAAATAATTTTAGGGTTTTGGGGCTTACATTTTTGTAATGATATAAAGTAAATTTAATGAAACTGAGTTGATGGAACAAACTGGAATCATATCACCACTGTACAATGATTGAATACAATTCAATTCAGTTCAATTTTATTTGTCTAGCGCCATTTAATGACAAAGGTTATCTCAGGACACTTTTTAAATAGAGTAGTTCTAGACCTTACTCCTTATAAAATTATATAATTATTATAATATTTACAGTGTATATTATTCTTATTGTTACTGTAGTTTTCATCAAACGCCACTCAGACAGTAGGAAATAGTGCATTTGTTGAGGATAGTTTTTTAATGAATCCATATTTGGTGCTCTAGTGCAGTGGTTCTCATCAGGTCCCACATTTTCCTGTGGTCATTAAGTCTCAACTCATTTTTATAACATTTAAACAAATATGTTTCTCAAATAGGCCAGTAAACAATATATATATAAAGTGTCAGCTAATTTTTAGCATAATATAAACACATACCATCATCCCTGCAATCAGAGCACATAATCTCCCTGCTGCTTATTCTTATGAATATGTGTGAGAGACTCACCACTGTGACTCTGTGTAGGTCCGATCCAGCGATTCTGCCTCCTGTCTGACACTGAAAACCAACAACAGAGCAATCAGACCACTGAACATGCATGTGAATACTGCAGGGCACAGAACTATCATAGAACTACAAAGTCATCAGCAGTGGACTCTAGGGGGCTCTGTCTGTGTGAAACAGGATGAGACCTTGTGTATCTTGAACTGCAGTGACCTACTGCAATATGTGCACCTTTTGTTGACAGTATGTTGGCCATACATTTAAAGGGTCAGTTCAATTTACAAGAAGAAATCTTTTTCTATCTCACCCTTGGTGATATTTTTATCTTGTTTGTGTGCATTAATTAGAAAGTAGACAGAAGAAGCAGACAGGAAATGATGGGAGAGGTGATGATATGCAACTAAGACCCCAGATGTACTTGAACCGGGGTTACAGGACACCCTAACTAATCTATGTATACTGGACATATCAAAGCAGAGCTATCTTTATGACTCTATACCTGAAAAGGTAAATGCGTGGCTTTCTGTGTGAGTGATGGGTTTCTACACGTTCACAACCAGGGACACTGGACACCAGTCAGAGTTGTCCTACTAAATGCTAAATACATGACATTCATAGTTTTTTAAATAAGTTAAATGGAACATGAATTAATAGTTAATGACAACATTTTATAAAACGATGGAAACTTTTTAGCAGACAAAACAAGGCACACCCTCCAATTTTAGGAGTTAAAATAAAATAATACGTGAAAATGTATTTTAGCTTATTGTTGCTTATGGTGAAGTTCTCTACATGCAGTACAGAGCTGGCGCTTTCGGGGCCTTTGAACACAAGGTCTGTTTTTTTGTCCTAAATTTTGCACACTGACTATGACACTTCGTCCATCATTAAAAATTTCAGAACAGGTTCGATATTTTTTGTTTTTGCATTGGACTGAGTGTGCAAGGTTTCTATGTGTAACAAATTTAATCGGATGACGGATTAAAAAACTCACTGCTGTGCAAAGACCTTCAGCCTGGTGTGACGTTCTACAGAGGTGACCTTCCTTACACTGCCAGCTGTCTCTGCTGCACAGCTCTCTGTCTGTTATATCCGACACTGGACCAGAGACCAAAAACCAAATGTCTCCTGTCCTTCTGAGCTGGCAGCATTTACAATGGCTCTATACCTCCCACACTAGGACATCAGTTTCCTGCTGGACGAATCTTTTGAAACACAACCAGAATGTTCTGTGACTCACACCTGGTGCAGACACCCACTGATGATGACCAACAGCTACAGCTTTGACCACACCTAAAGAGCTCTGACTTCTTTCTCCAGACCAAATCAAACCAAAGGCAGCAGGAAGACATGAGAACTGATGGCTTTATACAGGCAAATTGATTTCTGACCAGTAACAGGTTTATTAAGACATCACACTCATTCATATTGTATTATATTGTGTTGTGTATTGCTGTTCTGCTCTGCTGTGTTGTGTCTGACAGAATCTTTGGATTTAAGACTTTCTTGGACATAATCTTTAATCTGAAGAGTCTTAAACTGAAAATATCTGCGTTTTCAGGTCAGTACTGATTGCATGAAATTGCATGTGTGCATATGTACATATGTGCTATGTGTTTGTTGTGTGTGTGTCTGTACTCACATCTCTTCTGCAGGGCTTTGAAAGTGGGTCTGGTGAAGCGGAGCAGTAACAGGACCAGCAGCACACAGCAGAGCAAACCTGTCACCACTTTGTAGGACTTCAGCTGCCCCTGTAGATCTGGGAGGACCTCAGCTGGACACACAAACACACACACACACACACACACACACACACACACACACACACACACACACACACACACACACACACACACACACACACACACACACACACACACACACACACACACACACACACACACACAAAGCAAAATATGGGTGTTGTTCTGGTAATTTCTCCTAACTAAACAGGCCACGCAGAAGCATTCTTTGTTTTCTATCTAAGGCAGCTCTGAGGAAAGCCGATTTCATCCAAAAATGATTAAGGTTCAGAATTTTCTGGTTACTTCTCCTCATGACCCCAAACCTAACAGACTGCTCCAGTATAATCTGCAGGGAATTTGCAATCATTTCCTCAAAGCCCTCAGTCTTTAACACTTTGTAAATATTACAAAACGGCCAATTTTATTGGAGCCTTATAAACACAGACTACATCTCTGCATGCAAGTCTGGAAAACATCCACTGAAAATCTGACAGATGAGTTAGACCAAGATTGTGAGTGTTTAGACGGTTACAGTACACTATTTTAAAAAAATGTTATACAGAATAAAGTCGTTTTCTTATATTATAGCCTGTAAATTACACAGAAAACCACCATCATATCTCATGGCAAAAACCTTTTATACAGCATAGGGAAAAACGGTTTCTTAACTTGTATTTATATGGTAAAAATGTTTAAATCAACAGTACTGATATCATTTTACTGTAATAGTAGAAAAAGTTCTGCCGTATTTATTACAGTACAGTTCTGGCAACCACAGCTGCTAGTTTTTTACAGGAAAAGTAAACCTTTTTTCTTTCTTTTTTACAGTGTACTGCATCTTGAAAATTCAGAATCTAGAGTATCACCCCATATTTATTCAAAAAGTGCTTTAAGTGGTTCCATTCGCCAACATTCGCAGAATGTTTTTCCCGTTTTGAGGCAACCCTGCCAGAATGCTTCTGTTCAATCAGCTGTAGATGAAACAGGAACAGATTTTTAGCCTGTAATTATGATCTGATCAGTGTATCTGATGTTGTTGTAGTAGTACACAGAACAAACAAAAGCAGACAGAAAGCCTGTTTTTGAGGATAAAACTCTGCTCAAACAGCAGCTGCAGGGCTCTCTCTGTGTTTCACTGCTGAGTGTGCGTGAGCAGAAAAGATAGATATCTTTGTTCCAGTTTGATCAGAGGGATCTACACACTACTCATCAGATCAGACGCTATTCAATTAAATTAGATTAAATTTAATTCAGTTTTATTGATATAGCCTCAAATTATAACATCTCAGGACACTTCACATGGAGCATGTCTAGATTCTTTATAAAATAATTTCCAGAGACCCAAAGATTCCCACCAGCTACATCAGCGTTACAGTACGGCTGCTGATTGGACTGGGTTGCTACGGAAACAGCTTGGGTCCAAGTTCATTGCTAGCAAACACTTAAATAGCAAAAACTACTTCTAAAGTTAAGATTGCCATCTTTAAGTAGATGAGACATACTAGATAAAAAGAACTCATTCTAAGGTCACAGATGTAACTTATGATGTTTTCCTAAACCTAACCAAGTAGTTTTTGTGTCTTTTGTGTCACCCATTGGTTTGTAAAGTACTGTTTTGGAGCCTCGAGTTTTGCATTATGGTTGTCGCCATGACAGTTTGACGGAGCCAGCAGAGGTGACATACTGCAAGTAGATTTTCTCTCATTGCCTGCATATTCGACTCGTCCGTAATAACAATGGCAGCTCGCCTGGTCACACACGTTCTCGTATTTCAGATAAACAGTACAGTAAAATATGTTTGTGGAACGATTTTAGAAGAGAAATAGTCAACACAGTAACAGAATCTTAATTCACATTTGAGCAGCACTGCCTAGTTTGACAGTTTGATCTGAGTTTTATGTGTTGAGCTTAAGACACTTCTGTGTTTGCTTCACTTCACAGACCCGGATGTTCTGTCTATTATATATGTATACTGTCAATGGTTGATACCTACCTAATACTTGATTTTCTATTTCTGCCAATAGATTAAGACCTTAAATGTTACACAATGGACCTTAAATTGAGACAATATTAAACACAGATGCATCTTAAAAATTATAGAAAAACAGCATTGTATGTGTTGTTTAATCTGTAGGTGGATTAAGAGTGGTGTTTCACATTGTGACAATATCAGGGTGTCCTCTTCTTTCACATCTCCTGTCATTAAACACTGCATCATGTTTGCTGCTGAGAGTAAAATGTCAAACTACAAGAGGATGTGAAATTAGCTAATTTACACACATACACACACACACACACACACACACACACACACACACACACACACACACACACACACACACAGATGAACAGACAGTGGACCAACCTGTGCACTGCACCCGGAGAGTCTCATAGTGGGACTCAACCATTGTTCCATTCTCTGTGATGTAAGAACAGTTCTGCGTCTTGCCTTTTCTCCAGCTCATTGGGCCTTTACAACCTTTCTTGTTCTTACACACATCTTCCAAAAGCCACTTGTTTGTGTTACTGTTATAACAGATGGGCTGGAAGTTGGAGGCTTTGTAGGAGATCAGCTCAACGTGTCCTTCACAACTACCCTTTTTTTCCCATTGGATTCTGAGGAGGTGCAGGGTAGGTGCAGGGCTGTTGGATCTGGTGGTGGGGCTAGGACTGGTTACTGGAACACTGCTGTTGCAGGAACAATTCCTGGTGCTGTTGGCTTCATTGGTGTTGGTAGTGCTGTTAAACACTGTTTGGTATGATTCTGTAAGACAGAAATAAGTTAGTATGGAGGACACAGAGGTCAACAGTGCTCACAGCACTTAAGCTGTAAGAGTAATAGTGAGTTATTGTGGAATTATTTGCCCTGTGTCTCGCCTTTCAGATAACATACACGCAAGACTAGCTTCCTGGTGGAGAATTTTGGGGTGTTTGCAGCCTGAAAGGAAGGCCTGCCGACAGTAATCTGGGTTTAAAAAAATTCCCCCTTCTCCTCTGCATTTTCAGAGAAAAAAAATCTGTTTTTATTTATAGATAATACTCCTAAAAAGACGCTAGAAAGAGAGGACGGTGCTTTTGTAGTAAAGTTGGAGACATTTATTGAGTTTATAGGTCCCATTGTTAAAGTTCAGAATAGTAGTAAGTAATTGAGGGTTGGGTTGAGATATGTTTCCGGCACATATAATGTACTTTTTACAAAAATAATCCAACACTGACCTCTGAATTTGATTTTGATTTCTCTGAGTTTGAACCATTTTGGAAACATTTGTTGGTAACTTCAAATAAATAAATACATTTCAAGTTACATGAACCTTCATACAATACTCATTTTATGATTTAGAGAAAGTGATTATTTCGCTTTCATGTGCTGACCGGTTATGATTTGTTGGTTTGCTAAAGTTGCTGCAAGCCTAGCGTGTCATTTCACACAAAAGGAGAAAATAAAATATTTATATTCAATATTCTTCTACAGAATATTCTTCAAATATTCCAATGGTTTTGAGTTTGTGGTGTATGCCTGGAGTCACAAACCTTTTGGTTCCAGCAATGTGGAATTACCTTCATTCTGGGTAATAACTGTCTTTATAATCTAATCGGAAGGTTGGTGGTTTGATCCCCGGCTCCTCCCACCACATGTCGAAGTATTCTTGAGCAAGATACTGAACCCCAAATTGCTCCCGATGCCATGCATCGGAATGTGAGTGTGTATGGTGGGTGAATGTGTGTGAAAGGGTGAATGTGGCACATAGTGTAAAAGCACTTTGAGTGGTTGGAAGGCTAGAAAGGCGCTATACAAGTACAGATCCATTTACCATTTACCATTACTAACAAATACTGTCTGTGTATTAAAGCCTCTAAGCCACAGAGCTCCACTGTTGTCCAAAATCTCATCAGCCACACTTCCATTGGTCTGGGTTCTTTCATTACCATGAACACACACACTGCTGTTTATTTGTACTCACAATCCAATCCCTGAGAAATGCACTATTTCCTCCTGTTTGAGTGACGGTTGATGAAAACTAGTGAGATATATATTTGTGAGCCTTTGAAAGATATGCATCTTCAGTATGAACCAATGGGCAATGGAGCTGACAATAACCTTTAAACCCTGTGATAGTCTGGTTTAAACCTTGATCACAGTTATACAGTCCGAACGTCCCGTAGCCTCCCACACTGCACTACTGCACGCCCTGAGGAGGCATCTTTAAAACAAACAACCAACAGAAAAACCTAATTTCTTAAGCTTACTTACTGTATTACTATCTCATTTAATATTCTCTGAAGCCTGACCTATAAAATGTGTGTGTGTGTGTGTGTGTGTGTGTGTGTGTGTGTGTGTGTGTGTGTGTGTGTGTGTGTGTGTGTGTGCATATATGGAACTCAGCTGACACTGAGAACTGTGCTATGCGATCAACAAAACAGCATTTGGTAAGGCCTCTCACAATGAATAAGAACTCTGAGGTGCCAGTACAACAAAATCTTGAACGCCTCTTTAACTTGAACCTGAACTCTGGAACACTTAAGACCTAACTGGTAGATCTAAGAAGCCTCTCTGGACAGTGGAGGCTAAAATTGGGTGATGGTGCAGTGGTCAGAATTTGCACATTTTGAAGCAGAGCTACAGCTCATGTGTTAAAGCAGATTAACAAGGCGTTAATGTTAGTCCAGGTGCTTGAGTTCAGCTGCAAACAATCTGACATCCAGTCTACCACATGGCTAAGCAGCTCTGCTGTGGCCCGCTGTAACTGACATCTTCCTATGACTAATTACATTTCCTAAAATTAGCATTCAGTGTGGTCTGAGAATACAATTGATCCTTGATGTACACCATATAGTATAGACTAGTATACAGTAGTTAGCGCTGTCGTGGACGAACTGAATGAATAATAGAAACAACAAAAAAAAATGATTTAACTTGTCGGATGACAACGCCAGCGCTATTCCGTAAATACCCACCCATTGTTTTAATTATCAAAATCAATTGGAAAGAATGGATTATTTCTACATTATTAACTAAATAATAAAATAAGACACATTCAGTACACTTGACACCAGTAGGTCTTAATTATTAGTTTTCACTTTTATAATACAAAAAAAGGAAACATATTTTCTCATTCACACACTAGAAATGCAGATACTGAGTTTTCACCGGGAACTTTTTAAACTGTTTTCTCAGTAGAAACAGTCACAGCTCTGTCAGTTTTAAAATGTCACTTTTTGATGCTATAAACACCACAAACCTGTTTCGATTCAGCTCCGCTGTGTTGGGGTGGCGCACAGGTTTCAGCGGCATGGATTTCAAAGCCTCTGCAGACAGAACTGAAACCGTCTGCACGGCTAGTTACTATGGGCAAATCTGAAAATATGCTGTTTTTTTTTTTATTTGGGTGGACCAACGTTTGAAAGTTCTATAAAAGGTTTTAGAGACCACTGAAGGTTTGTTTTTTTGTTTGGAGTTTAGAGAGTGCGATTGATGGAGTCAGCGAGCTGTCTTTGTTTCTCGTTGCCTTTGTTCTGTTCCTAGCCCATCACTTTAGATGTATATTATATATGTTTGGTCATTAATCAGACGGCACCCTGCCTATCAGTTCAGAATTGATCAATGCTATCTTCTCTAACTTATTCAGCACTAGTTGAGGCTGCTCTTTCAGCACAATTCAACAAGCTCAGCTCATTTGGTTTGATGTGTTTAACCCATGAATTATATTATTGTACTCACACTGTAATTCAGTGCACAGAATCTACTTCTGCAATTACATTCTGAGAATTTCTAAACACAGAAATGCTTTCTGTAAAGCAGTGACATTTGCTACTATCAAGCCAAAGTGACATTAAGTGTCTCAGTGTGTTGGTGCACTTTGTTTTTTTTTGTTTGGAAATTAATTTTTTGCTGCAGAACCCGGATCAGAAGGTTAACAACAGCAACTGACTTATTTTCCACTTTTCTCTTGTTTGTCAGTGGAATTATTGGACTTCACCTCACATTGTGCGTGTTGTTATTATAATAATTTTTCATGTTATTCTCATTTTAATTTTTTATGTATGCTTCTTGACTTGCAGTAGTTGCTGTCATCTTTATTTATATTTTCTCGCACCGGGTTTATCATTATACAAGGCAAATTCCCTGTATGTGAAAACCTATTGGCAATCAACCTGTTTATGATTCTGGAAAACAAGCAAAACAAGCTTTTAATAAATTGAGCCTCTCTCAAATACATGACTTAGTTTGAAGCCTGATTACGATTATCTTAATATAACCAATTCAGATGCTTAAACTGTAAATGTTTTTAATAGGGCTGCACAATTAATTAAAACATTTTCGCAATATAGCCAAGAGCAATATGCAAATCTCAAGAGCTGCAATATATTGATAAAGATAAATTGTGTGACAAACAGCATTGTAATGTAATGTAGTGCTGCAGAGGCGCCCTGAACTACACATCTCGTTCTGCAGATTTAAGAAAACATGTTTGTTTGGTACAAACCCCCCAAAAAACATTTTTGACAATTTGTGTGAAAATAACATTGTGATAAAAGATAAAAGAATGATAATTACAATGATAAAAACGTGATTGCAATTGCAATATCTGTGAAAAGAATATAGTTCAGTGCAAAAGTTCATATCTTACAACACAAAAGAATTAATATAAAATGTTTAAATAACAGGAATTTGACAGGAAGGGTGGTAACCAGTGGTGGCAGAAGTACTTTGACACTTTTCTTCAAGACAATAACACATTTTACAATTACAAATACAAATTTGAAAGCACAAAAAATGCTTTGAAAATCTTAACTTGAAATTGTGAAATTTTAAAAGTAGGTTGTCATAAACTGCTCACGTTTTGTGCGTAGAGCCTGAATAATAACTAAGTATTTACCTATGTAATGGAGTACAGGTATAAAGTACTTATACATAACAAAAATACCTGAACAATTACTTCAATATACTCCTGTTACTGTTACCTCCCACCCACAAGAGTAATGCCGCTGCCTCCAGATCCCACCCCGACTGACCAGGATGATTTATTGGTACATTTATTAGTTTTTTTCTTCACATATTTGCTGAGTCAGGTTGAAAATTGATTTCAGAGATGGTCTTTCTTGCTTTCATGTCCTTATACCTACATACAGATATATAGTGTGAAGGTATATGAGTGCACTTCACAGATATTGATGTGTGAATGTCTGTAGGGTTAATAAATAAAAAATAAAGAATAATTGTTATTTATACATTGTGGGTAATTATATTATCGTAACTTATTTGTTACATCAGTTTTGCTCCTGAGGGTGATGTTTAAATGTATATTCTGCATATGTGTTTTTGTATATTGTATTTTATATATTTTATATTTTTATATATTTTTATTCCTTTTTTTCTTTTTCTTATTCTTTTTTATTCTTTTTTTTTTTACCTAGAAAAGGTTAAACCATTGATGGTTTTTTTTTAAAGTTTTTTGGGTGGGCGACCTAGCTGTAGGCCTGCTCTCTGCACCATTACCATAGCGGCCTCTTTAATGAGACACAATCAACCTTTAGTATCAATCTACCTTATTCTCTCCATTCATACTGGGAATAGGCGCAAATAATGTGACTGCTGACACATCTGATAAAATGTGTAATTTGTGATTTATTTTTTCCCTGAGGTGTATCTGAATAATGATAAATTACACAAAGATAAAACTTTGCACGAACAATAGCAGCACCCTAAAACATATGAAGCTAAATGGAATTAAGCCTTTATTTATTATTTAATTATCAACACCTCTGCTCTTCATGCTGTCACATGGCAAAATGCGTGCAGTGAAAAATGGCTGTTTAGAAAAGGCAAGCTCAGTCGGAGTCACAAGCAGTCTCTCAACGGTAGGCGCAGAGGTCCCTGATCGGATGTTATCGCGAGAATGAGTTGGCTTTAGATATTCTTTTCATTCTTAAAACGAGTCCAACTAGATTTAAAATCCAAATATAAACTCATCTTACTTCGTTTGTTACATTGTTTTTGCAGTTTAGGTGTGCATTCTGTTTCATGCAGTATCTCTCATCCATGCCCAAAACAATCAGGACGGAAAGCGAAAGCTTGGAAAAGTTTTCCAAAAGATTTCTCCATATTAATTTTTCCAGCCACATTTGTGCCTTGAAGGATCTTGAACTGATGATGAGAATTGAATCAACAAAATGTGTGTGTGTGTGTGCGGAGGTGGTTTTCTTTCTTTCTATTTGACTGTTTGGGAGTGGTGGGTAACGTCCGGGGATCAGTTTGATTCCAGTCAGTCAATCAGTCAAATATAAACAGTAGTGACAAAGTTAGAGAAGGCTCTGGATTCGTCACACACTAATGCGGATATCTCTTATTGTATGACGAGCCAACGCTTGGTTTCAATTTACGGTCAGAAATCAAGACTTTATAGGAAGTCAGTTCTGGTGTGTTTCAAGCTGATTTAAAAAATGAAATCATCATTTCTCATTTAATATTTGATTATATTTACCTGCAAATAATTATCTGCTTGTCAACTAATTGTAATACAGTATCATTTGTTGTTTGTTATGCCTGTTGTAATGCTGTCATAGTGACTCAGTGATGCCTTCAGGGCCCCACTCATAGCAGCTGTTAGGGTTCTAAAACTACCTCAAAGCCCTTGCACTCTGTTCAGACAGAGAACTGCTCTGTATTACAACTGTATCTATGGGAAGGTGTTGTTTTAGGGGAGATGAGGTAATATGACCCAGGATCAGTAGTTTAAGTGTGGGAACCATGAAGTATCAGACAACACTGCCCAGAGGTTCACAATACTGCAGACAGGATTAATATCTGTGGAAAGTTATCACACTGTCTCCATGGTACTGATCCATCAATATTTTCTGCGTTTATGTTCCAAATATTTGCTTCAGTGCATCAATGCAACGCCTTGAAGGACATATTGTTGTGCAGAAAGTTAGGAACAATTATACGTGCATGCATTCTGACCCTCACTGTGCCAACAATGCTTCTCATCAACGTGAATGAGGGACCTGCGTTTGAGCTGTTGGTCTTAACACAGTTTTACCTCTGAGCAGGCATTTTACACATAGACGTTGTCGGGCGTATGTCCAAAACTATTCAGGAAGTGAAGAAAAACCCTGTATTTCTACAATAATTGACAGTGTCGTCAAAGTTAGCTAGTTTTAATACTTTTCATTGGTTGAATATTTGTATTAAAACCCACAGTAAAGGGTGACCGATAGCACTCATTTTTGGGAAAAATAAAATAAACATGACAAAATATGAAAAAACAAGGTTTCCGCCCAACGGAAATGTGTAATCATCATTCTTCTGTTAAAAAATATGTAAGTATATGCATGTTGAATCTAGGGACTGATAGATGCTTGTTTTTTTTCATCCATTTATTTTCTTTATGCAGGCAGACAAATAATTCACGCCCTCAGTGTTTCACTGAGTGTCACAGAAGGCGATTTGACCTGATGTCATTAACATAAACTGTGACACTGTTCCACAACACACAGGAGCAATGTAGTGGTGCAAGACCACTAAATGGAAAGCAGCAATCATAATAAATGTTATCAGTCTGCTAATTAATGAGTCCAAATATCTGCTGTGAGAAAGGTCTCCTCGCTTTGGTAGAATGTTGAGGCGTTCACTGTTGAAGCAGCAGGCCAAGAGGCCTCCGACAGTCTGAGGCGAACGACATTCAGCACCAAAGATACGAGAGGTTGGGCCAACGTGAAAAGTGCTAACGACGTGTGCACTTCATACACACAAGAGGAGACTTCATCACCGGATTGTCCGTTTGAGAGGATGAGGACTGGAAGGGACCATTTCAGAGGATGCTACAGCGCTATTGTTAGCATATAGCAACGTTCGCTAACATTAAAGCAAACAGCATAATATTCATCTGGATTTATAAACAGCTTTGTTATTTGGTAAATAGTTTATATAGTGAACACAGTTGTTGCTAAATCTGCTATATCCCTGGAACTGAGCGTGAATGGAGCCCATGCTATATTTTGATGCAGCCCGACTCTTGAGGTGATTTTACAGGCAGGACATTGGTAGGTAGAACTGGGGGCCACACGAGAAAACATGTTACATTATCAACATGCTCCGACTAGCAGCCCTCGGGCTAGCTTCAGGCTAGTGTCTGCACCCAGGAGTGGACGATATTCAAGACTTTTGGTATCGACACAGGAAACACATTTGTACTATCTGGGTAAGACCTGGATCCAAAATGGAGAATTTGTCATGTTACGTCTTTCATATTCAGTATTGTTTTTCCTCATATTAGTCTCATTTGTTGTGTATTGGATGCACCAAAGCTATTTTCTGTATTTTTGTACAAATCATGCTCAGGTGTCTCAGTGGTAGCCTACTGCTTCTAGTTTTTACACCCAGTCAGTGGGCTAATGCTACCATCACAACCAAACCAGTGTATTATGGCCGCCATAGTCTAACTTCCCGTAAATATTTTTCCACTTCACTCTAAAATTGTGTTTTGCACCGTTGCTTTAGCAAAGCATCTCTCACTCACATTTCAACCGACTGACTAGTGGACAAATTCAATTATAGAGCAAAAAGAAATAATTCATAAAATCAAGAAAATGTAAGAAAACCAAAACTTTCCCCTGTGTGTGTGTGTGTGTGTGTGTTTGATGGAGACTGTGGAAGTGTGTGTTGAAGTTGTCTGTGTGTGTGTGTGTGTGTGTGTGTGTGTTTAAAGTTGATGTCTGTGTTTGTGTGTGAGTCTATTGTTCAATGTTCTACGTGTCCCAAAAGATAAAGTGCACTTACCAGCAGGCACAAGTAAAAGAGCTGAGATGGTGAGAACAGTCCTGAGATCCATCACAGTGCCAGTGAACAACAGGTGGAGAAAGGAGACAGACAGACAAACAGCAGACGACAAATCAGATCAAGACGTCCAACAACAGAGAAACTGATGAGAAAGGAAACGGTGCAGAGGTGTAAACTCCTCAACCCCTCTCTCTCTCTCTCTCTCTCTCTCTCTCTCTCTCTCTCTCTCTCTCTCTCTCTCCATACAGTGAATCACTTCATCCCCGGCCTGCTGCTGCTGCTGCTGCTGCTGCTGCTGCTGCATGTGCAAAAGTGCAGATTTCCTCCCTTCAAAGCGAGCTGGGTGAAGAGAGGCAGAGAGGGGTGGGGAAAATAAGAAATGGTGATAAGAAGGGAGGAAGGAGGAAGAGGTAGGAGGAAGAGGTGAAGGGAAGAGTTATGTGACTCTTGAGTGAATTCACTTTTTTTTCAGCACGCTGTTGAGTCACAGGCCTCCGCTCGGTGAGTGCAGCAGCGCTTCAGTAGGAGAGGCCGAGGGATGAAGAGGAGCATGCGTGATGGAAACTGTGTGTTAGTGATTTTACACAATGAAACAGTTGTACTGAATAATAAATGCAATACTGCAAATGAATAATAACACAATATGATTAATTTTTAATTTAAACAAATAAATAACACATTCATTCATTACAGTTGCATGCATTATTAATAAAATATTAAATATATATTTTAAAATCTTATGACAGCAGTTTTGGGCCCAAACTGGGCCTAAACCCAGTTGGGTTTGGGCAGACTATCAAAGCTCTAGTTTGTTTACCAAATTTAGGTTATATATATGAGATTTAAAACGTTATCATAGCAGCAAACACCTATTGGCTATGTAAAGATACAGTGGAGTCATGATGAGTCCCAAACAGAGAACACGTTACACTCCCTCTCCCAGAGTATTGTTTACTGCTCTGGTCCAGCTAAGCGTGCAAATAAATGTGCAACTGTTGGAGAGCCACTAACACTGCTTTTTCTCAGCCAACTCGGTGTATTAAATATTTATTTTGACCAAAACAGAGCTGATGACTCTTGGAACAGTGGAAAGACTAACAAAGACAGTTTTAGTGAGTTTTATTTTGTTTCTGTTCACTTTGAATGAAGTTATGATCTTACGATTATCTGTAAAGTTAAATTAACATTTTTGTCTATAGAGTCTGGTGGAGAGTGATATTACAGCTGTTTGTGGTTAAACAAAAGGTCTGTCTCTTTAGGGATCCTTTCCATAATGTTGTCAGACACTGAGAATAACAATCTGAGGCTAGAGAAACAGGAAGTTTTACTGGACATATTTTGAGTTCCTGCCCTGTAGCGTGATGTCTAGTCTGAAAGTTAAATACAACACCTTTAAAGTGAACTAGAAGGCACCCAAGAATGTAGACCTCTGTCAAAGCTTATAGCCCAGTCTTCTGTGATACACCAATCTGCACACCATTCATAACAAATTACAATGGCTTTGCAGAGGACAGCAAACCCAGAATTCTGGATTAATCAAGAAGAATCACTCCCCTGATATCTTATTTCTTACATTCCTGCTGCATTTGATCCACAGTGATGTTTGAGGTGTTATTATTTGTTATATGTTTAGTCACAGCATACCCATTACTTTAATTATGTCAGGTTCGCCCATGCACAAAAAATACAGTTAGCACTGCCATGGGAAAGTGGAAACTAATTTGGGTATCAGTCCTGTGATTTGGATCTGCTCCAAAATGGAATGGGTTCTTCCTCGGCCCATGCCACCCCCTTCCACCAAGTTTCAAGAAAATAGGGCTAGTAGATTTTCCGTAACAACAAACAATCAAACATATGGTACTGAAAACATATCCTCTTTGGCAGAAATAACCATACGGTCTATAGTGCTGCTGCTTTATGAACTGGTTTATCAAACGAAAATTTACTGAGGTCCCAGTTTTTGCATTTGCAATTAGCGCCTACATGTAATTCTATAAAAATGACCACATAGCCAATTCAGTGGTTCACTGTATTAGTTTGTACTTTTGTCCCAGACTTTGGCTGTAAAGGTGAGGATCACTTCAGGACCGTGACTTGGAATCTGATATGGGCCACATTTAAAAGATAGTGTGAACAACCAAACAAAAACTGATTTGAGCAATAAATCAGAATTGAGCGCAAAGGCTTGCAGTGTGAACGTAACCTTAACGGCTGGAGAATGACGTTATTCCACACTGTCTGACAGGATCACATATATTGGGGGAATGGGTATAAAATAAGGAAAAAAATAAAAAATACTGACATTTTACTCTGTGTAAACATATATTCATATCAATGAAGATCTGCAACAACAACGACACACATATACAATCAGACAGTGTGGAATAAGATGATTTTAACAGATTCGTGTGTTCTTCATACCGACGTTCTCACTGAGTGAAATCACTGGAAGTATTTTACATTACACATTTCCCCCATACCACGGCTGACATATGACATACTGTATGCCGACAGTGTGTGGGTTTGACTGTTGGTTTGTGATGAGTTTGTAATGACGGGACTAGTGGTGGGCTGCTGAAGGTTCATCTAATGATGCTGTGTTACATATGCAAGGCTTACCTCACACATGGCACCGTAACTATTGCTTTATTGTATTCATTTATTTTGGGGGTTTATTATAGAGGGTATACACGTTGCTGTTGTTGTTAGGACTGTTTTTAATAATATATGCAAATGATCTAATCTAGTGTTTTCTACAGTGTTTGTTTTTTTTATTCAATAACAAAACCTGAATGTGAGCAGTAATAATGCCCCACATACACAATATTTGACATAGGAGGAAAAAAACAACAACGAAAAATGATGTGGAATGACAATACTTTTAGTAAAGTGTCCAAACACTATAATAACATCTGACAGTTGTCTTGGGAAAATCTGAAGAATCTTACCTCATATTTTTCATACTTAATGTATGTATTGTATGTAACATATATATTGTGTATTTGTTGTTTTATGCCAACTGGTAAAAAGAAAAGGAGTATATGTAACTTTTCAATAATATAATTTTATAATAATTCTATTTGAAATGTTGAATAGATAATTTATTTATACACAGGTATGTACATGTATGCAATTTGAACAGTATGTAATATTCATGTAAGAATGTTTGTAACACAATACTGTATACTGCTAACATATGCTAATGCTAAAAATGTATGTAGATTTGCTTCCTAGTTAGATAGTGTTAATGTTAGCTATGCAACTATGTGTCTCTTGTATGCTTTAACCATCTTCATCTTCATATAGCATATCTAAGTACAGGAAAGAAGAAAGTTGACTGAGGTTCTGAGCGAGGGGTCAATTGGTTAAGGAACTCCCCAGCTATACATTTTTGGTTCTAAAAATGTTCAAAGAATGGTACATGCAATTTCTTACTAATGTTTTCAGTGCCGTTTTTATTTGGTTCCCAGAATGTTCTTAAAGGTAGGGTAACATTCTCTAAAAAAACATTAGAAAAAAATTTGGTGATAACTTAAAATGTGTAGTAATAATATATAATAATAAATAACATTATGCCCTAACATTCTTAAACGTTTTTTAAAAAAACAAACTTGTTTGTTCTACAAAAGCTCTGATGTTACCATGCAATGTTCTATGTTACTAGTAATGTTTTCAGCAGAAAGTTTTAATTTATTTTTATTTCCCACAACGTACTTCATCAAGGTAGTGTAAGGTTCTAAACACTGTAGAAATGTTCGGTGATGAACATGATTCCCCAACCATCCTAACAATGTTCAGAGAATAATTGTTGTTATTTTAGAGTAGGATAACATGCTCTAAAAACATTATACAAATGTTTTATGGTAACATTTTTCAAAAGCTAATTAAAGTTGTAAGGAATGTTAGCCGACATTCCTTTCTAGCTGGGCCATTTGTGCCATCAGTTAGAGTTTTAGCAGTAGTGTAAAAGAGGAAGAGGTTACGGGTCAGTGTACTTCGCAGCCAGCAGATTTTCATTTTGAAATGAGAAAACCAAAATCGGGAAAAATCCCGTTTTTGGTTTTTTTGGTTTTAAAACAGAAATATAAAACTGAAAATTAAAAAAAAAACCTGACCCGTTTTCTTCCACATATTGATATATGATAGTCTGGAATTTAGTTTTTCTCATTTCAAAACAAAAATCTGTTGGCTGCAAAGTACACTGACTGTTACGGAGGCTGTACTGTCCATAACCACAACTGATTGATGCCTAACTGATAGGGTATTTTTGTATTTTATTTTATCTCTAACATGCCTTAGCAGCTCTACACAGGGTGACTCACTGAGGGAACTATGAGTCTTGTTTTCATGTTGTTGTTTGCCTGTTATTGCTGAAGATTGTCGAAGTCAACACTAATATACCCTGATGCAATGCTTCACTCCTGTAAGTTTCCAGATGTACTACTAAAGCCTTGTTTATGTAGGAAGAGTGAATGAGGGAGTGCTTTCTGTTCTCAACTCATCATCATCTCCCTCTTCTACTACTGAAATATCTTCTCCTTCCTGACTCATCTCTGGTTTGACTTCACTCAGCACTCTACTCCATCACCTCCGTCATTCTCGTTTTCTCTCATCCTCCACCTCTGGTTTACGGCGCCGTAAAGCCGACAAAAGCCCCGCACACTTTCACCTCCTCCCCCTCCACGTTTCTCATGAGGAGGAAGCTGCTGCTGTTCAAAGCCGGCACGTATCACTCGCTCTCTCTGCTCAGGAGTCAGTAGCATTTGAATAGAATTTGGGAAATGATGGGTGTGCAGTGAAGTTTGAGTTTCCGCTCACAGGGATGACCTTCACTTAAGACGGTAACAAACAGCTTTATGTCTAGAGGACTTAAATGTTAACCAATGAATCTCCTGTCAATCGCTTATAGCTGCACACCACCATATCTAACAGCTTTCTTTTCACACACTCAACACAGAGAGATCGTCAAACCACAGATATCAGTACGTTATGAAAGAAATAAACACATGTAGTTTTAGTCTTGTGAAATCCTGTTAAGTTTACCCGTCCAGACCTCCAATCAAAGAACTTGAAAAGGAAAAATCAGTCTTTGATTCTGTGATTAAACTGTTCAAAACTCAGAGTAATGTGTCCTGTGATGTGGGGAGGATTTGCTGCCTTAAAAATATAGAAATGTTGTCGAGGTATTGGTGGAAGAAGCACTCAGATCTTTAGTAGTAGTAGAAGTTGCAATACCACAATGCAATACGGCATTTAATATATAAATCTAAATATATCTAA